CTTGTAAGAAAACTTCGGATGCTTCGCATGTGGCAAGTTTATTCTTTCGTGAAGTAGTCCGTCTCCATGGTGTGCCGAAGACAATCACTTCCGATCGTGACACGAAATTTCTAAGCCATTTTTTGCGTACTTTATGGCTTTTGTTTGGGACTGATTTACAGTATAGTAGTTCTTTCCATCCCCAAACGGATGGTCAGACGGAAGTTGTGAATCGTACTATGACGGATATCATTCGCTACCTCTGTAGTGATATGCCTAAGCAGTGGGACCGGTATCTTGCTCCTGCTGAGTTCGCCTTCGACAACTCGGTTAACCGCTCTACCAGTACATCTCCCTTTCGTGTCGTTTTTTGGGCGTTCGATTCCGGCTTGTTGTCGCTGCAGAGAATTTGGCGACCGTTTATGGGCGTACACCACAAACGGCGAATGCTCGAAAATTTTTGAGGTAGATAGGTACCTGATTTGGTCCCGAAGAAGATCAACCACAATGCCTATGTAGTTGGTGATCTCAACATTTCCCCTACATTTAATGTGGCAGACTTATTTGAGTATCATGCTTCGATACACCCCTCTATCCGATCGTAACTCGAGGGCAAGTTTTTCCGAAGAGGGAGGGAATGATGTAGAACAATTAGCCTGTGATTATCTTGAGCAATGTGATCGCCGTAATCACCGGAAATTTCGGCAGTTTTTTTGATTTTGGGGAAAACAACCATTCAAGCAGTTTCCTATATTATCATTTAGGCAGTTTCCTATATTACCATTCAGGCAGTTTCTTTAATTATTCGGTTTCCATTAGTATTAGGAGTCCTATCTCTATATATAAGATGTCCGTCTTGTAATCAAAAACATAGTATTATTAAATAAAAATTTCGAGTTCTTTGGAGTTGTTCCAAATTTACGTTTTCTCTCTGCGTCACGATTGAATGTTGTATGATGCACGTTTATCAAATGGGAAGAGATCATGTAATCGGGTAGGTTGAGAGAATTGAGTGCAACATTGCCGGACACTGCACGGGTATGGTTGGAATTTACGCCATACAGTTGGGTATTAGTTGACCGCTGTGCATAATGTCATATCATTATAGGCCGTGAATATCAATGCTTCTAAGCTTTCCCTCTCTCTCTGTCTGTTCTTCACCGTGAATGATCGTGAAGATGGCTTTGCTAGGAATTGTCCACACGCATGAGCCGTGGTGTTGTAAAGTTTACAGATGGTTCCCTGCGGCTTGTGGCCCCGGGAGTCTACCGCTTCTCCACCAAGCACGATCTTTGCTGGAGTAATGGGCGTACGAGTGAATGCAATCCATGGCATGCTCGCGTTTTCGGTTCATTAATTTATGAAAACAGCACGGGGTATCCAAGCCTCTTTCGGCTCGGTTACAAGGAGCATGCATGTGTCGAGGAAGGTTGTCACACCCCGAAACCTACCAATATGGGGAATGACACGGCCGTCCTTTCGCCCAAAGGACGCAGCCTCAAACCACCCAAGAATCCCAATGACATCGCTCTCGTTCTATTGGCTGCTAAACAAAGAACCTGAAAGGTTGGGAAAAGAGGGGGGTGAGCAACCACAGCTCAGTGAATAGTACATCTCTTCTAAGTAGATCGAGCAATCACTATGCATATGTACAAAGCAATACCAGAACTTCAGAAGCCAAACCCAAGGTTTAAAATACATATAGAATCACACGAGTTATTTCATTTCATCAAAACTTTGTACAAATCACAAATACACATTTAAATCCACCATCACAATTCAAACTATCAATGGTCAAGTCCATTGATTAATCTCTATAAAAATCACGTCAATGGTCCATTCCATTGACTAATCTCAAATCACACATCAATGGTCTATTCCATTGATGAATCTCATATCACATCAAACGTCGATGGTCCATTCCATCGACCAATCTATTGCTCAATATCTAACCATGGTCACGACATAAAGCCTTGTGACAAGGCTACCAAGATTCCCCCCTTGGCAAGGTCTCCACCTACAAAGCCGGTGGCTCGGCCCAGAAGGATATCCTAAACTCGGTATGCATACCCCAAAACCCCTCAATGGGTTCACAGTCATATTGAGCATCAACGAATCATCATCCAATATCAGAATTCCAATCCATAATACATTTCACAAACCAAACAAATAATTTTCTCACAATACGGCTCATCCGCCAGAAATACATCTCGGCGTTTCTTGAATCATTTCCGAAGTCATTTCATAAACCAGTTCGTAACGCAATATACATATATATCCTTTCACAATACATTTCCAAAACAATTATCAAATCATTCTCAAATACTAAAAAGTAGTAAATGCTCGATCCCAATTTATGCAATAGAATGCTCTTTTAAGTTCAATATATATATCTATATCGAATCATAATTCCTTCGAGATATGATTTTTATAAAATCAAAGAAGAGATAGCACCACTCACCTGGAATCCCAAAAATCGAACAACCACGCTCACTCGAATCGACGATCTCGTAATCCTAACAATTAAACGAGAATCGACATCAAAATCAAGTAAAACACCATTTCACTAACGACTAGACTAAACTAAGCTTAGACGCTAACCAAAACGACTCAAACACGCCCACAAATCCTCCTCCAAAGCGATTATCCAAATCGCCCGCAACGCGAAACTTGAACGCAAAACTTGATCGCGCCATAACTTTTTCCATCGAACTCCGATCCTAGCAAACTTATAGTCAAAAGAAAGCCCGTTCCGAGTATTACAAAAGCCCCAACTTGGCCGTCCCAAAATCGAGCCGAAAATCGGCCCTAAAGCCCACTGGTCGCGCACTGTTCACCTTGTGCGGCCAACTTCAAAAATTCATATTAGGCAAACCGTTGGTCCAAATCAAGATCCGTAAGATCCCACAGCTCCACAACATCACAAACTATCAATTCTATAAAAATACGCAGCTCTACGACTCAAAAATTGGACTTCGCCGCTCGAATTTCCCAAAATTCCGAATTTCAAGCCCTAAATCGGAAAACTTCTCCGATCGGATGAACGAGGGGCGTGAATGCTTACCGGGCGTTACGATACGAAGTCGAATCGGCTAGGCGAGGTTCGCGCGGCACCAAACCCTCCCTTTTTTCTTCTTCTTCTTCTCTTCCTCTCTTTCTTTCTTTTCCGTTTCTGTTTTCTCCTCCCCGAAACCTCTCGGTCCTCTTTTATAATTGAAGTCACTGTAGCAAATGTTGACTTGTTGACCTTTTTTTTTTTTTTAATACTCAAATATTACAAAGGCGATGTACAACATGGTATAGGGCGTGGAGAGTTTTGCGGAAGAAGCTAGGTGAGTTGTATGAGTTGAATTTGTCTTGAAGAATAACTGGAAAGTTACACCTTGGAAGTGCATCGTCAAAGCTGGGTTTATTGGGGGTGTTTGGTTAGGCTTTGCCAAGGAGCTTTGAGCCTCCAAAGCCCTTTGGGGGGATTATTTTGTGTTTGGCAAATCATTTTTGGAGTTCTTTGGCCAAATGCTGGCCTTCTCAAGGTTGAAAGCTCAAGGCACCCCCTAGGGTGCCTTGAGCTTTCAGCATTCTCGGAATGCTAGTACCCCATTTAATGAAAATATATTTGTTGCCTTTTTTGCCCTCAAAATTTGTCCAAAAACCCACTTTTGCCCATTTAAAAAAGAGAAGCCCCAGTCTTCACGCTCACCTCACCTTGCTCACCCCGCTCACCCTCACTCGACTCGCGGCGCCTCGCTCGCCGACCTCGCCTCACTCTCCAGCCTCGCGTCGCCTCCTCTCCGGCCTCGCGTCGCCTTGCTCGCCGGCCTCGCGTCGCCTCCTCGCTCGTCGACCTCCCTCGCTCGGCTTGCCGCGACTCAGGAACAGTTCTTCCGTTTTGCTTCTCAGCTGCGTGCCAGCCAGCGAGGTTGCTCGGAATCGCGAATCGCTGCCTTCTTTCCAGGTAAATCAAAGCTAAAGATCGTTCCTTTACTCGGGAATACCGCGGCGAAGCCGATCGGCGCGTCGTTTCCTCGCTTGTTCCGGCGGATTTGGTGCTGTTCCGCGGTTGTTGAGGCTTTATTTGGCTTGCTTATTGGTGGTAGTGAAGTGGGGGAGGGTCGTTTGCCTTGGGGTTTGTCGTGGGTCGGTTCGTTGCTTCGTTTGGCAAAGTGGGTGTGCATGGTTGAGGGTCGATGTGATGAGGCTGAGTCCGTTTCTTGGTTGCCCTTTTGGTGTGTGTTTTGAGGGTTTTTTAGCGCTTCGCCTGTTTGGTGCTGATGTGTGGGTTGAAATGTTGTCTTGTCTGTTCTTTGGCTTGTGTGGGCATTTCGGTGGCTGATGATTGTTTAGCTCCTGGTTTTGTTTGTGGGTTTGCGAGATTCGTGTTAGAGTCATGAATTTGTTTGGGTTTTTTTGGGTCGATGTGCCGCTTTGCATAACTTTTTTTTTTGGGTTGGATTTAGATTTTGCGAGGCTTGGGAACTCTGTCGGTGTTGCTTCTCTCCAAGTAGAGAGGCAACTCTCGGCCCTTGTGAAGTAATGCTAGTTCCTGTTTTCGTGAACTGAAAAATGTGCTGCATACGATTGGGTTTTTCCTCTTTAGGTTATAGTTTTTTTGGTCCTTATGATGTTATTTGTTCTGCTGGTAGATTTCATTTTATCTCTGCTACACATTGCATATCGCATGTTATTGTTGAATGATTTTTGTAGCAGGAATCGGTAAGTTTGAAAATATACTAGTTGTCTGAGTTAAATGCCTCTAACTTATCAATGTGGAATTGCCTTAATTATGAGTATGGCACAAATTTTTAATTAGCAACACAATTACTTTGTGAGTAACTGAGTATAATTTCCTCAGTCACTCTTCAAGTTCGTTGAAAATATAGTTCTGGTTTTCTTGGTTGAAAAATGTATAGGTTGTTAACAAATCCTATAGACAAGCTTTTGCAACATTTGGATGGCTTTGTTTTGTTGAAAAAGAACGATCTTTTGATGTGATTTTCTTGGTGGAATGACTTTATTAGTAGATGGCAACTAAGGCATTTTGGAGCACGGAAGATGTAGAAACCTTTTGTAAGTTGTGCATTGAACAAATTGAAAAAGGCAATCGTCCGGCAAACAACAAAAGGGATGGATGGACAGTCATTATTAGCAAGTTTGAGGAGCTAACAGGTAGAAAATATGATAAAAATCAAATGAAGAGTAAGTGGGATAATCTTAAGGAAGAATGGAAAAGATGGAGGACATTGGTGTACAATGAAACGGGACTAGGATGGGATTCAAGGAAGAAAACCGTTGATGCGAGTGATGAATGGTGGGAGAAAAAAATTCAGGTTTTTATCTCTTTCTCTTTTACTTTTGTGTTTAGTTCATTTTAAATGATACAACTTACGTAAATGTTATATTATAACAGGCCAATCCTAAGCTTAAGACTTTTAGGACGAAAGGCATACATCCTGATCTTGCAGCTTTGTTAGATAGGATGTTCAGAGAGACTGTTGCTAATGGAGGAATCACATGGACTCCTGGGCAAGGTTTACGTATTGATGAGGATCTTGTTGAGGTCACACAACCTAGTATCGGTGATGGTGTAGGATCTAATGATGAAAATTTGGAGTCTCAAGCGGATGAAACCGTTGAACCAATTGGAACTCAGAGCCATAAAAGAGCTGCACATACTTCAATGAGGCAAGCTCGAGGAAAGAAAGAAAAGAGATTGACCACAGCACAGCAGCTTGGAACGCAAATTAGCAGGCTTTGTTCAGCTGTTGAACAAAGGAGCGCTGCTGCTGCATCATCTCAAGCAAATGAGGGATACGGTCCTTATAAGGACCTCATAGATATGCTGGATACAATACCTGAAATTGTGCAAGATGAAAAGTTATACTTTTTTGCAATCTCTCATTTTAAGAAAAAGAAAGACAATAGGCAGGTCTTTATGAGCTTGAAGGGTGATGCACTAAAAGTCAAGTATCTCAAGTATGAGTTTGAACAGAGTCATAGCTAGGATGTTAGCATCTTATTTGAACTCTTCGGTATGCTACTTTGTTTTCATGTGAGACTTGTATTTGCATTATGTGTGAACCTAATTTCTATTTATGTTTTAATTTGAGAACTATTTTGTAATGGTATTCTCTTCATGTGGTTTAGTTTGCATATATATGATGGTTGATATTGTTTCTTGATGGATGATCAAGATTGTTTATTGTTTCTCTTACACTCTAATGCATCTATATATTGTTACTTTAAGCAGTTATGGATGATTCTCTTGAAAGGGAAAATCGTGAAAAAGAGAAAACTGAATATTGGGATCTCTTCTCGGTCGCAACAGCTTCAGTTGGTTATCAAGCAATGTACTTTTGCAAGGAACCTCGCATGACCTCATCGTATACAGGTGATGCATGGTTAAGAGAATTGATGGACGAAGAAGTTCATCCGATAAGTTGTTATCATATGTTTAGAATGCACAGGGATGTATTTAATAACTTAACGCATGACTTGATAACAAGCTATGGTCTTCAAGGATCTAGAAATACTAATGTTCCAGAAATGGTTGGTATGTTTCTTCATATTTTGGGACATGGTATATGCAATAGGTTAGCACAAGAGCGCTTTCAACGCTCTGGAGAAACCATAAGTAGGTACTTTAGCTTAGTTTTAGATAAAGTATGTGATATGGGAAAAGATTTGATCCAACCAACTGATCGGCAATTTAAGGAAGTTCCAGAGAAGATCAAGAAAGATCGACGATTTTATCCATATTTTAAGGTAAGTTACTATTGTATAATATAAAGGAAAAACTAAATGTAAATCACGTAATATTTTGTTCTTTGTTTTTAGGATTGTATTGGAGCTATGGATGGTACGCATATCCCAGCGGTGGTACCCACATACGATCAAATTCGTTTTATTGGTCGAAAAGGAACGACGACTCAAAATGTGTTAGCCATATGTAATTTTAATATGGAATTTATCTATGCTTGCGCCGGTTGGGAGGGACAAGCTCATGATACCCGTATCTTCTATGAAGCCACTGGAAGACATGATGCACAATTTCCTCATCCTCCTCCAGGTTCGTTAATTAATTGTTTAGGTACATCCATATGTATCCATGTGGCATATGTTGATTAAATTTTCATTATATTTGTGTAGGTAAATATTATTTAGTAGATGCTGGATATCCAAATCTCACAGGTTATTTGGGGCCATATAAAGATGTTAGATATCATTTGCCAGAGTTTCAACAAGGTCCTACACCAACAGGGTATCGAGAAGTGTTCAATCGTGCCCATTCCTCTCTACGCTCGGTAATTGAGCGAGCCTTTGGTGTATTAAAAAATAAGTGGAAGATTCTGACAAATATGCCATGTTATCCGTATGAAAAGCAAGTGCAAATTGTCATAGCGACAATGACTTTGCACAATTATATACGAAGAAATGCCGTGATCGATACGGATTTTGAAAATGCAGAATTGGATCCCGATTATGGATATTCAGTTGATCATGATGATGTAAATGAGGGGATGAGAGATTTAAATGATAATTTATCTTCTGACATGGTACGTTTACGTGATGAAATAGCCATGAGTTTACAAAGTCGTTAAAGATGTTTGTAATATTTAAGGATAATGTATTTCATTCTTAGGGACATGTGATGTGTATTATAATGAAATGACTCCTTTTTTTTAAAATTTGTGAATATATTTCTATTATGTTATTCTCGTCGCGAAAATATAAAAGTTACCGTCATTATTTTTTTTACTTCAATTTTAAACAATTAAATTTAAAAAAACATAAATTGATTACACCAAAGGACTTTCCAAATATATGTTTACCAAACAGCTTGCATTTCCCCAAAGCACTTTTCAATGGATATTTGCCAAACAGTCCTGCATTTCCCCAAAGCCCTTTGTGCTAAATGTCTTTGCATTTGGCCAAAGGCTTTCCCCAAATGCCGAACCAAATAGGCCCATTGTATCTTAGCCCTCATTTTCCAATTCTAGTCTAGTACGTCCGGCTACAATCTAGAACTGCTATTTCTAACTCCTGATGCATTAAATCAAATTTAGGTGGAGTTCATGCTGCATGTGCATGTACCTCATTTATAGGTGGTTTGCTATCTGCCTTGTCAGCTTACTCCTACCACAACCATGCTTTTCTGCCCTCGAGGCATCTTAGAAAAACTATCCTGTGTAAGGAATGCGAACCCATTGTCACGTTAAGGCCTATCTAGAACCAACTAGTTACTGTTCTTGTATTTTCTTGTAGGGTGTGGAAAATTTTGCTTTCGTCTAAAATCAGAGCTCATATGCGAATCGCCAAGTCTGTGAGCAGTTTCTTGTTGGGGTGATGAAGAGCACCATTGGTTTAGCGATCTACTTTACTTATAAGAGATACGCCAGCTATTGAAACCTAGACATTGATGAGGGATACATCAAATATGAACGAAAGTGGAAACAAAATCTTCAGCGGTGATCTCCCATAATAGGTCTCATCTACCATTCATTTGGTGGTTGTCGTTGTGGACTCCTTTATTATATCTAGATCCAATCGATTGTAGAGGAGGAAGTTTCATGCGAAGATTCACTGTCGATGCTTGTTTAATTGTTTCTGAAAAGCAAGATAGGAGAACTCAGCGTGACAGACGAGGCCGAGAAGATGCTTTAAATGAGACCACTATAGCTTTGTTCACATGGAGAAAGCATAAATGCGATCAAGGTGGGGGACTCCTTTGTGCAGTAAAGTTGGCTTTACTAGTTACTATGGTCTGCGTCCGTACCATCCATTTGACATGGTTGCTCAATCAGGAGTCTGCCAAAATCAACCCATACATCGATCCGGATCACATGGTCCCAATGCATTTCTAGTTACAAAGAGGTTTTTGCTCTAATGGAGGTTCTAGGAATATTTGAAGAACGGATCTCAATACATTGATAACCGTCGGATCAAAAGAAAAGTAAATCATATCGGTCATAAATCCAATTTTTGTGTGGGATTTGCGAAAAAGCACGTAAAGTTCCGATTGGGCCCAAAGGCTGGACGAACAGTTGCCATCTTGTGGGATGTTTGTAAGGTCCAAAGGTGTCTCATTGGCCTTGGAGTGCTCGCGGGCTCCCTTCCCTTTCAACTCCCCAAACTCAAACCACGCGGGCTCAAATCGATTTCGAGTCAGATTCTTCAACGATGATTGTACAAACTCGAATCCAACTCCTCCAAATGTATAGGATCCTAAACCCGCCCGATTTTAATCTTTGTGTCTATTTAAATGTTGTAAATATGTTCACTAATGCAATATAAATGATCAAAGATTAAGTGACACGATCAATGTAACAATACTTTCGTGTTTAGTATTGAATAAAAACTATCACTGTAGTTCTCTAATCTTTCAAATTTTGAAGATATTAGTGAAGTTGAGCATGTGTCAATGCGAAACATGTATATAGTTTTCGAGAGAAATTGGATGAAAATGAGAAGTTGTGAGAGATGTATTAATTGTATGTTTTTCTTTATCTTCTTATTACCACTAATTTGGGAATGGATATATTTCCTTCAATTATAGTTGGGGACACCATTAAAAAAATCAAAAAAATGAGACAACTGGTGATTTCGGCTTAATATATACAAGGTATATTTCAACAATACGACGAGGGTTTAATTTCAACGTACTAATCATTCTAAGTCGATCGAAAACAATCCATTCGTTATAACATTAATTATTAAATTACGCATTCCTCTAACAATTTAAGTTTTTAGAAATTGACAATGGTCCCACAAAATCTCATACTGATGTTTTCCAAATTGGATCTTTGAATTCCTTTTCAATTCTTAGGATTTGATTTTGCCATCTCAAGATGTGTTTGCTAGGACCACCTCGACCAAGCACTGCTTAGAGCAATGTCATCATCAACCAGCGAAATGAAAACCTCAACTCACGTATCAATCCGTCTCGCTTCAATCTCCTCTCAAGCGGAGTTCTCGGAGGTTTTTGGATCATGTAAGTCCGCTTAATCTCAATCATTAAATCACACTAATCGCGCACGAGATTCACATGATCTAACGGCAAATATCAAATGAATTCACACGTTTCAAAGAGAAATCGAAAAAGTCTATGAGTCCCATGTGAGTACCACTACCACCTAATGATCAGAGTGCGCCTGATTCTGACACATTCGTTGTATGGGTGCCAAGTGACATGTAATGCAACGATCCATGGGCGGGGACGATCATCTGCTGTCTTTACCATTGGAACTTATCGACAAAGTTACAGCAACAGCTCAACCAAAATCGTAGCTGCATCTGTAAGGGACTAAGGACAAAGGGACGGGGTCGCATGACTCGACTTAGGCCAAAAGAAGAAGGAAAAGCTGAAGCCAATTATTGCTGGATCTGGTTAGCCTATCTATGGTTGTGCTACATGTTTCGAATGGTACGTACAAGCCAAGCAATCCCGTCGAAGATTATGTAAGGGTCCCGCTTATTTCAATGAAATAGATTTTCAATAGGAGAATGCCTTTATCACGATACTTTTTTCTATTGAAAATTAATTATTGCTTAACAAGATTAAACTTTTTCGTTGTTTGATGCGCGTCGATAAGAATTTTTTGATAGCTCTTAAATTGTGGTAAATTACTCTGATAAAATTTCAATATTAACAAAATTAACGACAAGTGTCTTGTAACAAACGAATCCTAAAATTTCTTTTCCGGTCAAATTAATATTAAAAACTCACAAATCAATTCGTATTGAAAAACCTTTCTCAAATGTTAAACTCGTTTTTTTTTTATTGTAAAGTAGGGTACTTGGCAAATTGCTCCGTCTACTTATGTTGGATAACATTTGTTTGACCAACGTGACACAGGATCTACCGCATTCAAACGCACTTAATAACTCAACCATTCCTTTGGCACCAAAAAATAACCGACTTTTTTGTTATAATCAACGACTGACAGACAAATTGATAATAACAGAGTTTGGTAAACAGCGAAAGTTATAGACATCGACATTGACATATAACTTATGAGTAGCAATATTTTCGGATATTTAAGCTCAACAAATATCAGTTATCTAGGATGAAGTCATTGACCTCGTTATCGACGCTTAGGTGATGAAAGCAAATACGAGTTATCTGGGGATGAAGTCGTTGACATCGACATCAATATATAACTGATGAGTAAAGATATTTTTGGATATTTAAACTCTTTTGGATAAGTGTTACTAGATAATAAGAGACTAAGATATTATTTATATATTTGAATTGTGTAACATTTGTTTGTAACCGTCGATTGTAGGTTTTAAATAGCCACATCGTACTCTTTATAAACCCTTGACGATCAATTGACAAAAAACCTATTATCTTTTAGTTATTTTTCAATTCTTGTACTTTAGTCGTATAAATTTTGGCATGTATCTTCGTTTTAGTTTTCAAATTTTCGTTGTCGATTAAATTCCAACGTTGTAACTTTATGCCATCGCACTTTGACGTCAATTAAATTTCGGCAAAGTATTTTATGTCATCGGACTTCATCATTGATTAAATTTCGTTGAAACATATATTCTCCTTGTATTCCATTGATACAATTCCTATCCAGAATCGCCCAAGACCCATCTCCTCTTAATAAAACATTTAAAAAATGAATTTCGTTGAAAGGTATATCGTCGTCGATTAAATTCTAGCGAAACATGTTCGAAACACTTCATTTTATTGATTTTCTTCCACTAAAAAAGATGTATGTTGTTCAACCAATTCGATAAACTTCGCTCGGTGTAGTATTTATCATAAGAGTTGTGTCCTTCATTTTCATTTAATTCGGGAGTAATTTGGGAATAAATTCATTCTTAACCATGTGTTTGTGGATTAATATCGATGTACGCTATCGAAATGGAAAAAAATAAGATAAAGAGCAGTTTTCGCTTTGAACATATAGATATTGTTTTCATGTTTATTTTTTATTTTTTATTTGGTCAAAAGATATTGTTTTTATTCACAATCTTGATATTATGGCACGATGATTAATACAAAGTTCTGGCCCAAAAGGAAGTTACCATGTAATCTTTGTTAAATGCATGATATGTGCAACAATGGATTCAAAAAGATGTTTTTTTTTTTTGGTAAGGATGGATTCAAAAAGATGTTGGGGATGACAAAGGTCACGAATTCAGAACAATGTTGTGTAGATTTTTTCTTTTCACAGATTGTGCACCAAAATTGAAGCCCCAAAAGCTAAAAGTCGTTCGATTTGCTTTCTTTTTCCTCTTTTTGATCCATCTTCTCCCGGACATTCCATATGTAGTCCGGAGGCAAAAAGTTGGGAAAGTGAAATCAACACGACACTTGTTCTCCAGCCCAAAGCGCACTCACTTTTACGACCTTTTCGCAGGTTCCTCTTTTGAGGCTTGAGGAGAAGAGCCAAACGTCAATCCACCCGTGAACGATAGCAACCTACCAATCCACCGGACGCGACAACAACCGCAACAACAACTTGAGAGTCACACTATTGAGAATCTCGATCCTATCAAAAAAGATCAATTCACTCCCCCCCACCTTTTGCTTCTCTTTTGGCCTCGCTCAACCCCGAGAATCTCGACCCCCCCATCTTCTGTTCTGTCCCCTAACTCATCTCTTCTCTCCGTTCATTACATTTGCCTATATAGTCTCCCCCACATTAATCATCACAAAGCAGAGAACAAACCCGCTCTCGAACTGCCATTGCCAATTATGGTCGAGCTTCCACGTTCTTTGTGCCTCGCATCATTAGTCCTCCTCTTGCTGTCTGCATTGGCCGTTTCGACTCGAGAGCGAGTCCCGACTCCCCCATTGCCAGTTCTCCCTCTGCCCTCGTTCTCGCAGCTCCAATGGCAGCAGCGAGAGATCATCATGTTCCTCCACTTCGGCGTCAACACCTTCACCGACTCCGAGTGGGGGACTGGGCACGAGGACCCGGCTATATTCGATCCGGTTGGCCTCGACGCGAGCCAGTGGGTGAGCGCGGCCGCGGACGCCGGGATTTCGCTCATGATCTTGACTGCTAAGCACCACGACGGGTTCTGCTTGTGGCCTTCTAAGTACACCGATCACTCCGTGGAGAGCAGTCATTGGAAAGGTGGAAAAGGGGACGTGGTTCGAGAGTTTGTGGATGCGGCTAAGGCTCGTGGGGTCGATGCTGGGCTGTACTTGTCCCCATGGGATAGGCATGAACCAAGATATGGTCACAATTTGGAGTACAATGAGTATTACTTGGCTCAATTACAAGAGCTTCTCACCAAGTAAGATCGAAATCAAGATGACGTTTATTCCCATTGTGAATATCAGTTAGTAGTGCAATGCATGCCGTGATCTTCCTTCTCTGTTTGAATTACTGTTATGTGGGCATTAGGTATGGGAGTGTGAGGGAGATATGGTTTGACGGAGCGAAGGGTTCAGATGCACCAAACATGAGCTATTACTTCACGGATTGGTTTTCAATGGTGAAGGAATTGCAGAGCTCGATCAACATATTCTCTGATGCAGGTCCTGATGTGAGGTGGGTTGGGAATGAGAACGGATTTGCGGGGACTACTTGTTGGGCCACCATTAACAGGACCGCTCTCTCCATTGGTAACGCAAGCATTGTCGGGTAAGCCTATCCGATCCCTATCCTTGTGCGTACGATTTCCTTCCATTATCTTTGGCCCCGGTTCTCCCTTAGAAGATACATGTACATACACCGAAAATCAATCCCGACACCCGATTCCCACCCAGACGCTGTGGCATCGATGTAATAACAGTCGAGGATAAGGGCTGTTTCCCATTTTGGTCATAGTCGGCCTGATTTCGGCTCGTCCGAGGCGTATTCGCAATCGTATTCCTTGAAGAAGAAGTGAAGAATTAATTAAACTGGGTCAATTTATTGCTCATGAGAAATGCACGGCCATAAAATTTGCCACCCCAGTCGGTGGATCAATTTAAAATTGCTAGCGAGAAATGCATGCTCATATAATTCGCCAGATTTAGATCAACTAGGTACGGGCATGGCACATATTATAAACAAAGAGGGTAACGAGTAGAGATCGGCATAATGGAAAGACCAAACTTGTTCCAGTGCCAAAGTCTGGTGTCTTAGGTCACCCACCCATCGAGAGAAACTACTGCTCTGAAATATTGTTGGGTTTGTTCTGTACCTATCATTGATTGATGCTGTAGTTGTGCAGAAGCAAATTCAAACATTTGTGACAAAAATGAATGTGCCGACTTTCCCCTTTTTTCAGACTTTGACAAACGAGTATAGTTTAAACTTTAGCTCAACTGAAGCTAAAAAATCATCCTGCTATCAAAAGTATGGGCTCGCTCGCTTGAATTTAGAACTATTAATTCGCCCAGTTCTACACATTAGGATAAGATAAGCTCCTAATGATTTTTCTCGTTCTTTTCTTTCACTTTCCTTTTTCATTAGCAAATAGCCGATAGATTCCGATTCTCTTGTTGATTTGGCTAGGTATCTAAACACTGGCGATCCAAGAGGGACTGATTATTTGCCACCAGAATGTGACGTCTCCATTAGAAAAGGATGGTTTTGGCACAAGTCACAGTCCCCCAAAGAGCTGAGCAAACTGCTCCAAATATATTATAATTCAGTGGGACGGAATTGCGTGCTACTTCTCAACGTGCCACCAAACACAACAGGCCTCATTTCCGAGACAGACGTGCACAGATTGAAAGAGTTGAGGAATGCATTGGACACCATTTTCTCAGTCAATTTAGCAGAGAAATGCTCCGTGAAAGCAAGCAGCCGAAGAGGAGGCAAGGACGGTGGGTTTGGGCCTGAGAATGTGCTGGACAGCGACCACTTGTGGACCTATTGGGCTCCAAGGGATGAAGATGATGGTGAGGACCACTGGATTGAGATGAGGGCGACGGACGGAGGGCTCAGATTCAACGTGGTCAGGATCCAAGAAGCAGTGGGGCTCGGTCAACGGATCAAACGGCACGAGATCTACGTGGATGGCAAGATGATAGCTCAAGGGACAACGGTGGGGCACAAGAGGCTTCACAGGCTCAAAGGAGGTGTGGTCCACGGTAGTGTGGTGAGGGTTAGGATCACTGAATCGAAGGGCTTGCCTCTCATCTCTTCCATTGGCCTCCATTTCGACCCCTTTTGGCAACCCAAGGATGGGAACTGGCTATAATGACATGACATAGGCCGAGGGGAGTGAGGGGTACTTGGGATGAAGGTGATTCTGAATTGAATTTGTCCTAAAGAATAAGTGGAAAGTCGCTCTTTGCAAGTGCATCGTCAAAGCTTGATCTATTTACATCTTGCCCCTCATTTTCAATTCTAGTCTAGCACTTACCTCTCCAATTTTAGACGTGCTATCTCTCACTCGTAATGCACTTCATCAAATTTTGGTGGACTTCATCAAATTTTGTGCACTTACCTCACTAATAGTTAGTGGGGGTGTGCAAATGGGACCGAGAACTGCCTCAAACCGAACCGAACTGACCTAGAATCAGTGGTTCTTAAGGGAATCGATCCGGTTCTCGGTTCCAAGTGTGGAACCATCCACTCAGACCGGATCGGTAATATATATAATTTTTAAGAAAAATGAAAATCCTAAATCCCTAATCTGAAAGCTCGCTAGTCTTGTCTCACTCTCGTCTTGGTCTCTCTCGTTTCGACTCTCCAAACAACTCCCTTGGTCTCTCGACTCACGGCTTCGACTCTCAAGCTCTGCTCTAGTCGACTCATGATTGCGCCTCCGGCCATCCATCACCTCCCTTCCTTGCTTTCGGTTGCCTCCATTTCCTGTAAGTTGGAATCCTTAATCTTCAATCTACTCACTGTTCAAAGTATTGAGAGGAAAGTGAAGTATTCTTTGCACGTGTTGAGAGGAAACTCTTTGGGTTTGGGATGCATGGAAACCTCATGATAGTCGGTCAAGCACAAAAACTCTAGAAAAATTAAAAGCCTATAGCCCTAATCTGTAAGTTGTTTATTTGTTTAATGTTATGCAATTTGTGTCTCATGGCTTGCGGATCTCCCTAGTTCAAATCAAGTGATAGAGTCAAGTGATTTAAATTGTGGTTTGTTTGCCTTGTCATGTTATCCTCTCTCTTTCTCTGTTTTGTCTCCTTTTCTCTCTAAATTGTGTTTACGCTCAAAGTGTCTTGGTCATGTATGTGCCGTAGGCGGTGAGTGATAGTGAATACTCGGTGATGGTCGGAGCTAATTGATGGTGGGGTAAAGTGTACCTGTGTTGTTCTATGCCTTGTGATGTTATCCTCTCTCTTTCTCTGATTTGTCTCCTTTTCTCTCTAAATTGTGTTTACGCACAAAGTGTCTTGGTCATGTACGTGTGGTAGACGGTGAGTGATAGCGAATACGATGGTCGGAGCTAATTGATGGTGGGGTAAAGTGTACCTGTGTTGTTCTCTGTACTAAGCTTATGTCTGTTGTCCTTTGTGTAAAACTTTCATGCGTTGATCTCTGGTGAAGTGGTCGTGTGCCCTGTTATTCAAAATGAAGAGTGCACATTTTAGGGGATTTCAACAAGACAACTTAATAAAGTCAATTGAAGAAACTAATGGAAAGTATTAGTTTCTTCAACGATAAATATCCTCCATTAATGACGCCTTGCTTGATCTGAGCAGGTGATCTATTAACATGTTAATGGAAGTGGAGAAATCCTATGATGCGATAATGCCGATAACGGAATCAAAATCACCAAAACATGGAGGATGTGAAGACGACTTTGAGGAGGCATCCAACACAAATAAGGTATCTAGTTCTTGTCCTCCTCCTAATAAGCGAAAATCAGCAACCTAGCTCGTAAAGGCATAACTCACGAGAATAGGAAAGTTGAGGTGTTCTGCAATTATTTTGGGGCCAAGTATTTGTACCATGTTGATAACGGTACTTCAAATACGTTGAAGCACTTGAGAAAGTGCAATAAGTATCCTCGTAATATTGATAAGAAGCAAAAATTGTTTGCATCACATAGAGTAGATGAGACTCAGATGATATGGGGAAATACTAGTAATAGGAGTGCTACTGTTTTAATGACATGGAAGTTTGATCAGGAGAAATGTAGGCTAATGCTTGTTCAAATTTTATAATTGATGAACAATCATTTTCGATGGTTGAGCATGTCGGATTTCGTGATTATATCAATCAATTAAAACCTCTTTTCAAGCATATGTCGCGATTTATATACGATGGCTAGAGATTGCATGAAGTTATATTTTTGTGAAAAAAAAATTTTGAAGGCTTACTTTCATAAGCTTCATTCTAGGATGGCACGCACGACTGATACATGGAGTTCTATTCAGAATTAAAAACTATTTATATCTCACTACATATTTTATTAATGAAAAATGGAAATTGCACAAAAGAATCATCAATTTTGTGCTGATGCCTGGTGACAATGAGAAGGATATTGGGAAATGGTTAAGAAATGCATCAACAAGTGAGGAATAGAGAAAAAAAAAAGTGTCCATAATCACTGTGGATAATGCTAGTTTGAATAATGTTGCCTTTGGTTATTTGAAAAAAAAAATCAAGAGATATGCTATTAATCTTAGATGGTAAAGTTTTACACAAAGTGTACGGCTCATATATTAAACTTGATTGTGAGGGATGGCTTGGCCAAGGTACGTTATTCTATTGAATGTATTCGAAACGTAAAAAGGTATGTGAGGAGTTGTCTCACGAGAGTTAAAACATTTGAAGATTGTATTGAGAGTACAATGATTACTTATAGGGGTTTATTTTGTCTTGATGTCTCTACTAGGCGGAATTCCACTTACCTAATGTTACACACTGCCTTAAAGCTAAGAAAAGCTTTTGAAATGATAGATGAAGATGATCTTTTTTTCTCAACTAAGCTTAACTCCGATACTCCAGATAGTGTTGATTGGGAAAATGCCATTATTCTTTCCAAATTTTTGAAGAAGTTTTATGATGCCACTAACAAGATGTCCAGAACTTTGTATATCACTTCAATTGATTATTTTGAGGGGATAGCTTCTTTGGATAATTATCTGAAAGAAGCGGCGAAGGGTTTGGATCCTAGGGTGGGAGTTATGGTGTAAATATGAAAGATAAGTTTAACCAATATTATGGGAGTTTCAAAAAGGTAAATATTATGGTGTTGATTGTGGTAACGTTGAATCCTAGGAAAATGATGAATTATGTGAGGTATTGTTATACTCATTTATGATAATAGTACGGAAGTTAATGAGATGTTTGATAAGGTGAAGTTCGCCCCGGAACATTTGTTTAAATTTTATGAGAAATCTTCTCTTGGTTCTTGTGACAAAAATTTGGGTGGTGAACTTGTGAGTGCTACTAATACCAGTAGTAGTTGCGATCCTGATTGCAATGAGGGAAACAAAAGGGAAGATTTCGATTTGGATTTCTATGTGCAAGAGCCGAAGCCTTTCTTAATGAGGAGAAAAAAAGGTCCGAGGGCAAATTATCTGAGCTCGATCGGTATCTTAAAGTTGAACTTGAAGAGGCTCGTGATCTTGACATTTTGATGTGGTGGAACACTGCCGGCCAAATGTTTCAAATCCTATCTTTGATGGCTTGGAATAATTTGTCTATTCCTGTAATTACCGTTGCTTTAAAGTCAACTTTCAATACATCTGGTCGTGTGTTTGATGGCTTTCGATGTTCTTTGACTCTTAGAGTCATGGAAGCTTTTATTTGCACTCAAGATTGGTTAATAGCGGTTCTCGAACCGATTAATGTTGAAAATTGCATTGAAAATACAGAAAAGTTTGAGTTAGGTAAGTCCATATCTTTTCATCTTGTAATTGTTTCATATATCTAATGAGCGAAAGCTTTATTTTATATCTTCTTTTTGTTAGATATGGATCATGTTAACGAGAAGATTAACGGTACATAGAGTTTACAAGTTAAAGTGGAATGAATATATGTGGTGAGATTTTCCAATAATTGTTTAAGTTCAATTTCTAGTAATTATAATTTAAAACTAATGTTGAGTGATCATCTATAAGACTCCGTTCGTTTTACGGAAAATAACTTCCAAGAAAACATTTTTCGGGGTTTTCCGGTATTCATTTCACGGAAAATAAACTAGTCATGAAAAACATTTTCCCTCAATGGACAAAATACCTTCAAAAGTGGGGAAAACATTTTCCTCCTCCTTCTTTCATCATTAACTATAATTATTTTTATTTTTTTTAAATCTATTTTTTTATTATTTTTAATTATCTTTATTTTTTTTCTTTTTCTCTTTCTTTTTCTTTTTTTTTCTCCTTTTTGTTCCTCGACCGATCGCCAGCTACGGCGGCGGCCGGCAACTGGCCACAGGCAAGCTTGAGCCTCGCCACAGGCCGGCAAGGCTCGAGCTCGCTAGATTCTAAGGAGGTTGAGCCTCGCTGGCCTGTGGCGAGGCCAAGCTCACCCAAGGTCGGCAAACTCGGGCCTCGCCAGATCCGGCGAGCTGGGTGAGGCTCGTGCCTTGCCCAAGGTCGCTAGAGTCTCGCCGACGTATGGCGACCTCGGGCTGAGCCTCACCCAGCTCGCCAGATCTGGTGAGGCCCAAGCTTGCCCGATCGACCTTGGGGGAGCTCGGCCTCGCCGGCTTGTGGCGAGGCTCGAGCTTGCCTCCGGCGACCGGCCAAGAAAGAAGAAGAAGAAGAAAATTAAAAATATTTTTAAAAAATTATTAAAAGTATTGCAAGGAGGAAAATCTTTTTCATACTGAACAACGGAAAATATTTTCCCAAACTTTTTCAGATTTCAACCGAAACACCAGAAAATTATGCCATTTTCCAATAAAATAGCTTCCTGGAAAATACTTTCCAGAAACATAACATTTTCTGTGAAACGAACGAAGCTTATTGTTGTTTTGTTTTCAGGATGTTGGAACTTGGAGTTTAAGAACTCTCAAAGCTTGAGAAGTTACTTGCTCTTTTTATTCCTGAGAATAGGAGATTTGTGTTCATTTATCCTCGGTTGAGAAGTTAAATTCCTTCATTTGCTTGCTTATTCTTGCGAACTTGCGAGCTTGTGGCAAACTCTCACGAGTGATATATAATGTAGATTATGGATGCATTTGAAGTGAAGCTTGTGATTCACAAGCTTCACAAGTTGGGAACTTTGTGGCAAATCTTGTTGTGATTGTCGTGTCGTTGTAAAGTTGTCTAATTTACTATGCTGGATGAGTTTGTTCCATGTACTTGGGTTTGGTTTGGTCTGATTTGTGCAATATATGCCTTATCCGAGTGTGAGATAACAAATCCTTGTTTGTTCGATGATCTTCTTTCATCTCAATGTTCTCGCATGGTAAAAGTTCTCGAAATCCTTGTCCAGGGAATGGAACTATATCTTAGTTTTAAAATCTTTGGCTATGGATTTCGCTTGTCCACTTTCAATCTGAGCCCAACGCAGACTTGTGCACCAAATTAAGCCCCAAAAGTTAATGTATCGTTAAATTTGCTGTCTTCTTGTTTCCTACATCTTCTTTCGGAATTTCCACATTGGCCCGGGACAAAAAGTTAAGAGTAAATCATACCCAATCAACACGACATTTGTGCTTTATCCCAAAACTCGCTTCATCACCTTTTCAGGGACCCTTTTTGAAGCTCAATCAAAGAGCCAAAATCGATCCACCCGTGAATGATAGCGACCAACAAATCCAAAAGCAAAGGTGACAACAACATGAGTCACACTAATGAGAAACCAACAAAAGCTACATGCCAATCAAAATAAATTCCCTCCTCATCTTTTGCTTCTCTTTCGGCCTGTCTCAATCCACAGAATCTCAACCCCCAACTTCTGTCCGGTTCCCTAACTCATCTCTCTTCTTTCCATTCATTAAGTGCCTATACAGTGCCGACATTAATGATCACAAAACAGAGAACAAACACACTCGTCGATCAGGGTTTAAGCTTTCACATGCTTTGTCCCTAACAACAATAGTCTCTCACTTGCTGTTCACATTGGCCATTTCGACGAGAGAGCAAGTCCCTACTACCCCACTGCCAATTCTCCCTCTGCCGTCGTACTCGCAGCTCAAATGGCAAGAGAGAGAGATCATCATGTTCCTCCACTTCGGTGTCAACACTTTCACCGGCTTTGAGCGGGGGACCGGGCATGATGACCCAGCTATAGTTGACCCGGTCGGCCTCGACGCGAACCAGTGGGTGAGCGCAGCCGCGGACACTGGGATTTCGCTCATGATCTTGACTGCCAAGAACCACGATGGGTTTTACTTGTGGCCTTCTAAGTACACTGATCACTCCGTGAAGAGCAGTCACTGGAAAGGTGGAAAAGGGGGTGTGGTTCGAGAGTTTGTGGATGCGGCTATGGCTCGTGGGGTTGATCCTGGACTGTACTTGTCCCCATGGGATAGGCATGAACCAAGATATGGTCACAATTTGGAGTACAATGAGTATTACTTGGCTCAATTACAAGAGCTTCTCACCAAGTAAGATCAAACACAAGATAACGTTTAATCGAATAGTGAATATTGTTCAGTAGGGCAATGCATGCCAAACTTTTGTTTTCTTTTGAATTTGTGTTATGTGGGCTTAGGTATGGGAGTCTGAGGGAGATAGGGTTTGACGGATTCAAGGGTTCAAGTGCACTAAATATGACCTATTACTTCACGGAGTGGTTCTCGATGGTGAAGGAAATGCAGAGCTCAATCAACATATTCTCAGATGCAGGTCCTGATGTGAGGTGGGTTGGGAATGAGGATGGATTTGCAGGGACTACTTGTCGGGCCACCATCAACGGGACCTCTCTCTCCATTGGGAATGCCAGCATTGTTGGGTAAGCCTATCTAATGTCCGTTTCTTCAACCATTAGCAATGCTTCATGTACATACACTGAAGATGAATCACGACACCTGACACCGACCGGACCAGACACAGGGAGAAGGACTTTTTCCCTCTTTGGTCATAGTCGGCCTGATTTCGGCTTGTCAGAGGCAGACAGTCGAATTAGACTTAGGAAGGGCTTTTTCCCTCTTTGATCTTTCGAGGAACCGAACCGTGAATAGTCCAAAAAAATTTAGCAAAACCTAGAGGGACTGATGGATTTCGATTCTCTTGTTGATTGGTCAGGTATCTAAACATTGGTGATCCTAGAGGGACTGATTATCTGCCACCAGAGTGTGATGTCTCAATTAGAAAAGGGTGGTTTTGGCACAAGACAGTCTCCAAAAAAGCTAAGCAAACTGCTCCAAATATATTACAATTCGGTGGGACAAAATTGCGTGCTACTTCTCAACGTGCCACCAAACGCAACAGGCCTCATTTCCGAGACAAGATGTGCACAGATTGAAAGAGTTGAGGAATGCATTGGACACCATTTTCTCAGTCAATATAGCAGAGAAATGCTCCATGAAAGCAAGCAGCCAAAGAGGAGGCAAGGACGGTGGATTTGGGCCTGAGAATGTGCTGGACAGCGACCACTTGTGGACCTATTGGGCTCCAAGGGATGAAGATGATGGTGAGGTCCCCTGGATTGAGATAAGGGTGACGGATGGAGGGCTCAGATTCAACGTGGTCAGGATTCACGAAGCAGTGGGGCTTGGTCAACGGATCAAACGGCATGAGATATACGTGGATGGCAAGAAGATAGCTCAAGGGACCACAGCGGGGTACAAGAGGCTTCACAGGCTCAAAGGAGGTGTATTTTACGGTAGTGTGGTGAGGGTCAAGATCACTGAATCTAAGGGTTTGCCTCTCATCTCTTCCATTGGCCTACATTTTGACCCTTTTTGGCAACCCAAGGACAGGAAGTGGCTTTAATGAAAAAGGTCCCTTAGCTTAGCAGAGGCACCACCTCCTTTCTTTTTTCTCCACTATAAATAAAAGAGAAAATGTAAGGTGCCCTCTTTTTCTCTAAAGCTGTAAAAGCAAGGAGGAGATATGGAAATTCCTAACCTTGTAGAACTAGCATCATAATTTGATGCAACAGTCCTTTCTCTTTTATCCCCTTACAAGAAGCAACGAAATTGGTTTGCACATGTGCGAGCGCACGACGGACATGCACATTGGAAAGACCTATTGAGACATGTTAGTTGCCCTGTCCTAGCTAGTCATGTGACATCATAGGAAGCAAGATGTCTTACTACTAATATATAACTAAGGAGCTAACTCAGTCACCATACTACAAGTCAGACATCTCAAATTTTTATTTGAAGGTTACTCACGTAAAAAGATGAAGTAGGTATTTGATTTCATCAAAAGGGCATGGAAGTACCATTAACTGGAATTATACATTTATGTAGCAAAGGTTTTCAAGCAATATATACACACACGAGAATTGGATTAATAGGCAAAAAATGAACATAAATATTTTCAGAACCTAGGAAGTGCGTGCAAATGAAGCCCCTGATCCATGTGAAGGGTGAACATAGTCCGATATGTCGCGTCCTTCTCATCAACAAGCTTGAACTTGAAAAAGTGCACCAGAAGAGCAGCCAAGATCTTCATTTGTCTGTAAGCAAACTCTTTACCCAAGCAAATCCTGGGCCCAGCCTGATACAGTACAAGCAGTTCAAGTTTTGAAGTTCAAAACAGGAATGGTAATTTGTTCTTCAACTTAAGATCCACACTTGGAACACAGTGAATTTCCAAGCAATCTCAAACTGAAAACAATTCAATAACCTGAAATGCAGTGAACTTGAAAGGACTTTCTGGTCGGAAGACTCTGTCATCCAGCCACCGCTCGGGACGAAACGTCTCTGCATCATCTCCCCATATGTAGGTCATCCTTCCCATGGCATAAGTAAGGTAGTTGACACCATCTCCCTTCATGACTTTGAAGCCATCAGGTAGAATATCATCCTCCAACGCACACTTGCCATCCTATATTGCTAAAAGCAAGTAAGGCCCAAAGTTTGAACTAAAATAACAACTATACAATGATGCTATTTCACAATTTATTTCTGACGGTATCATTAATACATGAGAATGGGACACCAACGGAAAATATGTTTTCGTCGATTACCATAGTCAAGAAATTACGAGACGCAAATCGGGCGAAGGTCACAAAAAGATAAAATATATAATCCCTTACACTCTGCACTTCCCGACTTAAGTTTCTGTTGTGGCACTCACTTCCTAGCTGGATGAGCAAGAGAATCTAGAGTATGGACCTGACTCTTTTCTAAGGTAGGGTAGTCAGTTTAGAGTTCCACAAGGCAGTATATCAATCTGGGTCTAAGCCTTCAAACCTATCAGGTGTCGGTCAACAAGTGTTGCGTGGAAGGTTAGTGAGAAAAAAAGGAGCAAAAAGTAAGCAGCCAACAATTTAACTCTCATTAACTATAGAATGCTGGCATTCCAGTTGCCAGATTTTCACAGGGAAACCAACCACATCTTACCACTGGTACAGCCGGGTATAGTCTGAGAGTCTCAGTTAGAGCTGCGTGCAGATAATGCATCCTATCTAAGGCCTCTTCCGTCATTGATTCCGCAAATTCTTCAGCAGAGATATTATTCTCTGATCCAGTTGCCCTTCTTACATTATGGACAATCTTATCTTGAAGGTAAGGATGTTTACAGAGAATGTAAAAGAACCAAGTGAGAGTGTTGGCAGATGTATCCCGACCAGCAATGATAAAATTGAGAGTTATGTCCCTCAAGTATTTATCAGTCATTTTCTCGGGGTCATTCTCACTCTCAATCAAAAATCTTGACAATAAGTCTTCTTTACCACCCTGCAGCCAGAAACAAATCGAGTAACTAAAAGTGGCAGAACAGATGATTGATAATTAACAGAAGTGTACTCACATCAATCACTCCAGTTTTCATCTGCTCCTTCTTGAGGCGGATTAATTCAAAGATGAAGTTGTCAATAGTTTTGAGATTTCGCTTAAGAGAAGCTTCCAGACCAACATTTAAGAACCTTTTGACTTTCCACAGGATATCAGCATATCGCCAATACACAATCGCATTAGAATCATCAAAAGCCTTGGTAAAACTGTTCCCAGAATCATCTAAGCCAGATAACGTATTTAGTTCTGTTCCGAATCCAACCTTGAATATCGAGTCTAAAGTTGATTTCATCAGCAAATCCTGCCAACAAAAAGGAATCGGAAAAGAAAAAAGGAATTGTATTAGTGACATCCATACATCATGGTAAATATTTATTCATCAACTTCAAGAAATGATTGATTTATATTAGGCTAAACGGATAGACATAAAAAAAATAAGCACAAGAATTTATGTGAGAAACTATCTTAATTCTATGCGCGTATGCTTTTCCCATCTGCAACATGCAGTTGGGGGCAAATTGTGATATGATATTCCTCTAGAGATATCATCAAGGAGACTTTTTGCGATCATGACATCAGAACCCTAAAATATGTAGTTTATACACGCCACAAAACCTGCATGTCTATTATTTGCTTTGCTCCTGCTGTTGCCGATATCTTCATGATTAATTTAACAGCATTTCTCCGGAATATTGAAGTACTAAAGTCCTTCAAAACTTTTGTCGAGAACTCATAGCTTGCAAGCTTTCGTTGGTGGCGCCATTTTTCTCCATCCACAGCAAAAATACCATCACCAAATAGATCTCTCATGATTCCACAATTGTATTCCCCCTGAAATGGCAAAGGAGCTGTCAGAACAACAGCAATGATCAAGCTAACAGGCAATAAAGGCTTTCAGTACCTTGCCATAATTAGAGAAGTTAGTTTTCAGAATGTACTCAATATTCACTGGATCAGCAGTGTAAATTTCACTGTGCGTTGGCACAATCAGCCTGTAAGTGCTGTATCTCCGTGCAAGCAATGTTTGGTAATCAAAGAGATCATTGAAGTGTATTAGTTGATTAAAGATTGGACCTGCGACTGGAGGCCTTTGATTTTTTGACAATAACTCTCTTATGTAGATGAATGAATATGCAATTGCAAATATCAACACAAGAAGAAGACATCCTCCAAGCACAGCTAAAACAAAATTAGCTGCCTGGAGTAGTCCAGCAACAAGGAAGAAGATGACAGAAAGAAGATAGAGAGCACGAATCATGATAAATGCTGAATGGCGATCCCGTAAAAGAAAGATGCACGATTTACCAAAAGCTTTTAACCATCATTTATACTACTTAATCAGGTCTTTTTTGTACCTCTATGGTGTCCTGAGCAAAGGTGTCATTTTCTCATCGCATCATAGTCATCTTTCCCGTGAAGGACCTGAAAACTTGACAGCAGATAATTGTTTCACATGGTGACAAGTTTCTGCCTTTTCAGACCCCTACTTTGTTCTATTCATAGCTATTATCAATGCATTTAATTACTAAAGACAAAGAAAATCTTTTTATATTGATAAGGAATGTGGACCTTTTTGGATCAACCGCAGGTATTCTATTCTAAAGTCGACATGATATACCCCACCATTTCCCACACATTCACATCTATCATATTTAAAGTCCAAAGTTCATAAAGAATCTGATTTTGGGGGAATCAAATGGTTGATTTAGTGCAAAAACATCATTTATGCTGATCCCTCCAACTGGATAAGACCCAGAAAACTATGCCCTATTTTTCAGCCCAAGGAAAAGATGGAATTAAATTTTGCTGACAGCTTGATTGTTTCAGCTTAAGTAAAAGCAATAAACAATTTTTTGTTTTCCCACCAAAATTTAAAACATTTTCGGAATTTCAAAAAAATTATATGCAAATTTACGTATTAATATATACAATTTGCGAAAGTTTCAAATGTTTTGGATTTTTTAAAAAGTGAAAGTGCGTGGACCAGAAAACATTGATCAAACTAAACAAAAATATGTAAAAATCAATCTGGACAAACCCAATAATCAAATTCAATAGATCCAACAGAACACATAGAAATAAGGATGGCTATGGTCGACAGTGAACACTGCACTGGAAATGCATCTTGTAAGATATTTGAAACTTCTATTGAGTGCCTGGAGGCTGGGACAAACTCAAACCAACACGAGCCAGTTATAGAGTGGAAATGACTATGATATCCTCTTACAGTCTAGAAAAGTGCAAGGCTTCTACAGAAACAAGCTTCACTAGAAGTATTTTCCAATTAATGTTAGCCACTAAGTGATGACAGTATAAGTAAGAAAAGCCCCAGTCAATTTCAGGTGGATTTATGGTCTTGATCTCCGATCGGCAAAATCTTGACGAGTTATTGGCTTTGCAACTTCCACAAGCCCAAGAAACATGAAATTAATGGGAGGACAAATAAAACTCTCGATTTTGTGGCAAAACTAATAAGCACAAACATAAATTTGTAACAAAGTTAAGCAACCGCGGAAAAGAGAATATACCTTGGAAGTCTTTGTATTTCTTAATCAATGCTTTGACACGTCCTAGTTGTTAGTTCTGAGTCTTCTGACAAATGCTAAATCTATGAAAACCAAGACCTTCCAACTCATATTTACAAAAGGAGTTTCCCAGAAACTTATGGCACTTCTGAAGTCCTGGAAATACTTATATTGTCCTGACATTTGATTAATGTAGAAGAACAAGAAAGTTGTATTTGATCTTTCGAGAACACGCATCCAGCTGTTGCTTAAAGCATCCACATATACATCAGCACTGATCACCTAGACAACTCAAAACAAAGAGCAATTCCTCAATCCTCACTTCAGATGATCCTCTCACTGAGAATTCATAAACAATTCCATCAATCTCTATCATGCTATGTCCAGGAACTTCTTTCCTTATTTGTCTCCCTTTCATGAGGGACTTAATGACCTTTAAATCCTTGAGTCTACCAGTTTTGGCATACATATCTCGCAAGCTCACATAGAATACGTGGTTCAGAGGATCCAAATCAATTAAGTACTTGGCCACCCTTTCTCCTAACTCTACATTACCATGCATTTGACAGCCAGCAAGCAGTGCACCCCAAACAAACACATCAGGCTCCGTGGGCATGTTTTCGATGAGCCGTTCAGCCTCTTCAAAAAGTCCTGCTCTGCCAAGCATATCAACCATGCAAGCATAGTGATAAACCTGAGGCTCTATGGAGTAAACACGGTTCATCACATCAAAATACCAGCGGCCTTTCTGGACCAAACCAGAATGAGCACAAGCTGACAAAAGTGCGACAAAGGTCACATGGTTGGGTTTCACTCCTAATTTTTCCATCTCTTCGAAAAGCCTAGAAGCTTCTTCACAAAATCCGTGAAGTGCAAACACAGATATCATAGCTGTACACGCCAAGCTGTCCTTACTGGGCATTTCTCTAAAGATCTCAAGTGCTCTGTCCACAGCTCCGCATTTACCATACATGTCAATTAGAGCTGTTCGAATTACCATGTCGCACTCTATGCCACTTCTACTCAAGTAGGTGTGCACCCATTTCCCATGATCAAGCGCACCGAGAGAAGCACAAGCTGAGAGGATGCTCGCAATGGTAATCTTATCGGGTCTAACAACACCACCACCAGCACCTTGCATTTCATGGAAAAATTGCAAAGCCTCCTTCGGCCTACCCCCCTGAGTAAAACCTGTAATGATTGAATTCCAAGTTACAATATTCCTTTGCTCCATCCTCCTACATAGGTCCAATGCAGCATCCAGATTTCCACTTCTCAAGTACCCCATAATCATCGAGTTCCACGAAACAACATCCTTATCCAACATTTCATCGAACAACTTGCGAGCACAGTGTGACAGAGAACACCGCGCAGAGTACATGGAAATCATGGAATTGTTAATGTAAATATCACGACCAAATCCAAACTTTAAGGCTTGGCCATGAATGGCCTGTCCCGTGTCAGTGTCGACCCGTCTCGCACATTCCTTCAAAAGGAACGGGAAAGTGAGGCGATCAGGCGAAATGCCATCGACAACCATCCGCTTATATAAACCAAGAGAACGACATGACCCTTTCTCACTGTTGCGAGCACCCATCTTAGACGAATAAGCTCTGATCATGATGTTGTAGGTATAGAGGTTCGGGCTCCTCATGCACCTAAAAACAGAGGCGGCATAGCTAAGTGAGCCGGAAGGAGAGAGAGCACAGAAGGAGAGGAGACGAGTGATGAGGGAATGGGCGGCGTGGCTGGGAATGTATGGCGATTTGGTCAGTTGGGCATGGATTTGTTTGAGCTCTCTCATGTTCTTGCATTCATCGATCAACCGGGAGATTGCAGTGGTGAAACTCTGCCATCGGAGTTCCAGCATCTGCGCCCGTCACCAATGCTGAAAATGAAAAATCACGAGACACCACGGGTAGACTGCCCTCCTACTTATCGAGTGCCGTTTGAGGTTTCGTTTGACGAGTAAGAGGATATCGAGAATCTTGTCTGTGCAACAACACCTGAAGCATTTCAGAGAAGGCTCCATTTCTTCGGAAAAAAGGTTGTCCAATGTCCAACGACCGTGTCTTGATCTGTCTCTGTACTTACTACACGATCTGTTATCATGTTAACCAATGTAATGAGAGTACCAACATATTTCAATCTTCATAATTTAGAAATTGATCAAAGATCACTAGTGGAATAACCACACGAATGATCCTTAAACTTTAGATCAATGTGCAATTTATCCCTAAACTTTTAATTTATTTAACATGATCCTTGATCTTTAGTCCAATGTGTAATGTCGTCTCTAAACTTTTATTTTGTTCAATGTAATCTCCGGACTTTTGATACATGTTCAATTTAGTCACTGGTTTATATGAAAATGTTCAATGTCGTCATTCCATTAATTCAAGTTTAGAGACAGCATCGAGCACTTATAATTCATAGACTAAATTGAACATATCCAAAAAAATTCAAGGATAATATTAAACAAATTAAAAGTTTAGAAATGACATTGCACGTTCGGCCAAAATTGAGAACACTTTGCACAAATTAACAATTCACAGACCACACCGCACGTCATTGACTATTCATCTCATTTTCCCAAAGTTGATTGGACCTGTCTTGTCTTTTTACCCAAGCTGCAAGAGAAACTTTACGCATCTTCCAAAAAGTGTTGTCTGATCAACCGTGTAATTGTGTTGAATGACCTGAAGGACTTTGCATTCGGATAGTTCGTTTAGCTGAATTGGCCTCAACCTTGTCAAGGTGTTCTATAAGCACAGCCCAAAAGCTGAAGCACCCCAAAAGCTGAAGCACCCCAAAAATGAGGAGGTATTCGGCAAAAAGGTAAAAAGAACAATGAAACGGCACAAGAAAATTGTACTTACAGTTGAAGGAAAATGGGAAAACATTGAAAATATCCCAAAGCCATAAACATTCTTGTACATGCTCTCTCCCCCTCTCTCTTGGGATATTATTCCTGTACATGCCAATAATACCCTACAAGAACCCTTCAATTCCGCGCCCTGCTATAGCCTCCCTATACAAAGTGAGAGCTTCTTCCATGACCGGCGCCTGAGCCAGCAATTGCGCTCTCTTTTTCCCGGATGGATGGGTAGAAAGATAGTCTCTCAGTGCCGAGTCTCCAGTCACCTGGCCCAACTTCTCAAATACTTGAGGTGCCACTCGAGGATCATAACCGGCAGAAGCAATTAGCAGCAAGCCAATATAATCTGCTTCGATCTCCATCCTAACAATTCGGAAGTAGGAAAATCTTCAGAAAATTAAGCATCAAGAGCTAACAAAACCAGTATGTCAGTTTGCTGGACATCACGATCACAATGAGAAAAATGCATCAAGGCCTCGTTGCTTACAAAAGAGGTTTAACTAGAATGCTGGAGTAACTAACAGATAGAAGATCATAAGTAGGTATACTGTTTACATTACATTAAGACATCATAAACAGGAGACTATCCATCACACATGTGGAAATTTGACCAGATCTTTCCCCAAGGACTCTACAAAAGAGCATGAAAACACCGCTACTCACAGTCACTGATGACAAGTAGTACTCTATTACAGACAGAAAAAACCAAGTTTGGATAAGATCGGCTTTGCAGGACTTGTGAATGCCTACACTGTTAGAGCATATCCAGCAAATACTTTACTTCCGCAGAGACGGAAAGTAATTACTAAAACCAACTCCCAAATTTCGAACATTCAAAGTAAAAGAAAGGGGTAACCCATGGTCATATGCTCTATTTTTTCATAAACAGATTCTCCATTCTGCCACAAAGGCAATCAATCCCGTATTTACAGTTACAAATTTTAGTAGCAACAGGAGGGGTCACAGGAGACTGGGGCTTGAGTATACAAACTCATCAAAGGTAGTAATCCCTTCATCATACACCACACTTCATTTTCCTACTCGTTTCTTGTACGGCCAAGAGTCCGTGAAAAGGAAAACCCGGGCCAATTCTTTGTAGAGAAATATTCCCCAGCAGACTGACTTCAGTAACCGCAGAGAAAGTAGATGGCACTGGCTTAGTCAACTAATCACTCTTAAGAGAAAGTTTATTTCATAGCAAGTTGCCATGTGTGCAAAACATTGATGTCTCAAGTCTAGCAGGAATCGTAAACAGCCACAGGAGGTCCACACATGTTGCATATGACCATCCAAAGCCAACTGTTTAAAAGACAAAGGAGGTTCCCAATACCATGCAAAATCGGAACAAGAGACTTACCACCCACCCAGAGAAGAAAAGAAGAATTCGTTTGCCAGAAGAAAGGGGGATGGGGAAGAGAGAGAGAGAGGCTACGGCTAAACAGCCAACAAAAAAGCAAGGCTAGATGGTTAATACGTACTTCCTTGAGAATGGGAGCCTTAAGAAAAGAGACGACATTGTGTTGACAAGGTCAGGCATGACGAACTGATAAAGTATCAGCTGTATGATCGTAAACCAAAGATTCTTTGTAATCGTCTCAGCTGAGTGCCTGGCCACGGCATGCGCCACCTGATTCAGCAACAAAGATAATTTCTCTCAATTATTGGATGAATACTGCGAATTCAATCTATCCAATGAGGTCCAATATCCATGAATCGAGTCGATACCTCATGTCCAATTATTGTTGCTATCTCTGCATCTGTCCTAAAATGTTCCAATAGTCCTGTGAACACAACAATCTTCCCACCTGGCAGGCAGAATGCATTCACAACAGGCTCATTCACCACCAAGACCTCCCAATTAAGGCCCTCCAGATGTGAAGTCGTGGGCTTTGATCCGCGCTCGCGACCCTCCTTCCTGCTTTGGTCAACCCACCTATCATCAAGAAGCTCCTCTTCACGGGACCAAGTCTCCTCTAGCTTTTCTGATTTTTTATCGCTCAGAGCCATCAGAGTATCATGAGCACCAGTCTCACTGCCCTCAAAAGTGTCAGGCGAGGCATAATTTATATCACGCCAAACCTGCATCGACATAAATACCAAAGTTTCACCGGGAACCAAAATGGTAGAACAACCCGCAACCATTAATTAGAAAAAGCATCCGGCATCTTTCCACAGGAGACACTAATGAAAATTATTGTAGAACCACAAAGAAGATTGGTAAACTATATGACTCCACTAGTACATCTCCTACTGTGAAAGGGTTTAGTCTTTAAGTTCAGTAATACTAATAGATTCATTGGGATAATTAAACCATAGAACTTCACAGATTTTTACCCAATCTTATCGGATGTCTACAAAGAGACAACTTCACCGATTATCATTAACGTTCGAATATTTGTCCTGTCTCCTTAACCATAGATTCAGAGATAAGAGGTGACCAGAACACTCAACTTCAGTGACATTCCTTGAAGAACTTACAACGTCAACGAATAACTCGATCTTCCAACAGAAGATAGACTAGGCAGCGTATTCAAAATGTTCAGTTCAGTCGATCAATTTATCATTTTGGACAAACCTGTTCATGCCTCAAACCTCTCTGCAGCGCCTCAATGATATCTTTGGCGATCAATCTGATCCTGACGCTCTCCGGGTGGATCGGCGGCAATATTTTCCCCTTGAAAGAGGCCTTAATCTGCTCGAACTGGGTCTCCCCGAGCCTCCTCTCCAGGTCTCTGGACAAGAGCACGAAATGCCTCCGCTTCGTGTACGGCACATCCTCCAGGTTCCCGAAGAACACCGTGACGAAAACCCCAGAACCCACCAGGACCACGATCAGCACGTTCCTAGGGTTCCGGAACCACCGCCTCGGCCCCCGCGGCTTGAAATGCTGCACCTGGTGTCGATCCACATAGTAGCACCGCTTCGCTCCGATCGAAAACGGATTGCACTGGCTCCTGCCGGTCCCGGCCACACCGTAGCACCCGAACCGGCGAAAGGCCGGAGGGCACGGAACGACGTCGGGAGCACGCCTCGACGCGCCTGGAGGGAGAACCGACGGCCCGGCGGCTCGGTGAATCCACGAGCCTCGCTGAGATTGAGCCGAAGTCCGAGTGAAGTTGCGGAAGGCGTCGAGCGCGGCCCTGGCTCCCTTGAAGAATCCCATTTAGCTCCGGCGACCGGCTTCCTCTCAAATCATGGATGCCGGATCCGCGACGGCGTGGCTCTGTGGCGACGAGCTTGGAGGAGAAGCAAGAAGCAAGGAGAAGGTCTAGACTCTTACCGCGATTGATTCGGTGGAGGGCGAAGAGGAGACCGAGACGGTCGATGTCATTTGTAACAAGACAAACTAACTACAATTGTATGGTTCTTTCGTCGTTGGTCATCAAATTGATTTTTCCTCTGCCGCGGGTAATTTTCAACACACACCAAAAAAAAAAAAAATTAGAGAACTAAATTTTACTTCAAGGATAATTTCGCCCCGACTTTTAAATATGGGACAAATGCATTCGAAATCCTAAAACTTGTAATAAAAGTGCAATTGAATCCTAAAATTTTCAAGAAATGTAATTAAGTCTTAAAACTTGCCGAGTGGATTCTCCATCGTTATGTAGCCTGTAACGCAATCTTCGATGGTGACTGGATGGGACCGCTCAGGGTGCGGTTGATAACTATTCTGTTCCCAAAAATAATTTATGCTCAGAAATGATTTTTTTTGTTATTATGTTCCCAAAAATAATTTCTAAGCATTTGAAGGTGTTTGGTAACAACCCAAAATTTCCATTCCTGAAATTGAAAAAGAACAAATGCGTTTGGTAACTGTACAAAAAAAAATTATTAATAATATTTTTAAATATTTTAATATTTCTTTCTTTTTTTTCTTTCTTTTTTTTCTTTTTTTCTTCTTCTCCTTCTTGGCCATGGCCAAGTCGCCGGCCACAGGCCAGGGCAGGCGAGGGCGTCGTGGCGACAGGCGAGGGCAAGGGTTGGACCCTCGCAGCCTAGGCAAGGGCCACCCTTGCCGGATCCTTCACCGAATTCAATGAGGGCTAGACCCTCGCTGGCCTTTTCCAGCCCTCGCTCGAGCTAGCGAGCGCCGCCCTTGAGGCTCGCAGCCTAGGTGAGGGTCGCCCTCACCAGATCTGGTGAGGGCTGGATTATCGCTGCCGCCCTCGCCCAGGCCGTGAGGGTCCGCTTGTGGCCGGCGAGGGCTGCGATGCCCTCGCCGGCCTTGGCCTGTGGCCGATTGCCGATGGCCGGCCAGGAAAGAAGAACAACAAGAAAGAAGAGTAGAAAAGAAAAAAAAGAAAAAAAAATTTCTCTTCTATTTATGATTATTGTTCTTAGAATCAAGAAGCAACTTTTTTTTGCTTCTTGATTCTACTTCAGAACTAATTTTGGGAACAAATTTGTGCAAAATTGTGTCCGAGAACAAAAAATTTACCAAACAAATTTTTGTCCTTTTTTTGTTCCACGGATTAAAAGAATAGAATCAGTCACTATTTAGCAAGTTATCAAACGCACCCTTAGAGGCTTTGATGGTCCTCTCGGTACATTGCCGATGAGCCGACATTGGGGGAGGTTATCGATCCTTAGATGTTGGATCGATGTTGTAAAAGCAAGCTTTTGAGCGAAGACGAGTGGCGTGGCGATAGGTCACCCCAACCCCTTCCCAGGTCTTATATGTTTTATGGTAGTTTTTGGGATGATGTATTAAGAAAGTAATATTGATGTGAATATAATGACATATGTATAATATTTAACTCGCGCGACTTCATATATTCGATTTTGGTGATGTTTCATTTCGCTTTCCGCATGCCAATAGAAAACATAAATCAAACTTGAAAATGACATGTGTAGCATGCAACGCACCTAGGGCGTTATAGTAGACCTATCAAAATGAGTCAATGGATCCATTTCCTAACCCATATTTGATAGACCGAGCCATTATATAGGTTATAGGTTACCAACGAAGTTTATAATGAAAAAACCTAAAATTATATGGATATTAAATAGGTCCACAGTTTACCCAAGCCTAATCCACCTTTATGGCTTCTCTTCAGCCTTCTATTAGAAAATAATGGACTTCTCGGACTGTTCCAAATTCATAAAAGTCTTGGAGGGCCCGCAAGATGAGTTGAACTTCACCCTTTTTTCCCCATTATGTTTTAGTTTACTAATCTCGTAAGTTTCGTCTATTACTTATTGAAGTATATCTTCATTGGTTGCATTTGGTGTTGTTATTTTACGTATTAATCTAATTTTAGTTCTTATCATTACAATTCATGGTCAGCATAAATCATTTTCTTCAATATCTTTCATTTCTTATAATTAAAATTTCAATTCCTCCACATTATTTATTGCTGTAATTTTATAAATTTACTACCAAGTACTAACTTTATCTTATTCTTCATTGTGAATCAATAACAAAATTAAAAATTTTACGCAATATTGAAAGCCAATACTTTAGCATCTTATAGCCGAGATGGAATAGACACATGAAGACCGTAAAGTGGATTAATTAGATGGATACAGATTTTCATAGGTTGGATTAAATATGAAAATATTTTAGTAAATTGTTCGGATCAAGTATGGATTTGGTACGAGCTACTAGATTTGTATTGCATATAAATTGATCAATTTGGGTCATGCCATTTTCGACCCACCCATTTGACGATCATATGCCACTGTCATTAATAGGTATGGTCATCAACAAACAATTAATGTCAATGACCATATAGTCATTGATGCTTAGTTACATGCTTATTTGAATTGGCATCATGTCGATGGTAAAGACTTGGCCATTTTTTAATGTAAACACATGTTAACCAATGTGACGAGAGTACCAACCAACTTCATAATGTGATTATTGAAGAGGATCGACTGAGCATAAAGCAAATCATGTCGTCTTGTCTTTTTGCATGAGCTTCACGAGAAACTCTACCCATCTTCAAAAAAGGGTTATTGATCAACCGTTTAATAGTGTTAAAGACCCTTGCCTCGGCTATTAAAGAACTACCGCGACCTTGTCAAGGTGTTTCCATAAGCACTACCCAAAAGCTAAAGCACCTCATAAATGAAGAAGAATTTGGCAACTCACATTGCTAATACTCAACACACATTAAACGAAAAAAACAATGAAAGAAGAATTGAAAGTGACCATTAAACAGAAAAGTTCAAAACTTTCGAAGCAGAAAATTTTTAATTGGGCCGAAATGCGTATGATGAATTGGCGACTCAAATGACTGGACCCAAATGTGTTCTTAGGTAATTTTGGCCCATTTTGCTCTGCCTTTGCTCTGCCTCTTTAGGCCCATTTTTATGCCCAAAGAAAGAAAAAGAAAAGGAGATTATTGTCAGGTTCACCGTAAGCGTCATGTTTAATCGATGAAAGAATGATAGTGCACATGGAATTAATTTTGTAACTAAATTCTTTCACGTGTCAACAATCCAACGGAGAGCGCGTAAGTCACTTTTTTACATCGGCAATGGACGTAAAAAGGAAAAAAAAATCAAGACCGCTGTGGAGAAATGAATAGGAAAAAGGAATGAAACATAGAAGGAAAAAGAAATGCCGAAAGTAATGTTTTCTTTCAGCACATCACATGGATGGTCGAACCAATAAATTGGAGCATCCACACCTAGTAAAAGAAAAAAAATTGATGGATAAAAAAAATTAAAGCAGAGGAAGTAAAACGGTCATGTCATTTTTTGGGGAAGAGGCTAAAGATGTTAGACTCATATTATTATTGTTGATGCGAAGAACCGTCTTGCAACTTTCACTTGTATGCGTGTCCGTTGCTTGGGGTTACAATTCCTATACAAAGTGAGAGCTTCTTTCAAGACAGGCGCTCTCTCTTTCCCGCATGGATGAAGAGAAAGATTGCGACAGCCTTCCCCCGCCGCCGCCGCCAGCTCGGCATAACCATTCACCTTATCCAACTCCTCATATACTTTCGGCGCCACCCAAGGATCATACCCAGCGGAAGCCATTAGCAGCAACCCAATATGATCTGCTTCGATCTCCAACCTAACGAATTCGGAAGAAGGAAAAGTCTTCAGAAAATTAAGCATCAAGAGCTAACAAATCCAGTATGTCAGTGGCCTTGTGTGCAGAACTTTGATGTCTCGATTCTAGCAGGAATTTTAAACAATCAAAGGAGGTCCATACATGTTGCATGTGGCCATCCAAAACCCGACTATTGAAGAGCAGGTTCACACATGAAATTTATTATCATGCAAAATCCGAACAAGAGACTTACCACCCATCCAGAGAAGAAGAGAAGAATGCGTTTGCAAAAAGAAAGAGGGAGGGGGAAGAGAGAGAGAGAGACTCTGGCTAAACGGCCAATAGAAAAGAGAGGATCGATGGTGAATACGTACTTCCTATTCAATGGATGCCACAGATGATGAGACGACATTGTATCGGCACGGTCGGGCTTGGCGAACATACCAAGTATCCGCTCTAAAAACGTAAACCAAAGATCTTTTGTAACCTTCTCGGCCACGTGTCTAGCCACCACATGCGCCATCTGATACAGCAACAAAGATCTCAGCTTTTCGATGGGATACTGCGAATTCAATCTACCCAGGGGGAGATTCACTGTTCCATGAATCAAGTTGGTACCTCATGTGCAATTACGGTTGCTACCTCTGCATCTTTTCTGAAATGCTCCATTAGTCCTGTGAACACAGCAATCTTCCCATCTAGAAAGGCGCGTGCATTAACAACAGGCTCGTGCACCACCAAGACCTCCCAATTAAAGCCATCCGGATGTGAGGTGGTGGGGCTGCGATCCGCGCTCACGACCCTTGTTCCTGCTTTGGTCGACCCGCCTATCATCAAGATCCTCCTCAGGGGACCGAGTCTCCTCTAGCTTTTCATATATTTGGCCGCTCGGTGCCATCACAGTATCATGAGCACCTCTCTCGCTTCCCTCAAAAGTGTCCTGCATCGATTTATATACCAAAGTTTCACCGGGAAACAAAGTCGAAGAGCAACCAGCAGTCATAGGAAATAACATCTGGCATCTGTCACAGGATACACTAACGAAAGTTATTGTAGTACCACATCTGCACTGACCGCGAAAAGGTGAGAGCTTCCTGTTCAGTAACATTCTCATGGAACCACTAAGGCAAATTAACCCACAGAACTTCACCGACCGTCTCCCAAATCCCATCGGATATCTACAAAGACACAACTTTCCTGATCATCATTAACATCCGAATATTTGCCCGTCTCCTCGATCATACAACTACAATGAAAATCTGGATCTTCTAACAGAAGATAGGGAATACAGTAAAGGAGGACGGCGAAGAGACTAAGGAGTGTATTAAAATGTTTCAGTTCAGTCAATTAGTAGTCCTTTCTGGACAAACCTGTTCATTCCTTAAACCTCTCCGCGGCGCATCAATGATATCTTCGGCGATCGATCTGGCCCCGACGCTCCCCGGGTGCATCGGCGGCAATATTTTGCCCTCGTAACGAGCCTTGATCTCCTCGAAGTGCTTCCCCCCGAGTATCCTCTCGGTGTCTCTGGACAAGAGAACGAAATGCCTCCGCTTCGTGTACGGCACGTCCTCCAAGAACTCGAAGTACACCATGCCTACGAGGAAAACCGCATGACCCACCGAGACCACGATCGGCACGTTCCTAGGGTTCCGAAGCCACCGGTTCTGCCCTCGCGGCTCGAAATGCTGCGCCTGGTATCGATCCACGGAGCAGAATCGCTTCGCCCCGTTCGAAAATGGATCGCACCGGTTCCTGCCGATCACACCGTAACGGCCGAATCGGTGAAAAACCAGAGGACACGGAGCGACTCCGAGAGCACGTTTGGATAGGCCGGAAGCGAGAATGGACGATCCGGCTTCGATCCGGCTTGGCGCATCAAAGTTAACTGACTCTACCAGGATTTGATTCGGCGGAGACGGCGGAGGTCAGTTGTTTGTGAGCTGCAACTGAAGGAAGGAAGGAAGGAAGAGGTGGGAGTGAGGTTTTTGCCTTTGCAAAGCGATCACCCGCTTGTTTCGCGTTGCAGAAAAATTGATCAGGTTTTCATTTTGTTGCTTTTTCGGGTGACCATACCAGAATCGATCCTCAAACTTGAAGTTCGATCGTCAAGGTCAAAATCTTTTCATTCATGCTCTTTTGATTCGAATCAATTCGGTTGGTTTAACGACATGACAATCCAACTTAAGCCAATGGCTGGGCCAACACGTTCAAAATTTGGTCACCTGAATTGATTTAGCGGCCCTTGGAGAAAATTCAGTAAAGCCAGCATTTTTGCCCTTGGCTTTTCGCATTTTCGGAAGACAAGTCGCTCGCCTCTCCTCAGTCCAGTCGCTCCCCTCTTTCCAGGTTTTGGATCTGTTCCGCATTTGACAGAATATTTCTTGCGTGTGAGCGCTCTTGATTAGGTGAAAAGAGCACACTTGATGCGTGCATTGATGGCGTATCCAAAAGCTTCTGGCATTTGCTGTCCAAAATTTACTACCCTCGTGGACATATCATATGGACAAAAGGAAGTGCAGTTTTTTGTCAATTTTTGGGCACAAAGAAATGTCTATAATAATTCTAAATCACGCAAAGAATAGATTAATATATTGATTCGTAAGTCGTCTTTCTTTCTTTCTTTCTTTCTTTTTTGCAGCGAGGTTTGTAAGTCTAATTAATTGTGCATCTTTTCAAGCATACTCGCGCATGAGAATGATATTTTTATGATGATAAGATCGATATTATTTCATGGGCACTACATAGGGACATATATGTCCTTAATATTGATATGTAATTTCTACCAAACAATGAATTGGATATAATATAAGAATATCCGACTTTAAATCTGCAATTCACCAAACAGTAGATTGGATATGACAAAATTCTGGATTTCTTATCTTATCATATCATATCCAGTCTTATCCCGACTAGAAATTCGGACGACCAAACATAGCCTTGATGATTTACCAATATAGTCCTTCGGCGATTTTGTGGCCAAAATTATCCGGAATGACTATATTGATAAATTGTTAAAAGGTTTATGACTAAATTGACAAATTGTCAAAATATTTATGACTATTTAAGATTAAATTGGCTAACGTACAATAGGTTTATCACTAAATTGGCACAATTGAAATGTTTAGAATTGAATTTGCTGCCGTACAATAGATTTATGACTTTTTGGATAATTATCCTGATTTGCACCAAAGAAACGCCTATGAAAGGACTTAGCCATATGGTAAGACAATAAGCTTCCATCTTCATTTAAAATACCTTAAAATAATTTCCCATGAACAGCTATCCCATTCACATTAACCTATGGAATAGTTTTGGATTGCCCCTAAATCTGTATTTGAATCCTTAATCGGAATATGAAAGAATGTATCGGACCAAATATGTTTTTGTCAATGAACTTTTCTGTTTCATTGAACATAAGCAAAGACGAAATTGGAGAATAGGATCTAAACCATCCTTGTAGATCATGATTGATGAAGGTTGATCCTTACACAGAGGAGCTAGCAACCCAGATCAATGACAACAAAACCATGAAGAAGTGAAATTTGCCATTAACTACATACATCGAACCAACAAAAGACATCGCAAGAGAACCGCACCCACAATGTCTCGAATGTCGACATTGCAGCCGACGACGAGTCCACGAGCATTGTAACATCTCCTACGGTAAGAGAAGGACCGGCAGCGACTCTCTTATTGGGTTTCAATACCAAAGATGACTAGTTCACCATAATTACTGTACATAACTTCAGTCTAAGATGCCAATTCAGAGGCATGGTTTGCAATTGATTCGTGAACAATACATGGTGATATGCACATCAACAAAGCGCAAAGGGAACACAGAGAAGTCTAACTACAGAAGTACAGGAACGCACTGATTAAGAATCCAAACGCGACATGCATAAAGAATCTGTAGTTAGGTTGTCCACCAGAAGAAGCAGCACTGTTGCAGAGATTGAATCCGTACCAAATGTCACTTGGAATGAAGGTGCGGTAGTAAAACTTAACCGCCTTAGAATTGTCCCCGTAGATCTCCACGCTATCGGGTTTCCAACCGTCCGGTCCGCTCCTGTAGAAATATACGTAGCATATCTGGTACGCGCACGGCCCATTTATCTCAAATGTGTCGGAAGAACATCCTTCAAATGTTCTGGTCGATGGATCGTCCAGCCTCGGGGCATAGATCTAGTCATTCATCCATATATATTTGGGCAAAGTTATCATTTGCAGGGAATTAAGAGCAAGCGAAACGTCGAATTCCAAGGACAAAACAAAATCTCCAGAAAAGAAACAAAACGAATGCAGGAACTTCTTTAGCAATCATGAGTATAAATTACGACTGCTCCATTGGACACCAGAAAAGGCCTAAAGGGCTGAGCCACAGACCAGATAGCCTTCCCCTAATTAGATTTCCATGTAAACAGTTGCCCGGAATACAATTCTTCTCGTCAAGCACGCCATAAAATGGCCTAGAATCCAATTTCTCAATGCACAAAAAGCAATAAAACAGCAAGGTAAGGACTGCCTCACGACGCCACACGCCGCAAATGAACACAGAAACGTCGCGGAGCGAACCTGATTGCCGTAAGCATCGCCAAAGGCTATGCTGATCTGGTCCCGCGTGTACGAGGGAGAAGAGCAGCTCGTGGCGATGACGACCGTGTAAGAGCAGCTTCCCACTTTCTTCATCGACCGAGGAACAGAATCACCCCATCAAAATCGCGAAGGAAGGAAACCGGGGAACGACTCCGAATTTCTCCAATACAAGGTGAACGGAGGATTTTACCTGGATGTAACTCAGATTGAACGACGGCAGCGCGTGAGGTTGCCGCGGGAGGGCGCTCGACCGGGCTTCCGGGAGGACGAAGGAGAAGGCGAGCAGGAGGAGGGAAGGGACGGCGATCGCCATGGCAACCACGGGGATCGCGAAGCGAAAGCAGCTGGATGGATCGACGGCCGCGAGTCGAACACGCAATGGTCGTCAACGGCTCCTGCCAGAACTTGGAGGAGAAGAAATGGGAGAGAACAATATTAAGAGGATTTATGTGCAAAATTACAAAAAAATAATAATAATCATGTGGGGCCCATGGGGGACAAGGACTAGGAGGGACATTGCACGACCTTTTCTCATTTTATTTTTTTAGCGGTTCTGTCGTGCGGAGGTGGGAATCTAAGATTAGGGATATTATTATTCTTCCCGATGCATCAATCTAGCGCACCGTGGATTACGCTAACGAGTTGTTTTTTTTTAAGGGGAGTCTCTTGAATACGTTTAGGTTGCGAACGCTTTTGGGTTTTTTGAGGCACCGGATACATGTGTCCTCGGAATGATTAATTTTCTTGAAGACTAAGTTCTCTGGTTCCGTAGATTCTTGTAATGTTCGGGATTATATATCGTCGAACACACGTGATGGAAGCGGACGATGATGCCGCGACATCACGGTCCATGAAAATATTTTACCCATCTAGAGATCTCTTTGCAGGTTCCAAGAAACAGTTTGACTACGTCCGTTTGTTTTTTTTTTTTGTTGTCAGAAAAAAAATCAGGACTAAAATGTAATTATCTTCTTCTTTTTCCATCTGCAAAACAATATTCGAATGGTGAAGACGGAAATTCTTGTTTTTAGTAATGGGAAGTTGTGAGGAAATGGATGGGAATGCATGCCATCAAAGTCAGAGGCTCCATCACGTCAGGCCATCGTCACAAACCGCGCTGTTACACTCTAGTTCTACTTTTCATCGGACTTTCCTCGACTTCTTTTGGACAATCTTGGCTGTGTATTTTTGGGCTTGCCCTGGTCGGGCTGCTCGATGTCTAGCGCTCGTTCTTATTGGAATCAGGCCGTGTCTCATCAGTAGTAGCTAACGGGCCTTTAAGGCCAGACCCTTCTCTCCCAACATGAGCTTACACACCATGCGCATTCGATTCATTCTATATAAACAACGGTTACGGGATCGTGCCGGGTATGAGCTAGAGTGCTGTTAATTATCGTACAATTAAATCAAGTGACTTGGGATTAGAGACATGTAAAGTTAACAAAACCTCGCCATATGAAGTGAGGAATCAGGTGATTCCGCTCCGATAGAAGCCGGACGCTATGGTTCCCCGTTTGTCTTCTACATATCAACTGCAAAAGCGATTAAACTAATCGATCGCAAACCACGTTCCTCCCAAATCTGTTGAGGAAGCGGACAAGACAGGGGCATAAAAGAAGAAATGCAAGGCGTCGAATCGATCCTCGCAAACATTTTAAAACTGCACTATTATTTTATTTTTCGTCTCATTGCCATACCGTCCTCTGCCGCCTTCTCCCATATCTACAATTTTTGCCTTTGGCACAGTTTTAAAGTCGACCAGCTTTGGGACCGCACGGCGGATATGGTATGCTGTCCCTTCATCGACATCACGGCCATCGTCCCCCTCCCTACAGTCTCTGTAGGCCTCAATTGCAAGTCCGAAATCTTTGCACCACAAATCGGAGCACGTGCATGCTCAATCAAACAATGAATTATTGTTTGTTATTATTGTTACGTAGCCAAACCAGCCGGAATTATTATTGCTTTGTATCCAGACAACTTCAATTCGATTGATCGGATGTTTCCATGGATCGAGATATTCCCACCGCCAAAAGAAAAAATTCCCAGAAACGGATGACTACGTTGCAGCAAAATCATCGCCGGAGTCTCCGAAACGGCCATTAAAAAAAAAAAGAAACAAACCGAAGGAGGCGATGATGATTACGAGTCCGTTCACCAGAAGAAGACAAAACACGTCCATTACCAACTTCGAGACGTTTTACTTGCTTTACCAGATTCCCACGTGCCACAGCGCAAGATGTTCCCAACCACAAAAGATAAAAACCAAAACAATCTTTTTCTCGAAGCAATAAAATATGAATTCATCAACATCCGAGGCTGCATCGCCCAAGTGTGCAGTTTATTCTCTCTACAACAAGCGGCTAAAAAGGATACAGTAGCCTAAGAGAAAGAAAAGCAGAATTGACAGGAAAAGAAGGAAAGAATACATGAACGGTGGTCACTTTCTCACTTTTGCAGGAGAAGAAACAAAAAGAACGGAACAGAGCGGAAGAACCCAGTTGAATTCTTTGAAGATGACTATATATGATCTCTGTAATGTCTAATAATCTATCCTAGTAACAATCGCGAAGCGGGCTTTGAGAAATTTCTTCATACCTCGGCAGATATATGTACGTACTTTCCCTCTTCTCTTCTCTTCTTCTTGTCACTAAGTACAGTACTCACCGCCACTTAAACCCCCACTCTTCTTGCTCCTTAAACCTCCTCAAAACCCCGTCGATGGCCACATCGAAAGCGTCCTTCACGCTCCCCAACCCTTCTTCCGGCAACGCGTACACGAACTTGGGTATGTACTCGATCACTCTCTCTCGCATCCTCCTCACGTCCTCTTCGCTGTACCTCTCCAGGACTTTCCGGATGGACGCCCCGTTTTCCACCTCCTTCCGGTCTATGAAGACCGAGTAGCTCCCCGGTTCGCCCGGCAGGAACCACTCGTACTGGTAATAGGCGGTCCGCCTCCAGAAGAAGACCGGGATCGAGCCGGCCACCATGCAGTCGAAGATGGACCGGCGGGTGAAGCTGTCCCCCCTCGGCTGCAGGCAGAACTTGGAGCCCAGGAAGGTCTCCAGGATTTCGGACGTGCCATTGGAGCACCGTGACCCCGCGCAGTCCACGACCCGGCACGCGTCCGACTCGTTGCGGCACTGGCTCAGCAAGAGGCCCCGGAAGTCGTTCCTGATCGCGCCGCGCTTGGCCCCGGCGAAGCAGAACAGCGCGGGCCGCGGCCGCGCGCGGACGTGGTCCTGCCACTCCGCCACGTCGGACTCGGACCGGGGGTGGAATCCGGTGGGGTAGGGCACGCCGACGTCGAAGTAGTCCCAGGGGTTGCGCTCGATCAGGAGGCGGGTCATGTTCCTCATCCCCGCCATGTAGATGCAGCTGGAGCCCCAGTCGTCGTCCTTGGACCGGCGGAAATCCCAGGTGATGCGCCCCATCGTGATGAAGTGATCCCAGCCGTTGGATCTCTTGTAGGGCTCCTGATCCCGGACCCAGCGCAGCATCATCCCGCAGTGGCGGTCGCGCTCCTTGGCGCTGGAATTAGACCACAGGTACTTGCCCACCGCGAGCCCAGCGTAGAACGGTATGTAGAACGCCGCAGCCGATTCGGGCTCCATCGTCCTGCACCCGTGCTTCAGGATACGGTTGTGGAAGATTATCTCCGAAACGAACTGGTCAGTCCAGAACCACGCCGGCGCCAGCTTCTCCGGCACGATTCCGGCCAAGCGCCCCGCGGCGGGCTGGCCGAACCCTTGGTTGGCTAGCGCGTCGCATCGCGAGCTCCAAGGGTTCAGGTTGTCGCACTGCTTGAGAATCTCCAGGTTGAAGAAACTCGGAAGCTCGTACACGTAAATTTTCCCTGCCCAGACGAAAAGCTACCGCTATTACAAGATCGACATTTATGAGCAGCGCACTATGAAACCCTCGTGTCCAGAGAAATTAAATTTCGCACCGTCTTCATAATTTTGATAAGATACGGACAGAGAGGCGCATCATTTGCATAACCGATGCAATTAGAGCTGGAGACAGCGCAATTCGGAGAACTACCTGAACCGCATTGGTCGGAGTCCGTGGACGGAGGATCGGCCGGCGATGCGGAGGAGGAGGGGAGCCGAGCGGCGGTCATCGGCGCCGGGAAGTGGTGGCGGGCGTGTGGGAAGGAGAGCGGGAGGGGGACGGAGCGAGCCATGAAGAGGATCAAGATCTGGACGGAGATGACGGCGAGGAAGAGCCATGTGCGGGGGTTGTGGAGGGAGAAGTAGGGTTGGAGAGCGGAGGCGAGCGAGCTGAACGAGCTCTTGCGGCCGAGCAACGAGTCGGCGGCGGCGGCTTTGGCGTCGGAGGCGGCGGTCTTCTTCTTGTGCGATTCCGGGGAGGGCTGATCGGAAATGGGAAGCATCCCGGAGGGGAGGGCTCTGAAGCGAACGGAGGGGGGGCTCTTTGCCGGCGACTCGCTCACCGGAAAAAGTGGTGATTCCGTGGCGAACGATGAGGGATGGACGGTGATGGGGAGGGTGCGGATAAAGCGGGGCTATGAGCTTCCTTTCCGTTACTCGGTTTCGATGGGGTTGGGTTTTGTTTCGGTCCTTCAGGTGTGAAGGTAACCGAGGACAGAAGAATCGCCACGTGTAGGTCGGGTCTTACAGTGACAGTCTACGAGAGCAACCGACACTTTACGGTCCCTCCCAGGGCGGACACGTGGCAGTCGGTCCCCCCTTCGCATGTCCTCCCGCCTTGATAAGTCGCGAACCTTAGTACATTAGGATTTATTATGTGGAGAATTTCTTATGGACTACGTACCTTATTTCAATGCGACTCGGGATTGAGCGTACGAGATTGATTTAGATGTCGCGTCCATATATTTGCTGGTTTTATTCCGGGAAAAAATAATTTTTTACATTGACATCGATACTCATCTTTCAATTATTAATAATTTATTGAATGTCCGCTTAATGTACTCTAACCGTGGTGCGTTGTTGGTTTGAATTGACGCGATCCATACATCTTGCAATACGTGCTTTAAAGCTACAACACATTAAAATTTAGGGAGATGATTTCCTAAAAGCTACTATAAATCACTGCAGCCATATGGATTTTGGCAAGCATCTTATATAAGTTGCACACTTTTCCACGGTATTAACCGTCGCAGAAAAATCGTACAAAACAGGCTCTGGGCGATGAAAGGATGCAAAATTAAAATATTTCAAGTTAAAACTGATGTTAATCAAAAACTATATTTCATGCTTATGGACAATTGATTCGGTATTATTTTCTTCATTAATTACCACCGACGAGTGATGATGGGTGGATTCAAAAGGGGTGCAAGGATCGGACACGTAACATGACGCGAAGCCGAAACGCGGGGGCCCTTGAGGACGACGGCGCTTGCACACCCGTTCGTTGCTTTTGTTCGTTTCCCTTTCCTAAAGCCAAAACCGGCGGTGGCCGCCGAGGAGTCAAGTTTGGCGGACGCGATTGCGCGTCGCGAGCTGCCTGTATTTGAATTGCGAGTGCTGGCGTCCACTCCGACCTTAGTTGTCTCTGATTAAGGACGTTTTGATGGGCTCTTGATTAGTGACCGGTCTCGTTCGAGTTTGATGGTTGATTGTGGTAGCTCGCGGGATTGAAACTTTTGCGTAGTCAAAGTACGAAAAGTCGTTACGTTGCTAGGCAAATAAAAATCGAATTCCTAGTCGTACGACTGCGCAAATCATACCTAATGACGAGTCTTGCGAAATACTCTAATCATTCGAATGAGGTCGATGCTAAATTCGGGACGAACCGACATTTCATTAACCATTTTATAGGCGTGCGTCAACTCACGTATAGCTTAAAGTTTGATGGAAACGGAGGTCGCGGTAACTCGAAACCAAGTGCGGTGTACAGATTTGTCTGTGATAATCCGAGTCTGAACTTGCAATCAAGCTCGAGCTGAGCTTGAATTTAACTTCTGAGTCTTGAATATATCTCGTTTGGGCTATAGTGCAAGTAATGGACCATTTCAGATCAGCTGAACTGTGCTTAAATGCGAGCTATCCACTGAAGGACCATCCTCTAGTCTAGCATTGGAGGATTGCCGACACAAACAGTAGTTGGGTTCTGCGGTGAATAGTTGCACTCCGCATGCGATTTTTCGCAACATTAGTTTTCAACGAGGCGAGTATTAACGAGTTCACTAATGTTTATTGTTCCGATTGAGCAGCCCGCCATTACTCACCGAACTTTAGGGCGGATTCGTGTTTAATTGCCGTTGATCACACAGCTCTGATACTGTTTGATTAGTGGAATCGATCCACGCCCTGGAAATTAATGAGGCCATTCGATGATAGGCGCACGCGTGTCCATGATCTCGCAGTTGCTCGTGCCTTCATCGTCCGATGGGACGGCGTGTGATCCCCGCCCCGGCCAGCGCTGCCAAAAAAAATGCGTAAATTACTTGCGCGAGTTATGTTCGCATGCGACGGGTTAACAACGCTTGTTCAAGACGATCATTAGTGGCCAGAAAAATTCCAAGCTCGCCAGCCCACGCTTGGAATAAGTGGGGCGAGGTCTAATCAGACGAGTTATGCTGCGTTTCTTCATCTCCTGGGAATGGAATATCTCGTCAATTCCTCATTGTCTTTTCTTTTCTAAGTGCTCGCAAAAGTGGGGGATTGGGGCTTTAATCATTGTCCTTCCTCACGCTTTGTGGTGTCCAATGATGATTAACTATAGAGCATCTCCATCAAACTTGTCTTTCTCACCCACCTTTTGACTAAAAAACAATCGGGCCAATTTCGAATTTTAAAGGGGGAAGTAACTCAAATCCCAATTTCTCACGTTTGATCAACTCGCTCGAAAGCGTTTGTCCTTCGTGACGCGAAGGATCCGTTTGACCCGAAATTGCATGGCCCAGTGAAGAAGCCCAAGAGAGAAATCTCAATTTTTACTCGGCTTTCTGGTACAATCGGACATGTCTTGGGAGCCGAATCGTGGGACGTGCACTTCCCCATCTATTCGTCAGCCTTGTCATGGAAATAAAAGGCCCAGCCCATCGGCTCGACCGGCCGGATATCGTAAAGGCCTGAGTGAGCCACATAGATGAGATTGGATACCAAGACAAACTCGACCGGCAAGCTATAAGTTACTCCTTAGGACGTGAAAGATAAGATTTTTTTGGGGGTTTAATTTATTTCGCGCGAAAATAATTACTGACTAACATTACAATAATGAAATTCACGGCATCTTCAACATACAGCAATCATGGTCAATTGATTAAGCCATCTTGAAGGGCTTTCGGACGTCTATAGCACAAAAAAGGTAACATGTTTAAGAGAAACTTTCCGGGATATTCATAAGTTTTGCCATCCGTATAAAGGGAGCGCTCGCATTAACTCTGATTGTTATTTGTGGACTCATAAGACAGACATTAGATTTGCAACCCAAAGGATGACTGATCCAAGAGAAAAAAATAGTTCTTCACCAAACTAGTTCGGCTAATTCTCTCCTGAGAATTAGAGATTGGGGCATAAGTCGATCCTTCATATGAACCCATATTTTTGATTCACCCGTCACGTGGCAATTCCACTTATTTCGAGCCACTATATTCGAGCAATTCATTTGCTTAAGTTTTGTAGAGCTCTAATAGAATCTAATATTTAGCTATTCCACTATTCATGTCCACTATTAGTAGCACGCACGAAGACCATAACTATACTATACTTCTCCAGTTCTAGAGACCTATAAACTTAAGGATGAATTTAAAGTCATGTGCTTTTTTGCATGCTTTTTACACTAAGAACAAACGAGAGACCACAATGTCCTCTTTTTGAAGAACCTTCTGCATGACCACAATATCTGTATGACCTTGCGGATGAAGAAAATTTGACTTCGACGGCACGGGGATAACATGTAGTCGTCACCTTTTCCTTTTGGAGTTTGGCGACCTTTATCTTTCACTTTTTAGCATCTATTGTTTAATTACGCAACTCCAATTTCATTCTGTCAAAGGAACGCTGCTTTATTGATAATTCCGATGCACGAAATTACCGGCTAATTTTCTCAATTAGTAGTAGCTTGGATTAAATCAAATCAAATCAAATTAAATTACGTTGGGAAGGTTTGCCGCGATGACGAGTCCCTCTCACTTTTGCCGCAGGTAGGGAAAAAAAGTCATACGAGGGTGGTTAAGGAGCGAGCGGGAGAGACGTCATCGTCGCGCGCACGGATCCCCCCACGTGGACGCGACCGCACCGTATCCTTCCCCCCCCACCCCGCAACGGGACGAGCCCCTCTTGGCAACGAGGCGATCACCTGGTCGACGCCCAGATTTAGGGAAGCCGCACCAGCGCTCGCTCCGCACGTCGGTGTTTTTCCTCTTGTCCTGCTCTCCTGACGATTTCTTCTCCGTCGTCTCCGTCTCTCTGCAATTTTCGGAGGATTCCCGACGTGAATTAAATACGGAGAGACGGAATCAGAGAGAGAGAGACAGGGGGGGAGGGAGGGAGATTGTGGCGTGCCGAGGCGGGATGCGATTCGCGAGCTCGGGGCGGGCAATGCGCGGGCCCTGCCGCTGCATTGCGCTGATTTTGCTCTGCATGGTGGCCTCCGCCGCCGCCAGATCTGAGAAGGAGGTGCGGGAGAGGTTCTACGGCAGCCTCCTCAACTCGACCGCGCCGGAGTCCGGCGAGGGGAGCATCGCCAAGATGTTCGATCGGGTCCTCGAGAAGGAGTTCTCCGACAACGAACAGCCCGAAGGTGCGCCGCTCCTAACCTTTGCTCTGTTTCGAAAATTCGGGTCCTTTTTTGAGCTATCGGATGACTTTTTGCGTCGGTCGCGATGAGGCTTCGGATTGGTTTGATCAACTGAACCTGTTGGTTCACGTGTTTCGACGCCTCGGGTGTTAAAAACGCGTGAAATTAGCGATTGACATGTCTGGGCAGTTCTGCAAACGAAAGCACGGGAGGATACAGTAATCACTTGTCTTCGGGTTGTTGTATTCTTAGTTAGTGATGGGAATGATTTCGTATAGCAATGGATGGCCCTCTAGACGAAGTTTTCCTATCTTTTACTGCAACGTGATGATCTTTCTCCGTAGAGAGGATTGAGTTCAAACATAGGGAATTTTGTCTTTGATTTCTTCCCCCCAGTGCCAGAGGTTAAGCATGTACTATTGCGACTATTTTTGTTGATTTCCTAGAAATTTTTGGTTGATTGGTCACACATCTTTGCTCTTTTATGTTTAGTTTGTTTGCGATATAATGTAGCTGGTTTGTTTCATTGTTCTCTATGTTTTTTCTAGGAACCGAAGAAAGCAGCTTTAACAACAGTGTAGCTGGTCAGCAGGTGAGTTGATTTCTTATATTAAAATCTCTAGTAGTATCTCCCTGCATCAACATTTTCAAATCTTATATACCACAGCCTACTGAAGTCTGTTGTGCTCAAGATCTTTGTTTAGCTTGATGTTGCTCAATATAGGTCGGCCAGAGTAGCTTATGACCGGGAAATTTGTTTTTTTTTTATGAAGCTCAGTTTAGATGAAAAAGGAACACTATTCTTTTTTCTTTGACTGTGCTGTTCTTTTAAGAAGGAAGTAGGTTCGTGCTTTCTGAAGTTTACTGTTTTAGATGGCATCAGTTTGCTCTCGACTTGCAAGAGAAGTGTGCACATCTCTTCGAGCTTTCATGCATGAAATTTCTGAAGCAGTTCAACATAATTCTAGTAGATTGTTCTCATAGTTTTTGTCTGTTGGGCGTTGGGCACTTCTTGTTTGGATGATGTGTGTGCACACCTCTTTTTCTGCTTTCTTACTTCGTATACCAATGATGTTTCTACAGGCAGTGCTGGAGACTGTAGCTAAAATTACTCACGACAAGGTCAAAAGAAATGATACGCGAGAAACGAAGTATGTAAAAGTATTTGAAATCTCATGTAAATTGAATCTTTAAGCAGACTAATGAATAATCTTTGTTTGCCACGCAATACCACTATAATTTTGAATGCCGGTTATATCAGTGGTACAAAGCCATTTCAGCTTCAGGATGTTTTCTCCCTTGAAAGTGAAGATTCTGATGACACTACAACCTTAATTGACAACAAGGTATGCACAAAGTGTAGGAACTCATGGGAAAATTTAACCATCATTCTTCTTTTGGATGTTATTGCAACGAGCTTTCTTATTGTGGGCATTGGCAGGATAACGAGTTTGTGATGTCAAACAAGAAATCCAAATATCCCATACTTCAAGTTGATCTGAGGTTGATATCTTTTTACATCTTACCTGTCTGTTAAGCATGAATTTATGTAATTCTACATGTCTTGTATCGTGATGAGGAGGTAATATTGCAAATTAGGGCTCATAGATTTGGAGATCTCTCGCAAGTTTGATTTGCATGCCTATTGAATTTCTACTTATATTTTGATTGTGCTTTCTGCAGATTAATATCTGATTTGGTGGTTGTCATAGTTTCTGCCGCCATTGGTGGAATCATTAGTTCTTGCCTGGGACAGCCAGTAAGTTTATAAAACAGTATCTTAATATTCCTATTTATTTGCAGCCAATTTGTTCTGCCTCCTACAAATGGCAGAATATCATAATTCAGAATTGCGTGATTTAGGTAATTGTTGGTTATCTTCTTGCTGGTTCAATCATAGGACCTGGTGGTCTCAAATTCATTCACGAGATGGTTCAGGTATGCTATCATGAGTCGCTTAAGTTCTTCTTCCCTCAATCATTATCACTTCCTGAATGATTATCAGTTCTTTTCATTATCTGAGTCATAAGTCTCTTCTTGCTGATTGTGGTGTCCTCATCATCACACTCAGATTCTGAAAGTACGGTTAATGGTTCTCTCGTATCTCTCCATCTCGGCCTCTGGAATTTTGAGTTATCTTAGTTCCGGCTCCCACATTCTGCCTTGTTTTACCATCGGAGATACTTTAAACTCATGACATAATTACAATATATGTTTTTGTGTTGGTTAGGTATTATGCAAAGCAAATTATTTTCGAATAGACCCTTACTCTACTCTATTTGGCATCTCATCAGAGATGAATTTTTTTATGAGTTCATTGGAATAAGTTCTTTTTTATGAAAAGATTTCCATCTTTATTTTGTTTGTTCACTACTTTATATAGGCATTCGTAAAACTAGTATTGCTATGAGCGGCTAATTACAGAACAAAGTGAATTTTTGCAGCAGAGTGCTTTCTCTGGTCGAAATTCTTGAAAGCATTTAAGCTCAATCAGTGAGTTTGTCCATTTGTCCATTGCTGATATTCTAACATATGATGGTGAAACGACATTTCCAATTGTGATAAAGAATGTGAAGTCAATTTGTGGCCTCAATAATTCTACATTTATCTTGGTGTTTGTTTTTATGGTCAATTTCCATCCTTTACATGCATAGTGTCATTCTTCCGTTCCATAGGACTAAACAATTGGTTTGGTACTTCTGTATTTTATTAAGAACGTGACCTGAAATACTTTTTACAGATCGCTTTTCTTTTAATAGGTTGAGACTGTGGCACAATTTGGTGTCGTTTTCCTCCTTTTTGCTTTGGGCCTAGAGTTCTCTTTGACAAAGGTATGGTGCACACGGGTTGGCAGCTTTTGACAACAGTATTTTGCATATGGAATGTAAAACTTCAGTTGTCCTTATTATAAAAGGTTGTTCTACCTTGTTGCTCGTGCAGTTAAAAGCTGTAGGGCCTGTTGCTGTCCTAGGAGGGCTACTTCAAATTGTGATATTCATGTTTTTGTGTGGCATAAGTGCCATGGTACAGTAGCACTATGGTCTTTTTAATAATACCCGTCATTGCATTCTGACGAAATAGATTTTAATCTTATCAGTCAATTTTTCAGGTTTGTGGAGCTCAGTTGTCTGAGGGCATATTTGTGGGTGCTTTCTTATCAATGTCATCAACGGCAGTGGTACTCATCCATACATTGTCTTGATGCTAGTGTCCACATCCATCTAAATCTATGATTATGCATCTAACTGTCCTTTATGCAGGTGGTTAAATTTCTTGTGGAACGAAATAGCAGTAATGCTCTTCACGGTCAGGTGACCATCGGGACTCTAATTTTCCAGGTACTTAATTGTCATCTAATCTGACAAAAGAGTCGAGACCTAAATTTACACATACAGATCGTGGTGCTAATTTCTGTGATTTCTCGCCTATTTTGCTTCAGGATTGTGCTGTTGGGTTACTATTTGCTCTTCTGCCAGTTTTGGGCGGTAATAGTGGCCTACTTCAAGGAATGATATCTATGGGGAAGCTGTAAGTTTGGTTTCATTTCCTTTTTTTAAGTACTTTATGTGGTTCAATTTATGTTCAATACATGATAATTTGACAAATGAAAGTCTACATTGAAAGGGATTTGATGAAACTGAAACTCACATAGTTTTTCTTGGCGCTTTGTGCCCCTGTTGAGAATCATTATTAACATGCGTAACGTATACTTTACTCTGGCAGCTAATATCATTTGCCCCAATTGTCTATTCTTTTTACCAGCACCCTTATGTGGCATCTGTCTCATGTTTGATTGCAGGCTTCTTGTACTGTCCATATTTCTCACTGCTGCATCTGTTTTATCCTGGTCATTTGTACCCCGCTTTCTGAAGCTAATGATACAGTTATCATCACAGGTGAGGTTAAAGGAAATTCACATGTCTCCTTCTGTTGTATTTTGCATCTGAAACAGTATTCTGCTGTTATGCAGCTGTCTCGCTATTTTTGGCTCATATATTATTTTATTTCATGATGTAGACAAACGAACTATACCAGCTTGCTGCCGTTGCTTTCTGCTTATTATCTGCATGGGTAAGTGTTACAATGTCAAGTAACGAGAGGGAGGGAGGGAGTTTCCATTGCTTTACATAGCACATGCCCTGTAGTTCAGTTCTTTGATTTATGAAGATTTAGTAAAAGAAAAGATATCATCGCTTCTCATCCATGTGTTTGCTGCCATTTTCTCAGTGCAGTGATAAATTGGGCCTCAGTCTCGAGCTAGGTTCCTTTGTTGCTGGAGTTATGATATCCACCACTGACTTTGCACAGCATACTCTTGATCAGGTAATTGTCTTCTCGGGCCTGGTTTTTTCAGTTTTTCTGCAAGTGTACATTTCTTCTATTTTTTTCTTCTTTTTGTGCACAAAGGACTATGTCTCTCTCTATCTCTCTCTCTGAAGAAGGGAGCTAGGGATAGTACATCTTCATTACTCTCTGGGCGAGACATGTTCCTGTCGGTCAGAAATTACAGTTCGTCACCGCACCACACGAGTAGAATCATAGTATTTTGGGGTCAGATTGGGTTAGGAAAATCCAAGCTTGCTACCTCATCGGGTTATAAGCTGAGTCATTTACAAGGCAATTTCTTTTAACATTAAACTTTGTTATGTTACAGGTGGAACCTATTCGGAATTTATTTGCTGCTCTCTTTCTCTCCAGCATTGGAATGCTTATAAATGTACACTTTCTTTGGAATCATGTGGACATACTTCTGGCATCTGTTTTGTTGGTTATTGTCATTAAGACGGCAGTTGCTGCAATGGTTACAAAGGCCTTTGGATATAGCGTCAGGACGTCATTTCTTGTAAGGCATTCAGCCTAGCATCAATTTCTTACCAGCATCAAATGACCGTTGCTTACCATGTATAAGGGTTTGTAGGTTGGAGTGTTGCTTGCTCAAATTGGAGAATTTGCCTTTGTTCTCCTCAGCCGTGCCTCAAATCTTAATCTTGTTGAGGTGATTCCTTTCTTTATGATGCATTGTGCTGCTCTCTATGTTTAACTTTTTCCTTGTTAGTGCTGGTTTACCATTAGTACCTCTTTCAAAATAATTAGGAAGCAAAGATGCATATTAATATGAGATGGAAAAGATTTCCTGGTTGTTCCTTCAGAAAAGAACTTTAACCAAATTTTCATCAGTAGCTCTCATATGCTTCTCAAGTGGAATAATGGAATGTTGGCCTCACAATTCTTTAATTGGCTTTTTAACGAGAATCAGCATCATGAACTTCTGCGTTTTATGACATGTCCCGAGTGTCACCTATTCAAGCATCTTTTGCAGAACCGTCATCATTGTGATAATTTTTAAATTAAACATTTCCTGGTATGCAGGGGAAAATGTATCTTCTTCTTCTCGGAACAACAGCCTTTAGTCTGGTAAGTCTCCTTTTTGGCAAATGATTTGAGGGATCTTTTCTACAATGCCATGGCGTAAAAACGCGTGGTGAATTTCCACCATTCAACAACTTTAATGAGTTCATTGAACCGTTGGATCAATGAAATCCACAAACTGGTAACTTGGGGAAGCTATCGTTCGGTAAGCTTCTAGGATGTTAGGAATCGGTCAATTGTATGAGTAACATATGAAAATCCTTTCATCTGTGAAAGTTACAATCTACTTATATTGCTTAAGAAAGTAACTATTAACATGAGGAAATTACTAATATTAACTATTGATATGAGCAATTAGTTTTTCATACGGTAAGTTACTATTGACAACATGGAGAAGTTATTAGTAACTAATAGGTTGTGAATATTACATTTATTATTGCAAAGTTGGAGAAGTTAATTAAGCGCAGCTATAGTATTGGGTACTTTTCATCATGGAGAAGTTACTAACTGTGTGGGAAAAAAATTCTTATTATAGAAAAGTAACTATCAATCAGTTAGCAGCTTTTTACCTGATTAGTAAGGATTGTAAGTATTTCTTGGGCTAGTATTATTAATTGGCAATAATCTGTCATTTAGCCCACAGATTTGAACCGTTTTTAAGCCAACCGATTCGTAGAAATGCCTGATCTCATTGTTTCTGCATACCATGTTTCTGAATCAAGCAATGATCTTGCAGGTGACGACTCCTCTGCTGTTCAGGTTGATACCTGCAGTGATGAACTTGGGTGTACTCATGCATTGGTTCCCTTCAGAAAGCGGCACACAACCTGAGGTCTCTCTCTCTCTCTCTCCTTCTCTCTCTCATGTATATGTCGGGAGCAAGTTACAATTTTAGCTGCTGCGAAATGTTAGTCTTATTTGATGTGATAGGAGTTCACTTTTTTAAAGTGTGACAGTTGAATATTGGTCTGTTTTTCTTGTCAATCTTGTGTAATCGTTTGGTTACTGCAACACTCACTAAAATTGTTTACCCTCACAGGAGAAGGTTTCCAGAGGTGCATAACAGATTTCTGTAATAATTCTAAGGTTAACAAGTATTTTTTCGCGGGAGAACAGCACGTTGATCTCAATCAATTGTGAATACCGGGGCTTCAATGCCACACTTACTTTTCAGATATACATAAGGGTCCAGTTGATACTCCAAGTTCCACAATAGAATCGGAATCAGCTCACAGCTTCTCTGTACATACATAGGGATTTTGTTGGCTATAGTGTACATATTTCCATTCAGTCATGTCTGGGGAGTGGCTTTTGACCTTAATTTGTCGGCTTAAATCGGTCTGATCGTCTTCCATGTCGTAAACGATTGTGCTTGTGTGGAAAGGAAAAGAAGTTTATGGAGAATAGATTGAAATATTGATTATTTACTTTTTACAACATTATTCATAGCAGATGATAATAGTTGATATCCAAAAGCCAAAGAAACAATACTAAGTAGGGAAAAAGACAAATCGTTCTTAAATTTTGATCCAATGTATATTGTGGTTTCTGAAATTTAACCCGTTGCGCAATATCGTCCATGAACTCTTAATTTATTCAATGTAATCTTTAAACTTTTGATACATATTTAAATTAATTTCTGAACTATATGAAAATGTTTAATATTGTCTTTTAACTTAAATTAACGGAAGGATAACATTGGATATTTTCATATAGTCTATTGATTAGTTTGAACAGTTATAAAAAGCCCAGGGACCACATTGGATAAATTAAAAATTGAGAGATCACATTTTACATTAGATTAAAGTTTTGGGACTATTTGTGTTATTAACCCTACTAAGTATTGCGATCATCGAATACCAAGAAAACCATTCCTTCTCAGGATCAGGCATGGGAAATTCGCAAAGCCTAGCAATTTGGGAGACACTGAGTTCATCTAGGATCGTGCAAACGATGTTCAACTAACATCACCATAAAAAAAATGGAAAATGTGCTTCATTGTAACACATATAATTTCACAATTAGTGAGGATTAAGCACAAGCTCGAAATCCAAAATGGTATGTTGTAGATAGTTGAAGAAGAGACTGATTTGCAGAAACTTTCTGTGAAATGGAGGATAAAACAAATGGGCAAAGCAAGCAATTTTCAGGTCTCCAACTAGCCAAGGGTTAGATATGTTAAAATAGGTCATAAAATCATTTATTAACCTATATTTGATGGGCTGAATTGTTATATGAGCTAGTTATATTCAATTAATGAATCATAAATGGATATAATATGGGTGTTAAATAGGTTTGCAATTAATTAGATCAACCTATTTCTATGACTCTCTCTCTCCTTCACTTGATCTCTGACTTGCTCACTCCATGCTTTCACCTTAGTTTGTGTATGGGTTTTTCTAAATTTGGTTAAATATAAAAGTGTATTAGAAATATGAGTCAGGATCGGGTATGTGCCGTGAGATTTGTATTGCATGGAAATGGGTTAAAACCTGCTAAATGGGTCAATTTGAGTCGAACCAAATACAACCCGACTCAAACCTAATCCGATCCACACGTTTAACAGGTTTACTAAGGTGCCCCTCACTTAAAAAAGTTGCCAGCTCCACTCGAGTCGAGAGGCCCAATCGGTGCATCTCCTACGAATGGGCCTGTGCCTCATCACGATGAGGCCCATCGCTTGTTGGGCCTCATCTTCAACCCAGAGCCAATCGAACCAATCCAAATCCAATGGAAAAGAGAAGAAAAAGGTTGCTGCGGGGGGAATCCAATTCCGGGGACCCTGCCCTACCCGACCGAGCTTTTAGATCCTCGAAGCTTTTTACTCGTGGAACCACCTGATTCGACGCTTCCTCCTCACTTCGAGATCGGCGAAGAAGCTTGACTCGCATTGACTTCAACAGCTCCGGCAGCGGCGACGAAGAAGAAGAAGAGAGCGACGACGGAGAGAGAGAGAGGAGGGAGAGAGAGAAAGGGGGAGGATGTCGAAGGTCCGGTGCCAGAGAATCGGCTGCGACGCCTTCTTCTCCGACGACGACAATCCAGAAGGTTCCTGCCGGTACCACGCCGCGGTAATGTTCGGATCGATTCCATTGCCCTTTTGCAGTATGCTTTTAGGTCCCCCTAGGTTTTGATTCTGATATCTTAGCTGAGGCTGACCGGCCGTGAGCGATCGGAGACGAGTGGCTGCATGTTTCCTCTCGCCTTGCTACGATTGCGACGTGTCAAGCGCGTGAAGTCGTGTCCTCCGGCGTGGCGCGGAAATCTTCGTCCCTGAATCGAAGAGATTCGGAATTGCGGTTTGCTGCGAACCGTGCATGGAAACGTGTTTTGCTCTGTTTTGGTGCTTTGAATTTGGGTTATTCATTGTAAAGGGAGCCAGCGTTGTTTCTCTGCTGATTAATCTTTGTTTCTTCGTGCATCGCCGCCGCTGGTTACTCGCGACGGCGTGTTCCCCTCGTCATCAGGGTGTAAGTTTTCTTTTTGTCTCTCGGCTGCTTTTCCTCTGTCTCTCTATTAGTCGCGGCGCAATCTCCTTTGTCGTCCTTTTGTGCCTCCGTTCTTCGTGGCCTTGACTTAGATCGAAATGCTAATGATCTCTGCAGCCTATATTTCATGATGGGATGAAAGAGTGGAGCTGTTGCAAGAAGAGAAGCCATGATTTCAGTGAGTTTCTGGGAATTCCTGGGTATGTACGTGTTTTTACTTGCCTAACTTCGTGAGGCCAATGACTTAGCATGAGCATGTCAACATGCTGTAGAAATGCAATTTAACTGGTATTGGGACTTGATAGGAATGGCGTTTGCCAGTCATCCTCTCGATGCCGAGAGTCTATCAACGTTTGATAGTGTAATTGGGTAATCAGATGTTGGAAAAAGTTCCTCGTGTCTTTAAGTGCGTGAGTACGCGTAAAATAGTCTAATGGGATAACACTTTCCTGTGGAACAAAAAAATCTCTTGGCTTGTTTATTTCGAGAATTAGGATACGTATTACGTATGGTATATTTGTTTATCCCTATAATGTTGGAAGCAAGTTGAAAGCAATATAAATTGGTTCCTTTTCAAGATTAGTTGAGAGCATGAACTAGAACACAATAATGTCTCTGCTGTTTTATGTTTTAAATAGCAAAGAAAGTCAAGCACCTCCAAGTCAGGTCTTTGCTTCCCACTTTATTTGATGTTGAGCAAAGAAATTTGTCACCATTGTGGAAAGAGTACTAATAGTACTGTGATTATTTTACTTGTCCAAGATGGTGTAATGCACATGAGTGAATTACAACATGCCCTCTCATGTTGGTCAATGCATATGCAATTGCTCGAACTCGGACATGCATTCAAAGTTGTTTCTGCCGAATGAAAAAAAGTGGCACTTGCTGAAGCCCGTCTTTATGGCATCAATAAATTTTTTGGACGTATATGTATAGTATTTTTTGGATGTATATGTAAAGTGTGTCCCTTTAGAGAAATGTGATAAATGTAGCGGTTCCATTTGGATGAGTGAACTTTACATAATCGTTTTACTTAGAAGGGTTCCTTGAGCTGGATGTTGACGCCGGGGCATTTTTTCATTGATTTTAGATGTAAGACAGGCAAACACACTACTGAAAAGCCATCAACGAAGGCAGTTAAAGCTGCTAGGACTCCAAGTCCTGCCATCATTGCTGCTCCTGAGACTAATGCATCATCAAAAGAGTCTTGCTCGAGATGTCGGCAGGGTTTCTTCTGTTCTGATCATGGTACCTAATTCATACAGGGTTCCTTCAATTTTAATTGATAATATTATTTTGTTTTTATTGCAGTACATTTTTCACATAGAATTCCCTTTAATTAAATCGATAATATGCAAGTTCTTATGGAATACAACTTCTTGTAGAAGTTGAACCTTTTCGTTTAGAATGCCAATATAGGTAGACCTTACTCCCCAAGATTTTGGATGGAAAATGATAGTTGTCTTGAATAAGTTTGCAGCCCTCAGAATCAGTTCTTTCATATTATGAACAATTTCTAATGCTGTGCCTTAAGCTAAGATTTGATTGTTAAGTATGATGAAATCATATGGTGGGCTATTTAAAGTGAATGATGCAGCTATCTCTTCTAAAGAATGTCCTTGTAATTATTGATCTCATCTTCTTTGGCCTTAGGTTAATATGAGCATCAATAGAGAGATTTCAGAGTGCCATCACTTGTGAGACACATTTATGTATAATATAGATGATTACCAATGAGCTTACCATTTAAAGTTCTGTTAGTGAGAAGCTATTTTAGCCCATGGTACTTTCAGCATTTCATGCATCGAACTAGTGATTTCATCTCAGGTTCGAGAACCGGAAAAACGAACATTAATGTGGCAAATGCAAATGCTGAACCTGTTGATGAAAGAAGTAAGGACGTCAAGATCTCTGCGGTTCCACAAAAGAAAATACTCGACATAAACCAGCCGCAGACCTGCAAAAATAAAGGATGTGGTCAAACTTTCAAAGAGAAGGATAATCATGAGACAGCCTGCTGTTACCATCCTGGACCTGCTGTTTTCCACGACCGGATGAGAGGGGTATGATCTCTTTCTTTAGTGAAAAACTTCTTACTCTACCTATTTATATAGATATTGCTTCTTGTGTCGAATCATATCTTTAACCATTTTTCCATGTTTGCGCCTCAGTGGAAATGCTGTGACGTTCACGCTAAGGAATTTGATGAGTTCATGACAATTCCACCATGTTCCAAGGGATGGCATAATGCAGATCCGGCATCATAGGGAGCACTAAGGTGTAGCAATGAGGTTTTGTGTGCATTGTATTGGGAGTTGATATTGGACTGGAGTTTATTATCCTTTACAGTGAAAATTCCGCTGATTTCCTTGATTGACATGGAATTGGCCATGTCAAGAAGATATCCTGCTTCTAAAATGTGATTAACTTAACTGTCCCCTAATTTTCAGTTAGAATTCCCTTTGATCATTGCTGTGTTGCGAAGCACTATTCTTAGGTTCGGGGAAATCTTCTCTCCAAGCAGTTTTCCCGGGAAAAGTGTTAGAAAAGTCCTAAACTTTTTGCATTAGTACCAATTTAGTCATAAACTTTTTTTTTGTGCCAATTCAATCCTAAACCTTTTGTCTTTGTGCCAATTTAGTCCTTCCGGCTAATTTTAGCCGGATTTTGCTGACGTGGACACCAGCTGGCCTACGTGGCATCGCTGGCGATGACGTGGACAACTTTTAATAATATTTTTTGATTTTTTAATTTCTTTTTTATTTTTATTTTTTTTGCTTACTTCTTCCTCCAGCCGGCGGCAGCGACTGGCTAGAGGCCTCTGGCAAGCCGTGCCGGCCACTGGTGAGCCCCGTCGGCCACTAGTAAGGCTCGCCAGTGGCTGGGCGAGGGTCTAGCCTCACCAGCCAGCGCGAGGCTTGCTGGAGGCCAGGGGGCCTCTGGCGAGCCCTGCCGGCCACTGGCAAGGCTCGCCCTCATCGGATTGGGCAATGCCCGGCAAGGTCGTCGTGGCTTGCTCAAGGGTCGACCTCGCCAGATTTGGCGAGGGGAGCCCTCGCCGAGGCTCACCTAGCCTGGCCTGGGCGAGCCCAGGCCACGCCGGGCCTCACCTCGCCTGGCCGGGCGATGGCGACCCTCGCCGAGTGAGGGCGTCACACGACAAAGGTCACCAACAAAGAAAGAAAAAAAAAAAAAAAAAGAAAGAAAATAGAAAAAATAATTATAAAATATTATGAAAAATTGTCCATGTCAGCGCAGGCAGTGCCACATAGGCCGATCGGTGTTCACGTCAGCAAAACTCGGCCAAAATTAGCCAGAAAGATTGAGAATTGGCATTAGTTCAAAAGGTTTAGGACTAAATTGACACCAAAAAAAGGTTTATAACTAAATTGGCACAAATGCAAAATGTTTAGGATTTTTCTGACACTTCTCTCCATTTTTCCTAATCATTCTGGTTTGGGAACTCCCAAAACGAAGAGTCTTTCATCGGTTCTTGCTTGTCATGATGCAATTGAAAGTAATAATGAGGCATCGGTATGTTATCTTTACCCGAATTGACATGGTGATTGTTGCGGTGCTTCTTGGAGTAAGCATGTGGGAGTGGATTTTTATAACATTTTGATGGTGGTGATGGGAACTGAATTTACGACTGCGATTAATCTGAGCGTACAGCTCTGGAGCAAATGCTCATGCTCTATGCATTTTGCGTGAATAGATTAGTAGCTCATCTATATGGAGGATTCATTTAGTCTTTGAGCAGTAGGGCTTTTAGAGGACCCTTTTCAAACCAACAGGTCAGCTGCATTCTCAAGCAAACCGGAATTGATCATGTTCCACTACAGTTGTCTCATTAAGTACATGTTGCCATGTATCTCACTTGAGATCACACGATTCTAATGTTAAGAACCAGCTTTTCCCTACTTCTCTCTGATCAGATTCATTCGCGTAGTATGATTGATAACTGATAGGACCTTTTTCTAGGTCTGAAAACCGAACCTAATGATGAATAGGACTATAAAATATAGAGCCTTGCGAAAGAACAGAAGCACTGGCCGACAACAATTGTAGATAATGCTTACGAACTTTTTACTTGACCGTGGCGCTCTCTGGGATCATGCACATGGCAAATGTAATCATGTGGAATGGGCACTCTTCCCTGACCCTCGATAAAATAATACTTGGCCACTAGCAACTTGCCAAGCGATGTTCCCATGGACTCAAAAGCTTCCCATGGTGAAGCCCAATGCCCTAGTTCGTCCGGCCAGTGATTAAGCTGGCACTGTTCTCTTTGCCCCCTGGTGGGTATACGAATCAAAGCAAGAGCAACTGCTAATATCTAACCATTCAAAGACAATAATTGCTGTACTCATTTGAAATTATAGTCGATCGTACTTCAACAGAGACAAAACACCCACAATGGACCAAAAAAAATGACTCTTATCTACAAGATTTGACGGCACTGTCGTTTGGGGAACTAAGCTTCATTGGGCAAGCCATGCTCTGATTATATATTGATCCCTCAAAACCAGGTCACTTCTTTACACGGGTCCAATCGTATATCACCCACCACATACGTACAGATGATCAGGGCCGGAAACAAAACAGACCCCCGACGATCTGAACCTCAAAATGAAAGAAAGTAGAAACCAAGACAAACCCAGATCTCTGCGGCAAGTGGAGAGGGGGAGAAGGGATTCTTTTTGCAGCAGCGAGGGGAGGTGAGAATTTGAGAAAAGTTAAGGAGGGATTAAGAGAAAAACTAAGTGTATGCGACTGGAACATTGATCAGACCACCCAAGTTGGTGCACTCGAACAAGGCCTTAGCCGTCATCTCCCTCTCGAACCTCCATATGTAATTCAGCCCCACCAGCAGCTCCGTGATTGCCGCCTCCGTCTTCTCCGTGTTTGCAAAGTAGAGCGTCTGCAGCAGATACACGTTCGTCCTCTGCACCAAGTCGTTGTTCTGCTGCTCGATGCTCCTCTCGCTCTGCCACTTGATCATGTTGTGTGCCAATGGGGCTAACCACCCGAGGATCCTGGTCAGCGCGTCCCGCCACTCTGAGGCCAGCGCCGGATCTCCTGCGCGGCATATTCCGACGCCCCTCAGCCTCGCCCTCAGCGCCAACCTCACGCTGCTCGGCAGCATCGCGTAGAGGTCGTCCCTCGCGTCGGCACCGACCAGCTGCGGTGACTTGATCATCCTCTCCATCACAATGATCAGGTTCGCATAGTGAAGCGCGAGCGCCGCAGCTCCCAGTGTCGTCCCAGGCGGCTTCAGGAGCTTGGAATTCGACTCGAAGAAGGCATTGGCCGAAGAATCGTCAGTATCAGTTTTTAGGTGATCCTCTTGCTTGGTGCTTCTCAACGGTCCTGATATGCAGTGGTTAGGATTTTCGCTAGGATGGACTGCCGCCGAAGCCGACAAGCTGCGCGGTAGAGATGATGGATTGACAATGATGTAACGATTTCCGAGCCCGAAGACGAGCTTGATCCTGGCTAGGTTCGTGAATATACACGTCGCTAACGTCAGAGTCACCGAATCGAAGCTTCGGTTCCACAAAGATTTCTCTCTGAGGCACTTGATCTCCTGCTTCTGAAGCATTATCTTCTGTTGCAGTTCGATGATCTTCTGTTCTTTCACCGACAACGAAAGCGACAACAAAGACGAGTCGTGTTGCTGTTCGTGAAGCTGGAGAGATTTTCGCAAGCTGCTCTCTAGTATCGAGAGCTCCTCCATCTCTCGGTGCAACGTCGTGGTCGCGGTGACGTACCGATCCATCTTCTTCATCAAAATCTCCATGTCCTTGTAGCTCAGGCTCCAATGGTTCGAGTCGCGTCCGGTGTTCGCGAACTCGCCAAGAAACCGTTCAAAGTCCCAGAGGTTTGAATCTTCGCAACGCTTGCCGAGGACGCCGACGGCTCTTGCCACATGCCGGAGGCTCTCGACCATCTCTGCGCAGGCGAGGCCCAGGAGGAAGGCCTCGTCGTTGGAGACAATCTTGCGGACACCTTCAAGAGAGACAGACTCGTTGCAGAGGCGGACAACGTTCTTGTCCGAGAGGGACTGCCACAGGTGGAGGAGCTTCGACATGAGCCCGGCGATCTCGAAGGCCAAGACGCCGACGCTTCGCTTCTTGTTGCCGGCCAGCTTCGGGTGTGGCGCGCCAGACTTGACGGCGTCCAAGCCATGGGATATGGCGGTTTTCACCTTGATCACCCATGTTTCCAGAGCCATGTATGTATGATATGTAAGTACTTGCGTGACTCAAGTTATTATGATAAGAAGAAGAAGAAGAAGAAGAAGAAGAAGATAAGGAAGAGGATAATGGAGGGGGGTTGAAGTTGAGAGAAAGGCAGGTGCGACGCTCGTGGGATGTTTCAGCTTGATGAGACTTTGCGAGCTTCCCTTTTTTTAACATCCATTCCTCATTTTAAATTCTCTCAGAGAGAGAGAGAGAGAGAGAGATGTTACCCTAGATCAAGAAGCGACGCCATGTTTCATGAAACGACAACTCCTAACACACGATTCAAACGATAATCACAAACATAATACATTAACCAAGAATATCTATACATGTATTCTGCTGTCATTTCAGAAACTACTATTACTGGTTGCCAACCAGTGGTTGGCATTGTCACAAGTCCTGTCAGACCATTACACACAATTTCAGTATTCTGAGGAAAACAATCTTCTGATTATTAGATTATCAGATTGGCTTAGATTTCCATACTTGAAGTCTCTATATGATCAGTGCTTGGAATGCCTAGACTCTAATTTTATACTTTTTTTTAAAATTTGAAATGGTGCTTTGATTTCTTTAATAATAAAGGTTCGAGGAATCAAAGCGGCAGGGCACTTATGTTATAGGGTGCAAAGAAGCACTTTTAATCTTTAGATGCTGTTCTTTTCTAAAATGAGGCAGAGGGCCATGCCATTATCGTCCTCTTCCTTTTGATCTTTCGTAATGCCCTTTATGTTTTCTTTATTCGTTTGTGGTCACTAATATGTCATAATGACTCTAGGAGAAAGAACAGGAAAGGAAATTAGATCGCGCACTTCTTTTTTTTTCTTTCTAATCAAATTTGAGACTCTATCTTAAATACAGATGAATGGCCCCCCCTTAGTATTGTGTGGAATGATAGGGTGGACCGTGCATGAAACTCTTAGATTCTTATACAGTTCAAACAGTTTGATACTTTCACTTTATGAGGTCGAGCGCAAAGAACTAAAGAAAGGAAAACGAAAATTCAGAAACATTTGATTATATCAAAAGGAGAACGGCTATGCGGGGCTGATCCATTTAAGTGGTTCTCATGAAACGGGTGTAGCGATTAATCTAATCGAAAAGGGTTTATTGCGCACGGTCAAGGAACGCTTGATCGAGAGTTTGAGATTCTTACATTTTGAGGCTTGATGTTAAGAGATAACAGTCCCAATTGTGGCGCATATTTTCTTGTTCTAGCTAGTAAATGCTGACCGCGCAAGCAAAGAGAAATGAAATGATCTTCTTTGTCCTAAATAATTTTGGGATGTTATCTTGGAATCCATGATTATGACCCTGAGTGTACGAAAGATGGTAGGGTTTCGGCAGATGACAACCCACTAAGGACAATGAAGCCCTTACACACAAATCACGTTCGATTGGGAATCTATCACTTTCGATTTGATTACACAGACTATCCAATTTCCACTACTTCTAAGACCATATAATTTCGCTTGTGGACTAGATTGAACAACGAGTAAAAGTAAAAGTTCAAGACGGATGGTGTCATTACCCCTTTCGTTTATAACATCGTACATCTTTAAACTCTGGGTCATTTCTCATAATCATCTATATCTTTTCTTATTCTTCACAAAATTCACTCTCCCTCAAGCAAAACGCCCAAACAAAAGTTTACATCTTACCGTACTGTTTTTGACGTAGAATGTTGTGACATGTTTTTAATATAGTTTCGACTCATATTCAAGGATGACCTGGCTTAAGGTGATTGAATTTTAGACACAAATAGTGACACTAAATAGAGTTTAAAGAGGGGTTATTTACATGTATCCGGATGCATGCATCTCAATACAATTGGACCATTCAATTATTCGAGGTTTACCCGCATTACACATGAGACTACTTAATTCGGCGGTTCAGATGGATCGACACTGCATACACCCAATTTAAGATTACTTCAAAGCTAGATCATAGCCACGCGAAATACGTTAGAATGAGAAATCTCTTGCCATCGCCACCTTATGTCCTATTCTTGATAACAACCACGGAGGACATGAATGGAGGGCAGTGTCTAGGGTTCGAGGGAACAGTGCCTCATAAAGTTGACAAGAACCGTGTTCTGCAGATTATGTTATTGTGCTGAAAATGATCTACCCACTACAACCAAGAAGAAGAAGAAGAAGAAGAAGAAAAAGAAGAGATGAAAAGAGAACCCCACTCACTCATTCACCTCACATGGACACTGGACATGGACAGTGGAAAGTGGCTTTGTTGGGTTTTCGATAGATTTGGGCGTCATCGAGTGTTCATGCAGCTGTGTGGGAGGGTGATAATCTTCTTTCGACGATTTGACTTTTCGATATTTGGTTAGTTTTTCTTTCGTTTTTCCCTTAATTTTTCTTGCTGAATTTTGCAGCTGCCCTTTCTTTTTAACCTCTAACCTTTGTTTTTCTTCGCCGACCAAATGACTCGGCAATCCGCAAGTGCCCTTGTCTACTTGTCCCAATATGAACAGGCAACCGGTGCTTCACTCCCTTGCCTTTTGACTATCTCTCTCTCTCTCTCTCACACACACACATTTTTTATTTGTGTTTGACTGTACTGATGTGATGCAGTTTGCAACTACACCATTCAACTTTGCTTTCCCTTTCAGATTTCTTTCATGGCCAACGTAGAGAGCTTATACGTGCACGGTACAATCATATTATAGCAAATGTCCGGCGAAAATATTGCGAAAGATGAACGATGACTTGTGCCGATTCGGATGTCAACCTTTGGAGATGTTACATCAGGTTTTTTCCCCGGAGGTTAGCGGAAAGCTTAGAGTGTATCGGTTGTGAAGGTGACCGAAATAAAATTAGCGATCCGATTACAATTGTATCGAAATATAACGATCATTACGGGAATTTATTCCTCTCTTTCACTCCCATATTTGTTCTTTTTCTTTTGTTTTGATACTCTAGCTTTGCTGACCAAGAACTAAGATCAAATCTGAAGTGATGTACCCTGGTGTGAATCCATATAACATAGAAAAAAGGGTGAAAAGATCGGATGATAGACATGGAGGAGAACCCGCAGGCACCGGGATTTGCAGCCACTTGAGCCAGAAGAGCAATCAAACACCGCAATGCTGGTTTCGATGAATCAACAGACCTTGAAACAAATTGTTGGGAACAGAAGCCGGACCACGTCCCTGTTGCCGACCGAGCAGACACCCGCCGATCGCGCGTGCCCACTTGTTGTGTCGCAATTGGCCGAGATCGTGCCAACCAGGGAGGGGTCTAGATCTGAACGGCGATGCGATGCCGCAGTTCCAACTTCCCATCGGTAGCTTCGCATGCACAGCAATGTTTGACCGCAAGATTATTGCCACATAAAGAAACTATGCTTGGATTGACATGTACGATACAAGAAAAAAGAAAAGAAGAGAATCGTAGAAGATGGTACGTCTTTTAGTATAAAATGCAATGAACCCACTTCTCAAATGCCGTGATCTAAGAAGATTTTGATTCACTCCAGTTCATTATATTCATAAACTATATGTTTGTTAAATCTTCCCTTAAGACGAGAATTGGAGAACTCGTGCACACCCTTAACTTACACACTAAACATATCATTATCCCCCCCTAGAAAATACCCAAATTCCACGTGTCCATCCCCGGGGGGGCCACCATGGACTACACGTGTACATAGGGTTTTTTGTTTTCAGGGTCGATTCCAAATTCAACACGCCCGCACAGTTTTGTACGCCACATCCTGTTGTTGCTTCTGTAACAATCTCCATGTGAACTCTGCTCGCTTGCGGACATTGACCACTATGCAATTTGCATCATCTGGTGGAGAGTGGAAAGATGCGTACGCACCAACCTCTGAGAGAACGTGGGACAGTGGCTTCCATTGCCATCTTTTGACTTGGGAACAGATCTCTAGCTACGCTCGAATCCGGGATCCAAGGTCACCCCGGGCGACCCGAGCCGAAGTTGGCCGATACCCACCTAGCCGGGTTAGCCAGCTTCTCCATGAACAAGTACGGCAATCTCATATTTGGGTCCATTCAACTTATCTCGATTGCTTCTCTACGGTGCTCGTCTTGATCGTACATGATATAATCTTGATGAGTCGAAATTCCTTTTAGCATAAGCACGCCCGTTGAATTTTCGCATCGCGTCATACTCAGATTCACGGTGGAGGTCATTGTCATAAAAGTTGGACTATATCCATGAATGAAGATACTCGAGGGCAATGTAAAGGAAACGTGAGGCTCTCTTTCAACGTCAAAGCGCTCTCGATTGCCATGCCTTATCGAGGTCATACGTATGCAGCTGCTCTGGATCCCACTATCACGAGTGCTTCTTTTCCGAAATTTCCAAAGACTCCCCCAATTCGATTGTGGTTGCGCTTTGCAATGTGGAAAGAACTAGTGGGGAAGGAAAAAAAAAAAAAACTTAGTGCGGGGACGATATTGCGCACGAGAGCAGACACCTCATGGCCTCGCATTCATCGAATTAGAGGGGCTCGTGTTCCGCTTTAGCTTGACAGAGCCTTCAGGAAAAGAAATGGTCCCGATTTTAGCAGCTTCCATACATTCATCGTCTCTCAGCTACATTGACAGACCATGTGCACGTGCGTCATCATTATCGTACGTCCGTGGTAGACCAAATTATGTTAATCATCTCGCACGTGCTTGAGGCCCCCCCTCCAGCACACATGCCCGACATCCCAACTAAGATCAGACACAAACTGGCCTGGGGGTAGTAATTGCTCGTTAGATGTCACATGATTAACGGGAATTTCTCCTTTGGAAAAAGAAGGGGAAAAAAAGGAAAGGAAAGCGGTGCTCATGCCTTAGCCCACGCACATCCAAAGGGGTAAATTTGAGCTGTTTCTGGTCAGATCACTTTGGAAAAAGTTGGCCAGAGGTGTCATAATTTCGGAGATGGAGGCCACACACTGGACTGAACAGGGAATGTTCCACTCTTGTGTGTAGATTCTCGGTACAAGGCAGGTTTAATGATTTGGTTGCATGAAAAAGAGAGCTGGTGATATCATGCGAGATTCGGGGGGGCGGGGGGAGTGCTTGAATGTTCCAAAGGAAAAGGGTCTGTGTATTTGAAATTTTGAGCCTCTGAGAAATTCAGTTTCCGCTCTGAAATACTTCAAGGCGCAGCTTCGACCCTGAAGGGAGAAAAGGAAAAGGAAGCAGAGAAACTTTAAGACACTTGTCATTGATTAAGTTGGTGCAGTGATTCGAGGGCTTTAGGTGCCCTGTTTCTTTCGTGCATTACAGGGAGGTCCTCGCTTCCAGTGGACCGAAACCCCACTAATAACAGAAGAGGAATCCGAGTTGGAGCTCTTCCCCTCTAATCAGTCTTTTTAACTACGTGTCCAAAGAAGTGAGAATAACACAATCAATCTAATATTCAGTTAATCGCTTGTGATTGGGCCAATAATCTCCCCCGCTTTAATCGAGTTTCTCACTAGGGTGCCTAGTAAGCGTAAATGCAGTTTTGACTCGGAATGCAGTTCGTATACAATACTCGGCGCGATTGGCCGGAAAGGACTAATGACTACAAGAAGCCTCGAGGCAATCGCATTTTTTTTTCTAGAATTAGCTGAAAGAACATAACTAATTGAAAGTCCCCGTGTCACCTAATGTTCCACTGAGACGGGCTTGGAACAGGATAATCAGCTTCCTCGCTGTAATCAAGCATGAAGCACCCATACATCTTTTTCTAAGACCATGCTTCATGCCAATACCTGCACAATTTGGTCTTTCAGCAGCTAAAAACCATAGCCTCATAGACTGCACATTCTTTTCAGAAAATTCACCAGCATTTGCAATTACTCAATCCAAAAGCTGCACCAGAATGGTTCACAAAGACATAAAACATGCTTCTTAAATGTAATCCCCAATGCCACCCCCAACAACATTCAAGCAAGAGGGCTTAAAAAGAAAAGCAACCAAGTGTGATCCATTCATTTCTGTCCAGATTTTTTACGTGCTCCTAGCACTACTACACTGCGACAGGTCAAATTTTCGTCGGACAAGAAAGATATATGAAATTCATTTCCATTAACAAAAGGTTGTCCCCTTTTTCGCAAAAATGCTCTTGAGAAAAGCAGTTCTGCATCCCTACAAAGAGCCGTTGAGAATTGAACAGGAGACCCGCCAAGAGTGAGATGAGACATGTCTATTAAAAAAGCTTTGGCAGAATCATTTGAACTTCCAAGCATGCCTCAGTCATCTTAAACTTTCTGAACTTAGAAAGCTGACTCCCAGGGATCCCAAGGAAATAATCAAACAGCATCCCTCTTTACCATTTTGAGACTTACTTGTGGCTCAAAATCACATCCTTATCTATCTGCAAGGTACAAAAACAATCCTGTTGGTAATGAACATGATAATGAATGGACTATCAGTCATCAACATGTCTCACTTACAGATTTGGCAAGTTCCTCCGCTTTCTCATCAGTAAAACCCAAGGACAATAGGATCTTGTGACCTGCTGATTCCTTTTCAGACCAAATCCCAAGAAGCAGATGCGTTGTGGTTATTTCTCCAATTTCGCCTGAATTTTCCACAGCACTCAATAAGTACAGCCGGATAAAAACATTTCTTTGCGACAAAGTAGACACGCGAAACCTATTAGAAGAAGCTAAATTATCTAGTAAAACCACATCCGTTCAAGCAGAAAACTGAGTAGAATTATTGACAGCAAGGGTAGTCATGACAGATCGGACAAGCTGAACACCAGAACCCCACTTAGCAGAAGAAGGCTCTCTATTGTTCCATAAATGCTTTGGGGATAAGGATATAGGAGTTGAAATGAGCGGGAGTTTGTCTTCTAAATAGGGAGGATTAGAATCAAATCAACTGGAGTACGGACGCTGGTTTGATTTTGCAAGCGTGAATGCCTCAGGGTTTTGGTTTCTCAATCTAGCTCTTTATGGATCAGTACATAGCTTTGGTTATTGGCATAAGATCTTCAAGTTGGTTTGAATTTCGATGGACTACACTTGGATGGAAGAGAGAACATCGAGCTTAGAGGCAAAGGAGGACTATCAAATGTATCATGGGAAATGAAAAGAAGAACATCCCAATTATCTGGTACTGTTGATCAAATCACTGCTCTGACTTTCCATAATGCCTCTCTTGACAAGCTAAAACTCCACACGATTTGTATGATGAAAATATGCATCCAAATAATCTCAAGCAAAGATGCAGTCGCCTGATAGCAGCAACTAACGGATGATTTTTGATTGCTTCAACATGGAATACACCCAGTTGGGCAAATGCTTGATATGCATATGTGCTTCTTACAGCTTAAATTTTTAGAAGACAAGAACGCTCAATGGGGTATAAAAGCTTTGTCTCAAGATTCCCAATATTGGCATTCCCTCTTTCTATATCTCACCGTTACTCCTTACTATCCTCCACATGTTGTGTGATGTGGTTATGTCAACATCCTATTCTTCACATGTAAGGCCTGGCTTCCAGGTGAGGGGAAGTGTTAAGATATATACTTGATATACATCCTGGGCACGTTTCATAAAAGATTAAACTTTTAGGTAAAATAGGTCTTCAATGCAAAAGAAAAAAGCTGGTAAAGTTAAACATAACCTATCGAAATCACAACATCCATAGATTCATAAGGAGAAAGTACAAGTTCCATAGCATGGCCAGCACCCAGAGGTAGGTTACCAGGAGATGGCTAACAGACACACTGACTGCCTCACTTAGAACTGAGAACTATAAATCTCCACCATGTCTCCTACAATGGAAGCCGAGGAGCTATGCCCTCTTTACCCACCTAAGGGTTGCCATTGCTAAACTCCACCTCGAGGATTCAAATTGACCAAAGATCGTCCAACGGATAAAGCAGCCCATACCATTCTAATATAGCTACAAAAGGTGCATGAAATCGAAAATACCTGACTTTAGTTTTACATCAACAGCCCAATCAAGGGCTCGCTGCGCTTGCTCGGTCAATGGAGGATGCTCAGGGCTGAAAAAGTACATGTCAGATTTCCCTAGCAAGTTCACCGTTTCCTCTCGAACCTTGAAAAGCGTAATTCCATTAGCCCTCAAAAACTTTGCAGCTAGGCTAGTGCCTGAAGTAGGAATTTAATATTCTAGAGTTAGTCCCAAAGTTTCACCAAGGGAACTGCATATTTTAGAAGCATTTACAAGGCAGTGGGAAATATATGAAACTGAAGGGAACGCCCCCTTTTTTGTTATACAGTTTGAAGCAGCAAAGGAGCATGCTTGTACAAATGGCGACATCAATTTTCAGCAACAAGACTGGAAAAACCACGGTATATAGTATGACCAAATTTTTGTTGTGAAATTTGCCAACTTGCATGGCAAAAATGATTATATCACAAAAAAATAATGATAAATGGCATGATTTGATCAATTCAACCTAGGCCACAAGGAGAAATTGACACAATTCCACTATTAGCTAATGGATGGATTACAAAGTCCTAGCGTCTCATACTCGAACAAAGCCCAATAACACCCATCGATACTCATTTTTCAATAGCTCACTGTTTAATCTCTGTGCTCTCACAGAAATTCACCCAATCTCACAGAAAAACTCTCTATACAATCTTGTCAAATCCGAGCAGCCAACATGGGCACGGGTAGACTCCCCTTTCTTGCCTGCTTTATTATAATGGGGGGGGGGGGCGGGGGGCGGTGCGCAATTAACATCTTATGAACCTCCGATTTTGATGAACCAACAGCCAACCCTGAACACAAACATATTTCGAGCCTTCTTCTCCTCTTACCGAGCTTCCATGCACTTTGGTCAAATCAGTTTGTATTCAGGCTCAAAGTCAAGACGCTTACTTAAAATTTTTGTTTACTGCAAAACAAACCTATAGATCCCTCATGGATGAAACATATTATAATTCGTCAATCAAACCAGTTGTCGAGCACAACCTACACCTTTGTGCATGCATATAGATGATATCGCAATTTTGAAGTTTTGGTTCCGCCAACCCGAACTTCAATCAATCGTTCGTGGGTTGCTCAAAAGGATCAAGTTACAAATTCAAAGGTCCACAATTGCTCTTAGAAACCATTCAAAAGAAATACTGTAGCAAGCTTGAACACTAACCCTCGACCAAAATCCCCATGAGAAGAGCTTCAGTGCCGGTATTCGGATACTTGAGCTTCCTCGCCTCCAACTCCGCCATCGCAAACGACTTGATTGCTCTCGCCGACCATCTAAACATCATCACTCCATTCAAGAAACCCCGAAATTATAATCAACGATTGACAATCGCAAGTCAAAGACACACACAACACGCGCGCCGGCGCGCGCGCTCGGAAAGACTGTGAACTCACTTTGGGAGCTTGTCAGCGGATGCTCTCTCGGGTTTCCTGCGGAACCCAAAAGCCGATAAACAAACGCTCGATTCGAACCCAACAAAAACGTCTCCAATCGGAATTACTCGAAAGGTTGAAAATTTACCCGGTGGGGAGGCTCAGCAAGACCGTCGCCACGGCAGAATTGAACCTGCGAACGAGCCGTCTCGAGCGGAGGGGAACGGCGGAGAGCCTGCGCCCGTTGAACGAGCTCGCCAGGCAGCTGGGCCTCCGGCTCCACGCGAGCGAGACGGAGGAGTCGGGCGCGCTTCTAGGGATCGGCTGAGGATTCGAGGGCGAGATTGGGAGCGCGGACAGCGAGCGAGCGGCCATTGATCTTCTTCTTCTTCTTCTTCTTCTTCTTCTGATTCCTAGGACAATGCGAAGCGGAGACTGATGGCGAGTTTCGCTATCGCCGATGATGTTTTTGGCGGTCTGAGATAGCGGTGAGAACTGAGAAGAAGTAGGCTTTGGTTTGGCAAATGTTAGAAGAGCAGGGAGTTCTATCTTCCAGCTTCTTTACTACGGAGTCCGAGGTGTTCTCCACAACCAAAAGTCCACCGTCGAGGCGAGCCTTTGTCGTGCGAAAAATATTTTCTCTCATTTTTCGAAATTTGATTCGTCTAGAAAAATGAGTTAACGAAAAAATATTTTTCTACTTAACGAAAATTTATATTTTAATTCAAGAAAATAATTTTCTCTTTAAAAAATTTATAATCAATTTTCAAAATATCAGTAAGTATGAGCGATTGATCCGAAACTCTATGCTTGGGCACGGAAATCTCAACGTTGATTCTCAAGTCCCTTGCGTCTTGAACCAGGTCTTTGGTGCCCAAGCCTGCGACCTTGGTGGTGGAGCTTGGATCCTCAGCTCTCACACCCGAATCCATCGAGGTCAAGGCGGGGACCCTGGTGCCCGTACCTAGGCCCTCGATGCTCGCACTCGGGTCCATCGCACTCGTGCCCGAAACCCCAACACCCAGGTCTGGGCCCACAAAGGCCAAGTGCAGGATCTCGGTACCCGAGCTCGTATCGCCAATACTCGAGCCCGAGTCCACAAAGGCCATGCCCCGATCCACAAAGGTCATGTTCCCGTCCATCGAGGCCGGGCTCGAAATCCAGGTGCTTGTGCCTCGATCCTCGGCGCCCTGGTCAAGGTCCATCAAGGTCGGACCCATGACTCTAATGCCCTTACCAGTTTCTCGGTTGCTTATACGTAAGTTACTAACGCTCGAATAGTGTATGTTTATTTAGGAAAATCAAATCAAATTTTCCATATCAAACAAAAGAAAATATTTTCCAGTTCATTTTCAAATTTCAATCAAAACACCGAAAAAATTCACAAAAAACATTTTGCAGAGATGTCACATTGTCTAGGAAACGATCGAAGCTTTTGTTTCGCGGAAGATAGATAATTTTAAAAATATTTTTCAAGAACCAATCTCTTGTATCACTTACAAAAATAACTAGGATAAAAATACTTTCATCGTCGCGAAAATGTTGAGACATAAGTCATGTCAATAAACATTTTCTATTAACTAATTAATTCAAGCAACACAATAGATCATTTTTAGGCAAATGTTTTCAAATTATTCATTTTTCGTAAAGCAAACGCACCTACTGTAAAATATATGCAGTACCCTAAGGGTGCGTTTGGTAATCATTCTGTTCCCGGAAATAATTTCTGCTCAGAAATTATTTTTTTTATTCCATTATCGGAAACAATTTATAAGCATTTGAAGGCGTTTGATAACTGTCCAAAATTTCTCTTCTTGGAATAAAAAAAGAATAGAAATTCGTTTGGTAACTACACAAAATTTCTTTTTATTAATAATATTTTGAATTTTTTAGGGAAAATGACACAAACAGTCCCTACACTTTGACTCAATGTGCAATTTGGTCCCTAAACTTTTAATTTGTTCAATGTAGTCCCTGAACTTTAACCCAATGTTCAATATGATCCCTAAACTTTCAATTTGTTCAATGTGGTCCCTGAACTTTTGATACATGTTCAATATAGTCCCTAAACTTTATAAAAATGTTCAATGTAGTCCTTCCATTAATTCAAGTTCAGGGACTATATTGTATATTTTCATATAGTTCGGGGACTAAATTGAACATTTACTAAAAGTTCAAGGACCAAGTTGAACAAATTGAAAGTTCAGGGACCACATTGAACATTGGGTTAAAGTTTAGGACTACATTGAACAAATTAAAAGCTCAGGGACCGAATTACACATTGAGCCAAAGTTCAGGGACTGTTTGTATTATTATCCCAATTTTTTAATATTTCTTTCTATTTTTTTTCCTTTTTTTTTCTTTTCTTTTGTTGTTGTTCTTCTTCTCCTTCCTTGGCCCATGGCTAGGTCGCCAGCGCCAGCGCTAGCGATTAGCCACAGGCTAGGGTCGACGAGCCGTGAGGGTGCTCGCCGGCGAGGGCCTCAACACCCTCGCCGGCCCCGGTGGCTGGCAACCGGCCACAGGGCAAGAAAAATGAAGAAGACCGGCCACGAAGAAGAAGAAGAAAAAAAAATTTCTTTTCCATTTTTTATTCTTGTTCCAAGAATTAAGAATCAAATTTTTTTTTATTCTTGATTCTGTTCCAAAACTGATTCTGGGAACAAATTCGTGCCCGAGAATAAAAAATTTATCAAATGGATTTCCGGAAATAAAAGAACAAAATCAGTCTTTGGCAAGTTACCGAATACATCCTAAATCTGAACCGTCCAGATTCACGTGGAGTTTACTGTTTCTTACGGTTGGCAGAGTTGACACGGAGGCCCATATTTTCACCACGTACGGTGGGCCGTCGGCCCAGGCACGCGGTCCCTTCCTTTTGCTCCTGGACGATAGCGCTTATATACGCTCCATTCCACTCGCCTTCCACTGGAGCCTCGACCCTCCGTTAGCTAGCAGCTTCTCATTGGCCCCATCCTGGACACGCGAAAGGACAAATTCGCCCCCCCCCCTCCCCAAACAAACACCCCAAAAACGGTCACATTACAAACGAGTGGGAGAGACACTTGCCAAATTTTGAAATTTCAAAATCTGTTTCAACACTCGCAGCTCCCCTGCTCAACTTTGCAGTTTTGCTGCTCCTCCCCTCTCCTCAATCGCCATTAAAATACAAATCCCCCTCATCCGCTCCCAACGGTCATTTTTCTCCCCCCCCCCCCCTCCGGAAATCGCTTCGAGCAGTCGGCCGGTCGATTCCTCTCCGGAAAGCCGAGCTCGTTCGCCGGGACGATTCGAAGGAGCCGCGAGGTTCAGGTAATGTCTTCGGATATCACCACTCGCTTCGCCTTCGCCTTCTTGAGGCTCTGTTCGGTCGCGAGAGTAGAGAGGATGAAGCTGACTCGGAGATCGAGTGGGACGAAGTATTCGCCGTTAGGATTCGAATGAAACTCGTTCCGGTCCCGGTCGTAATTGCGTTCCGGATTCCGCTGGAGTCTGGATTCGGAGTTCTAAGTTCAGTCGATGGTTGTTTGCGTGGAAGGCGGATCTGCAGGAACTTAGATAATGGCGTGTCGCGTGAGATTGAGCTGGATAGAATGCTCGTGTTGGCTGTTTTCGTAGTTTTCGTACTTTGTCCAGCTTAGTGATTTCGAGAGATTTAGATGAAGAGCTGGACATTTTTGGTTTCTATCTTTTCGAATTGCGGTACCGGGGATGACGGCAATGATTGGCTGTTAGATGAATATATTAGCGCAATTTATCGGATAAAAAAGGGGGTCGAAAGGAACCGCCTAGCTTGTGCTCTTTGTCGGTAATCGCCGGAGCTTGATCTTCCTCCTTTTGGAGCAATATTACTAGATTAAGTAATAAAATCCGTATTTCCGCTTTTTTTTTTTTTCCTTTTATGATGTTCGTAATTCTGGCGGGCGAATGTGAATTGTCGATTTATAGATACAATGCCTGATTCGGTCCGAGCAGATCCAATCAAATAATCAGGATAGAGACAGAACCAAATGTGATGGAACGCGCGTCTTCATTTATATTTTCGGCAGCATCGAATGGAAGTACTAATGAAGGACTTCTGGATTAAGCTGAAAAATGGATAGTATTGAAAGCTTAGTGCTCAAACTTGTGTTGATGACGTCTACTTCTTGCTGGCTTTTTACCTATCATGATGTTATGTTCAGCTTCAAAGATTCCTGAGACAGCAACTGTGTGTGCAGTTCTTTGGCAATGTCTAACCTCCTAAATGACCCACTGTTCCAAAAGGAGACAACATGTGGAACACTTCTATACGAACTCCAGGTTTGTCAACAATGATGGTCTATTTTCATTCGCTATCTGAGTTCCGAAGATCAAATTGTGTCAAACCACATGCTAGTTCGATTTATTCACTCAACCCCAATGCACAGGTAATCTGGGATGAAATTGGAGAATCTGATGCTGATAGGGATAAAATGCTGCAAGAGCTTGAACAAGAATGTCTAGAAGTATACAGAAGAAAGGTCGACAAGTCAAACAAATCCAGAGCCCGACTAAGACAGGCAATTGCCGACTCTGAAGCAGAACTGGCAGCCATCTGTTCGGCATTGGGGGAGAGACCGTTACATACAAAGCAGGTGCATATCTAGAAATTGTTTACATAGTGTTGTCTCCTCGAGATATTAATTAAAGTGTCTGCATATGGCTAGTTTGTGGTGCTAGGAAGTGCACTCTCTGATGTATGCAAGCTCTTTTCTGTTGTATTGATTGATTTGACACATGTACCGTAGTTTGTCTAACAAGCCAGGGCGTTCAATCTTTCTGTCAGTGAATATATGCCTCTCATAAGTGAAACGCATTGCAAGGATCTGAAGAAAGTTGTAACAGCCTACCTTTTTGTTCATGCAGTTCAATCTCTGAGGCCTAAAACCATACCTTTACCCATACCCCACAGTCCTCCAAAAGTTTTCTTATTATAAGAACCCAACCCTGTGGCACACACCCCTCTCGCCTGTCTCTGCACACAAAACACATAGGAAAGGGATAAGCCAGAGAATTATGTGTTTGAGTAGAATCAGACTATTTGAGAAAATGAGACGACAGAATTTGTGCATGCTTGCGCTTGGATGGAACAACAGAATTCGGAATGTGAGAGTTAGAATAATGTCTGCTGACACGAAAATGATTGAAGAATTTGCAGCAATTACAAAATAATTATCGAGGTCAATTTGCTGATTGTTCCAGCAGAAAATATCTGTCACCCTTTTGATGATGTCTTCATCGGGTATAATCAGAAATTGACTGCAGCTTTTCTAAGATTTTCATCATCGCCAAGCTTTTATTGTGGAATAGAATTTGCTATTATACAAGAGAAATTTCAGTGGCATTCTTTTTCCATCAGCCTGACCAGAATGTTGGAAGCTTGAAAGAAGAATTCAAGAAAATTCTTCCACAATTAGAGGAGATGAGAAGAATGAAATGTGAAAGAAGAAATCAGTTTCTCGATGTTTTGGAGCAAATCCAGAGAACTAAGACTGAAATATGTGGATCCCTCGACCACACTCCTTCGAAAACAAGATTGGATGAGACAGACTTATCATCAAGGAAGCTTGAAGAACTCCATAGAGAGCTTTATGAACTTCAAAAAGAGAAGGTTCGCTGAGTTTATCTTGTCAGTCATTTTCTTAATACGGCGTGAATATACTCTAACTTTCCTCCTTTTCTCTTACGCAGACTGAGCGTTTGAGGCTGGTTCAAGATCATGTGTTTACAGTGAATGCTTTGTGTTTAGTGCTCGATCTGGATTGTAAGCAGATAGTTTCTGAGGTCCATGCCAGTTTAACTGACCCTGAAGGACCCAAGGATATAAGTGACAGTACAATTGAAAAGTTGGCTACAGCAATACACAAACTTCGAGAAATGAAGCTTCAGAGGATGCAGAGGGTAACTATTTATTTGAACTATTAATCTTGTTCATCCCTAGTTTTTGGCTTAAAGAATTTTTGACATTTGGGCAGCTTCAAGATCTTGCAACTACCATGCTGGAGTTATGGAATCTGATGGATACCCCAATTGAAGAGCAGCAGATGTTTCAGAACATTACCAGCAACATAGCTGCATCAGAACATGAAATAACTGAACCCAAAATGCTTTCTGAGGACATCATCAATTTTGTGAGTCACTTTTTTCTATAACATAATACTCCGAATCTTAGGCTTTGCCATTTGTTTAATGTTGCAAGTGGATCTGTTCCTGGATTAATAAGATATTGTGCAGGTTGCAGCAGAAGTAGCTCGTTTGGAGGAGTTTAAGTTGAGCAAAATGAAGGAGCTTGTTTTGAAGAAGAGATCAGAACTGGAGGAGATATGTAGGAAGACTCATTTAATCCCAGAAGCTGATACTGGGATGGAGTATGCTATTGAAGCTGTAGAGTCTGGTAATATGTCATTTTCTTGGATTTAATCCAGGTGCCTTCATTTTGCAATGGCTCATGGCTGTACATATAACATTTGGTGCAGGGGCTGTCGATGCTGGTTGCGTTCTTGAGCAGATTGAACTTCGAATTGCTGAAGTGAAGGAGGAAGCATTGAACCGTAAAGAATTGCTGGAAAAAGTTGAGAAATGGTTGGCTGCTTGTGATGAGGAGTGCTGGCTTGAAGAGTATAACAGGGTGAGGTGTCTTTGAATATCATTTAATTGATTCCTTCAGTTTTTTTGGTCAGTAATTGATTCCTTAAGATGCACTTTCCTAATTGTGACTGTTATTCGACATTCAGGATGAGAATAGGTATAATGCTGGAAGAGGAGCCCATCTTACTCTGAAGCGTGCTGAGAAAGCTCGTTCATTGGTTAACAAATTACCAGGTATCAAGTACAACAATGCTCTTGGCCTCCATCTTCTAGATGTAAATTATAGAGCGTCAAGGATTGACACGAGTCATACTGCATTCATTGCTTAACATATTTTATTCAAACTATCTTCATACTATGCCACTTCTATCATGGTGGAACAGCGATGGTAGAGACACTGATTTCAAAGACAGTGGCTTGGGAGAAGGAGAGTGGCATGGAGTTCTCATATGATGGTGTAAGGATTTCCACTTTAGGCCTTCAGGAATCTGGTCCCAACTACTATTCTCTTCAAACTTTTCTAGATTTTCTTACATCCTTGTTGTATGCTTCTACGCAGATTCGCCTCCTATCTATGCTGGAAGAATATACCATTTTGCGACAAGAGAGAGAGCAAGAACGACGTAGACTACGAGTATGAATTTGAACAATTCCATTGTATAATATAGATTAAGATTTAATCCGAGTCTTAATTGATTGTGGACTCATAAATGGGTTGTTTCAGGCTGAGTGTTCTTCTTGGTGTTTAATGTGATTGCAAATAATTTTTCATTTTTCAGGATCAAAAGAAACTTCAGGGTCAGCTGATTGCGGAACAAGAGGCACTTTATGGGTCAAAGCCAAGCCCCTCAAAGACTCAATTGGTCAAGAAAGCTCCTCGGATGTCGACTGGTGGTGCAAGCAGCAGAAGACTCTCACTTGGAGGAGCAACTATTCATACTCCCAAACCTGATCCATTGCATTCAATGAAAGCTACTCCTAATTCACGCCCACTTCGTAAGAGTGACCGTGTAAGCCAAGTCGACCAACTGAACCACTACAAGGACAATGGCCAAGCAGCATTATCAGCAAGTAAGTATCTTTCTACTGATACACTTGCTGATCAAATGAGATGATTATAATTCTGGAAGGGTAGCAAGTTAATTAATGTGAGTCTGCTGCAACTAGTGTGCTGCCTCCCTGACAATTAGATGAAGGTGACTTTTGAACAGAAAGATATGCAAACTTTGCGCTTTTTCGCAAGTGCATGCATTTGGAAAAATGTTTGCCTCTCGTTTCGTAGCCATCGAACTCAGTAGAATTCTTGCTTTCCGGAGAACTTATTTCTTGAAGAGAAATTTCCATGCTAATCTCATGAGATAAGAGAGCTAGGTAAACAAAGTCATTAACCAAATCAACTTACGCAAGGGTTATTCGTCTTGGAAAAGAAACGAGAGTGTCCGTCTTTTCTGCAAATTTCATCGTCTCCGCGTGATAACATTATTCAGTGCTTTTATATTTTTGTCAATTTTTGTATAGGTAGAAGAGGGTTGGATGTTGCTGGTCTCCCATTAAAAAAGCACTCACTTGATGCTGTAATGGCTAGTGAACCTGATTCACCAATGATAAGGAAACCCTTCTCTCCTGTGTCACCCGCAGTATCAACGAAGTTGAGCTTGGCAAACGTGATGGACAATGCAGCGGTGAGACAGGATGAACCATTGCAGAAAATCTTTTCTAGTAACAATAACGTGTTCAGTACCCCATTGAAGACAACTACCATGAACAATGACGAGAACCGGACTCCAAAAGTCATGGGAATTCCCGTTCCATCTACACCTTCCACAGTTTCAATCCCCATGCAAACAGCAGCTACACCAGCACTGGTGTCGCTGCCCTTGGGTGCAAACTTGGTCAAGGAGATCGCTGAAGAGATAGAGTACTCATTCGAGGAACGAAGAGCTGGGTTTGTGCTTCCTAGAGCGAATATGAAGCCAATGATCCAAGTCTGACCGAAAATACTTGGGGGTTTACTGTAATTAAGGTTGTTCTCTTGCTTTTGCGTTGAACTTGGTTTCTGTTTCTCATTCTTTGGTGTTTGGGATGTTCAGGTCAATTGTAATTGGCTGTACCGTCTGAAAGAAATTGATGTGCACCGAGCTTGTAATTCTTTTTGCATGGGAACTTTTTCGATTTCCATCAGCCTCTGCTATATGCATCGAAAAACTGCTCGATGCATCAAGTAATCGGAGCTCCTTTTTGAGATTAATGTTTATGAAAGTGCTCATATGTTCTTGTATGCCAAAACAAGGTTTTGGAGGGAATGGACTATCCGATCCTCCTTGGACATGAGCAAAGGCGCACTTACCCATCAAGCCATGAAAGTCCCTCGTTGAGAACTTTCACGTCACAAAAAGTGATTGTCATACAAAACTTTTGACACTTAAGTAATCTAAAAAAAAAACCTTTAGCACTTTAGTGTCTTTATGCTTAAAAATTGTAAATGTTAAAACGGATTATCTATGAAAAAAAATCCCGAATTGTATCTTCTTCGTTATCATATGAACTTGATACTTGCTATGTTACAAATTATATCTTGCCATGTTACAAATTAAGGATGACGAGGCGATTTCAATGACATTTTCGTACCTCTGTCCGCAAATTTGCAATAATCACTCCACAGGTTCACGGCAGTAGATTCTCAATTCGGAAACGGGGTACAATCAAAACCCTGACCATTCATATCTTTCAATTTAAGGGCCACTTCTTGCATTATCCAAATCATGATGGACCGGGCGAATATCGGCCGTCGATCATGCTGACCGATCATCCGGTCTCGTTGAAATCAACGGCTGTCTTTGACGCCATCCGTGCAGACGGGCTCCACCCAAGCACGTCCCCCACTCGTTCGCGGCTCTGAAACTGAGAATGGACAACAACAACAACAACAACCTGAGATATGATGCAGGCGCAGATGCAGATGCAGCGCAGCAGCTTGTTGAAAGATTCACAGCATGCTGCTCAACTCCCTGACACACTCCGCAGTGGCATCGACCGTAAATACCGGGGAACTTTGAGGGCCTTTTGGGGCCACCCTCGACCTGGTCAACTTTAGTTTAACTAAAAAGACAAAGAAGATGTCAGTGGTTGGAAAAAAATAGGCATGGCTCTGGCGTTAGCTTTACAGCTTTGTATATATATATTTCTTTAAGCGTACATATCTATATATAAATATAAATAAATGGGGCTGATTTTTTTTAAAAAGAAATGGAAAAAAAGGGAGGGGGGGGTTTTCTTTACCCAATCTGCAAATAGTATTTAATGTTCAAAATTCATTAGCCCTCCCATTTTATTTGATCCACCTTTATTAAACTTCCAAGACGGACGTGAAGCAGTTTCTTAACTGTAGTTTATACTTTTGATTTCGCAATTAAATAAACAATAATAAATTACCAATTTTGTTCACCCTGTTTTTTAATGGATTTTATTTTTTTCCCAAAATTTCTACCTTATTTATTCCTGCTTCTGTTCATGCTGGAAACCCCAAAATTTTTCAGAGCTTCTGGGGAAAATCTGGTTCCATTACAGGGGTCTGAATTTTTTTTCTCAGTATTTTCTGGTACCGTTTTGATAGTTTTTTCGGTGCAGTCAAGCTTCAGGAGGAGAGACCGGTTTTTTGGTTCCAAGAGCTGTGGAGTTTTTGAGTCACAGGACACTGGACAGTGTCTGCTGCAGTGAGTAAAACCCTGTTTTTAGAAACTTTTTTTTGGCAAGCAGGTTCTCCAGGGAGGGGTCTTTTGGGTTAATTTGAAGGTGTGAAAACTTTTTTTACAGCAGAGTGATTCTGTCTTGGTTGCATGGGTTTTGTTAAATCTGTAATTGAGCTTGATCTTTTGATACAAGATCTCTGTTTTCTAATCTGGGTATCTTTTGTGTAATGTGTTATTCTTGTTGTGATCAGACTGAAGGAAAATTCATACTGTAGTAAGTTTAGTTTCAAGCTTTAGGGTTTCTAGGGTTTTAGGTACTTGTCAAGTGTTCCTGTATGTGATATGGAGGGTAAAGAGGATGTTACTTCTGGGGTTACACTGAAGGGTGATAAAGCTCCAGAAAAATTTAGAGCGACTCCCCCAGTAAGTGAAGGTCCGGGACACGTTGATGATGGACCCACAATGGTGGTGGCTCCACCTGCTTCGACCGTGACGCCGGTCAGCACGGCCACTCCAAGTACAGACACAAAGAAGAAAAGAGGGAGGCCTAGGAAATACGGGCCCGACGGGGTGGCGTTGTCGCCTATGCCGATTTCCGCTTCAATTCCGCTGACCGGAGAGTACTCGGCATGGCAACGGGGTAGAGGGCGGCCAATTGACTCCGTCAAGAAGAAGCACAAGTTTGAGTTTGAGAGCCCAGGTAAGTTAATGCAGAGTTTTGAATGTGGACCATTAGTTGAGGATTACTGCTGTCATAAATTCTTTTCTTTGCAACTAAGAACGATTCTGGTTTAGTCTGTTTGAGTGATCCTGACTTTGAGAAAGAATAAGTTTAAAGGAGCAGCGCCCAATATAATGTGCATTTTAAGTTCCTTCTCATTTATGGGGCTGCTAAATAAAATAATAGCAAGCAAGACTCTGGAGGTTTTTTTTGTTTATCGAAAAGACTTAAGAGGTTTTAGCGGTGTTAAATTTCTCTGTCTTTAATGAATGTTTCAGAGTAGAGAGAAAAAATATGGTGTAGGCTACACTTGCCAGTCAAAGCGTATTACAAAACCCTTCGAACTCTTGTAATTTTGTTAATGAGCTAGTTCTGAATTACTGTTGGAGATTGAGGTCAGAATGCATTGGATTTCCATGGTATTCAGAAATAGAAAATCATCTGAGCAAGCCATGTTAATATGAATGAGTAAATAAGTGAATTACGTTAAGGCAGGAGATAGTTTAGCTTATTGTTATGGTGGCAGAAACTGTTTGTAAAATTACTTTTCATATTATGAAATTCCACTATGTAAATATAGTTTATTGATTGATAGCAATTTTTATAAAGCATCTTATTTTGTAGGGGAGAAGATTGCTTACTTTGTTGGTGCCAATTTCACACCGCATGTGCTCACTGTCAATCCTGGGGAGGTACGTTTTGAAAAAAAAAAAGTCTAATAGACTGGAGTGAGCAATAGTATCTGGTTCCACTTCATCGCAGAATGTTGCTTTGTTTAGGTTCTGTAAGAGACATGTGAATTAGATGGCATATTCTCTATCTTCCTAGCAGATGAGAATATACCTTCTGTGTAAGAATCTCTGTACTGTTCTTATGATTTACCTAACATCGATAGGTTTACTAATCTCCAAATCCAATTACAAAGCGGTATTCCCTCTTGGTGCTCCTATGATCGTTAAATGATACAATCGACTACGCCAGATGTACTTTTGTAGAAACCTATTGGTATTGGCTATATTTAAGTTGTGATTCGGCAAAAGGCCAAACATTTGGGTCATCTTTTTTGCTTGAAATGGCAGCAGATCATGCAATGCCTGAGATGGAAGGTGATTGCAGAGGCTTTGCTTCTTCTTTGCTTTATAAATATATATATATATATATATATATATATATATATATGTATATATCTCTTCTGCTTCGGAAGAAAGCAAAGAGCCCTGTGAAGGATAATGATTGGATTATACCTTTGCTTTAATTGCAGCATGTTTAGACACGCAGAAAAATGTAGAGGCTGATTTCATGAGTAAAAGTTTGTTTACTGGACATGTTTACTCAAACTTAAGGTATTCAACCACACAAATCTACGCAGTTAGACAGCATATTACCTTTGTCCTAGAAGAATGACATTCGATAATCCTTCTTTTGAAAACCTTCACAAGTAATAATTCTCAGAGCTTTGAGCATTAAGAGACTAAATCTATTTAGTTTGGTTTTTCACTTTCTTGTGGTTACCCTATTAGTTCAATTCAATAAGAACTTCCAGTAAGAGAACCGGGGATTTTCTTTTGGCTTTGTTTTCATTATCTATTGTCAATGTCTGTATCTACCTCTGCAGGATGTTACTATGAAAGTTATGTCATTCTCTCAGCAAGGATCTCGAGCTATTTGCATTCTTTCTGCAAATGGTACGATATCAAATGTGACACTCCGTCAACCAACTTCCTCCGGGGGCACTTTGACATATGAGGTCTGGTCCACTTACTTTAGCTAGATAAATGGATAGCAGTGAATTGAGATGTGCTTTTCATGCAGCTTACTGTGTAGTTGATTTTCTTGCATTGCCTTTATTGGGTCTAGAGATCTCTTTATAATGGAAAAGGTTGGGCAACGAGTTACTACTCCAATGATGCAAACTATAGACTCAAGATTGTTTGAGAATTTTAAATCGATCAGTTATGGACCAATTTTGAGAGTTTTGCAGAGTTCTAATCAACTAAAATCTCATTCAAGCCCTAGAACAAGGAATTTTTTTTAAAGGAGGTGATTGAGCATCAAGATTCCATTTGCTTTGAAACATCCATATGATCTAATATCCAAAAAGGAACTTATTTAGGAAGGAACATGAATGCTCTCCCCAGCTTGTTTTCTTCCTAACTTCTCTCAAATATAGCTTTATAATCCAAAAGCAGCGCCGTCAGAAAACTGGGGAAAGATAAAGAGGTTTAATAGAGACATTTGGAATGAAAAGGAAGGATAGAAATGGAACTGGCTTCCTGTAACGTGTGCTAAGGAGTAGACACGTAGATTGATGCAACCCACTGATTGGAGGACGGCGGACAGACGCATAGTGAGAGTGAGAGAGAGATTCTAATATTAGGGAAAAGAAAAGAGAATAGAAGTGAATGAATTAAGGGTGTGATCGTGATGTTTCTGACTACAATACGTAGTGTGTAAATATCTTCTTGTCAATCTACATTCACTGTAATGAGCAATCTGTTGGTAATGGTGGGATTTTATATTTCTCCTGAGAAAAACTATTGTTGGGAAGAAAATGAACGAACTGCATATGATGGATCGTTAGAAATAACAATCCTTTCATGGATTTTAACAGCTGAAATTATCTTGCTAGATATTCTAAGTACTGGGATTGAAAATCCAGTCCTTGCTTGACAGAGCTGACAGGCTTTTGTCCTTTACCTGCAGGGGCGGTTTGAGATACTATCGCTTTCTGGGTCATATATGCCAATTGAGAGTGGAGGAACAATGAGCAGATCTGGTGGGATGAGCGTCTCTTTGGCGGGACCAGATGGTCGCGTTGTTGGTGGTGGGCTGGCTGGTTTGTTGGTGGCTGCTGGTCCTGTGCAGGTAAATGCCAGCCCTAGTAAGCGTCTTTGCTGCGCTGCTATAATAATGTGATTCGAAGAGTAGTGAAGGTCTTGATTTTAGTAATCCATTTGATGGTGAGAAACTATAATTTTCTTTCTGGAGATATATGAAAGAGTGACAGGATCACTTAAGAAAGGAAGTAGGGAAAGTATTGGCCTGCACTGGTTTATAAGAGTAGTTTTACAAAAAAGGAAAACGAGAAAAGTTTAACAGAGATATGGACACTTATGAGAGTGCATGTGGAGAATACCCACCCCACCACCAACCCCACCACCAATTCCACCACATAAGCATCGTCTCCAGACATGAATGTACATAGCAAGAGGGATAGATCAAAGTATGAATGCAAAATGTGTGACCTTATCAACTCATGGCTGTTCAAACTTCAAACTACTCCAAAAAACATATTTTTGAGAATGTCTCTAGACATTTAACCAAATAGATGTGTGAGCTCCTTATAGCGAAAGGTTTCTCTGGGAACCAAGTTCACTGATGGTCTCTGATTTTCAGGTTGTTGTGGGCAGCTTCCTTCCAGGTCACCAGCTGGAACAGAAGCCTAAGAAGCAAAGAGTTGAACTCCCGCCAACGCTGACCCCGACTATTACGAATCTTAACAGTAGAGAAGAAATAGTTAAAAGTTATGGTGGAGGTGAGCCGATTGTCACGACAACTGCCGTCTTTAATGGAGAGAATTCGGTTCCTGTCCAAGACTTGAGGAATCCAATGACTGAGAATAGAGTCTCTTTCGCTGTTGAAGAATCTAACGGCCTTAGTTAGCTAATTCCCAGTGGCTCCCTGATCCTTGCCGGTGACTTCTTCACATTGTGTGTCCTCATATCTTCTTTCTTTAATTTCTTTGTGTTGCTCAGCCCTCTGTAGCATTGATGCTGAGCACATATTATCTCTGACAAGTTAGGGCGTGACCCGGTGTAGCTGCGAGTATTAGGTAGGATTTCCATTAGGCTTGTAACTCCTCTTGGTTGTGGTGTTGCTCGGTGTTGACCATTTTATCGGCTTTGTGTTTTTATGTCTTCGACAGATTCATGTAGATCAGGACAAGGATATTAGTTCAACGACCTCTATACATTAATCTGCTTTGTGTTCCGATTTCATTCTAATCCTTATTTCTTTGGGTGGCTGTCGTGTTGCAATGAGATCGTGTGCTGCTAATTTTGATTCTTTTTAGATGCAATTAGCATGATGCTATCAAAAGAGCCCTGAAGGGTTTTGCTATAAATTTGTGAGTAATGCTGACCACTGAAACATTTGCTTTGAATATATTGCGTCTTTGAGGTCTCATCTTTATATCCTCACTGGAATTCCGCAGACAGACTTGAAGCTCTTCATTTGCCATCAAGAATTGATGAGCCCTGAAGAAAAAGGACGAGGGAACACAAAGGTTAGCACTGTGCTTTCATATATGGATCGAGCTCCACCATGCTCCGCTCCGCTCAACCGGTACACGTGATCACGCATCATTGTCGTAGACATAAACATACGAGGTATTTGCAGCCACGAAAGATCAATCTGGGTGCGGTTCTGTCCAAAGATTGGGATCTGTCATCTCGCACGGGCATTTGCCTGGTTCCCACGATAAGCGACATACAAATCCATAAAACCGGGGGGATATGGGAATGTATCTAATAGACTAGAGTGAGCCATGTATAAGCTCGCGCTACTCTGCCGAATGGTCTGTTTAGGCTCTGTAAAGAGACATGAATTTAGATGACGCGTTTTTATCGTCCTAATGGCATGCTAAAGGTACCTCGGAATGCATTCCCAAACGTACTCTTGTCCCTTGACAATGGGGTCGGGACGCAACGCGACGGGACCTCGGTTTGATCCCATGAATTTTTCTCTAGCAAACACAAGAAACTAGGGAATCCTGTCCTGGTGGAGACATGCCCGCTCCGGATCAGAACTCAAAAAGCGGGACGCAATAATGGGACCAATCCCACCAAATCAGAAAAGTGACCAAATCACTCTCCTCACTTTGACCCAGAACATGATAAATGATGTCCCAGGACCAAAACCATAACGCTTGCTTTCAACCCGCTCGATGTCCGGTCGGAAGACCATAAATATCTTAGGGAACAAAAGTGAAAACGAGCACTGTAAAATCGGCGATTCTGCCTATCATATGGATTGGCATTGTTTTGAGTGATGGAGGCACGACATGATGTGTTCTTTCGGTGGCTTTTCTTTCCAAGAATGATCATTAAAGCTCGTCGCAATCACGGCACCAATTCTCGATACGAAAGAATAGTCCAAGCAAGGAAAGATTGCAAGTAAACGTGCCCTCGCAGGCAATGCACATCAAGCGAAACTGCAAATTATCCAAGGAGCAATGAAGGGGCCAGATAAAAAGTGATCAGTTGCCACGCAAATATACGACGTGGCATGTGAATTCGGCACTGTGATGTAGTTGTTTTTCGCATTGATTAGCCGAGCAATTTCATTATTTCCTTCGCCAAAGTCCAATCATGGCATTGAAGGGTGAAAAAGTCGTGTATGCATTGGTCATGAAGGGGGGGTGTACATATAATGGGCGACAGCTTAGACAGGTGCCTGCTGCACTGTACAGCTTTGACGTTTCTCCAACTACTACGCTCGACGACCTTTTTAGGCCCCCTTCTTTCAGACTCTTTTCCTCGGAGGGCCTCCACAAGTTTGGCGGTGTTTGGCTCGGATTGGGTCAAATGCAGAAATGTAAACGCGAAGAGCGTCGTTTGTCAACTCCATAACACAGCTGCCCCTGACGACTCCACAGTAGGCTCGAGGGTCCTCTGCTTTGGCGCGATCGTTGCCTAATAATATATGTCGTGATAGTGCATGCTTTGAGAAGAGCTTTATGTGATAGGAATGCTGCACACACGAAAATGGCAGAAGCCCTTTGTTTTGAGGATGGTCCTGGTGCAGGAGGACACCAGTGAGCCAAGGTCACCGATGTTTTGTCACGCCTCTCTCGCTTTCGTGCTGCAGAAAGATGCCCAAAACGAAGGACATCGATGCAATTCAAGGCAATGCAAAGTTTTAGTAGGGTCATTTTGCTGACAAATCAGGCGGTGCAGCACCGACTACCCTTTTGTCAGAAAAGAAATGCCAGAGAATAAGGGCACCTGCAGATAATTCCCCACGTTTTCGTATGCCTCGGTTTCGAAAAGATGAGAGCTGACTATATTCAAATTGATTTGTAAGATTAGTTCTTGGTTATCGCACATTGTCTGCTTATTTAAGCGCCTAATCACGTTCCTTGATATACTTGTGTTTGTTGATCTGATTTAATGTAACAAGCATCGTTCTTTAGGAAGTAAAATGCATTTGCCTGTGGAACGCGAGATTTCGTGGGATCGAATGGAGTGAGACCGCGTGAATATAAAAGAGCGACATATGACCCGTTGTCAAGTGATGTAAGACAAAATTTCAACACCCCCTTTAATCGGCTTAGGAGTGGCGTGCAAAATTCGATTGATGGGAAATGAACGCGCGTACATCGGTTATGATATTATGTTAAAAAGTCCGAAAGCAAATAAAGGCTTGGAAAATTTTGATATCAGATATCTAGTTCTGATATCACATAAGATTTTATGAAATTTAAAGCTCTAAATTTATAAGTAAAAAAAAGATTACGTGGATATAAAGACCGTGTAAAATTAGTTGTCATGCGCGTTGGATGACGTTTCAAGTGGCAAAAGTCGAAGAGTTTGATTTGTGAACTTTAATTATTGAGAAAGCGGGGGACTGCAGTTGAGATGACTCGTTGCCAATGAACTCCACCTATCTTTTTTGATTGGCTTAATCGTCCTAGCCCCGATCCCTTTAACCTTTGCTTGGGTACGTATCTGTTGATCTGCAATTATTGCTTGTTGCTGTCAAATGCACACTCTCCCAAGTCATGCTCCTCCTCCTCCTCCCTCCTAGGCATCAAAGCAATCGATGAAAAGACGGACAATGATGTTGTGTTGCGTGTGTGTGTGGGGGTAGAGTTTTATCAGAAATTCTACTCAGCTCTAAGTCACTTAAATGAAAGAAGTAATGCGTTTCAAACTTTCAACAGTGATTGGATGTTAAAATCTCATGATGGGAGCAAGCTGAAGCAATTATCGAAGGCTCCTATTAGCCTAGCCTAGGAGGGTAACGTAAAGAAAGTTAATACGAAAATGTACGGCTCAATGTTATAAATTTTTTTCCCGTTTACTATACACTCCAGTAAATCGTGAATTATTTTCTTGATTTTTCATTTCGACGTGAAATTTTTATAAATAAATTGAAATCTAGCGTGAAATTTTTTGTCCAACAAATGACATTGTTTTTACCGTTTCTTTGAAATCTTCCACGATTAGACTATAGCCGTTTTCAAGACTTTCTCTCTTCCTCAAAATGCTGTTTTTTTCTCTCTTTCTCTCTCTTTACGCTTAGTGTATGAAACTCGAACACCACCACAAAATTGCAGCGAGCACTTGGCGAATCGAAGCTCTCTTTCTCTCTCTAAAAATTTAGGGCTTTGTTTGCTCTTCTCTTATGTGCACTCGCTCGCTCAGTGTTGTCCTCTCTCACAAGACAAAGACTAGAAAAGGTGACAAAATAGTGGCAAAAATTAGGGCTATCGACGAATCTTGGAGGACAAAGACTAAAGGTAAGTGATTTGTTGTGTTGCATGAGGTACATTTGTTATTTTGTGTACACTGACTGACAAAATCGACAATTGCTTAGTCAATTTCATGTTATAGTCAAGTAAGGTGTTTGTTATGGTCATTGCTGTTGTATGTCACCTTCTTGCCAATTTTAGTTAATTAACTTATGTCAATTCATTTTGCAGGTTAGAAGAAAATGAAGAGCAATTGATGAGGTTTCTTAAAGTTTGGCACCACAAAAAACACAAGATGCAATTGACAAAAGGCTAAGGGACTATGGCTATGAGTTGTTCGCAGACATGAATACGAGCATGGCAATTTAGTATACATCAATTTATTGATGGTTATAGGGTCGTAGACCAGGAGAAGGTCTAGAGTGCTAATATTTCAAGGAGGACCAAGTCAAGAATCGGCTACATGTGGAACAAGAAATTAAAGACAAGCACAGATAAACCAACCAATGATAACTCGAGCACAATCCAAGAAGAAGCAACCGAGTGCAGCTCTAAAACAGAGAATAGAAAGGGCAGCTCTACAACAGGCACCACAGATGACCCCAACAACAAGTCCTTCTCAATCAATTGCCCTTGAAAATATCACTGTACATCTATCTCAGGCCTACAGCCACAGTACCAAGACCAAACGCCAAAAGACATGAATCTCCAAGCAAAAGAATAGCTGCTCCAAAAGATAAGATTATGGGAAAATGAACGCTGGAGACATGCCTATAGCTCTAGTTAGGGAAGAGCACAATGATCACGAATCAAGTCAAGAGTCCATTAAAAAAAAAAAAAGAGGAAGTGAGAAGGAAAAGGTTGTTCAGCTTGACTAATGGGAGATTTATGTTTTTGTTGTTAGGTGGCCATGTTTGTTTTAGGTTTTTGTTGTTAGGTGTTTGATGTTTTTACTCCATTTTGACTGGTGATGTGTTCAGTGGAAATACTGTTCGGTCTGAATGTTAAGATCAGCGTCTTGTTATTGATGTTAAAACGTCATTATTTTGCTGGTGCAAGGATTATCCTTTGCTGATACCCAGGTTGTGAGATAATGCTTCTTAGAAGCTGTTACAGGATAACGTAGAAGTGAGAGTGACCCATGGAATCTTGATAAGTTATTACAGGTTGTGTGTTAAGAAAGCGAAACCAACAACTTTTGTTTTTTCAAAGTTGAGAAACTTAAGTGGTCACTTTTCAAAAATCGATGAACCCGGGTATTCATTTTAAAAAAATTATGGCACTGAAACGATCATCCGTGAAGTTTTTGTTTTTGGTCGACAATCATTCATGAAGTTATCGAAACTTCTGCTGTCCTTCAACACTATACACAGAAACGACGTCGTTTACGTTCTCAAGTGCTGGCTTCAGCTTTTCGACACGTAACGTCAGATGATGTATTATAAATTAATGTCACGTTGACTTTTCCGTCAAGGCAAATCGCTAATGACACTTAAGTGATTGATTTTTTAAATTTGTAGTATTCAAGCAAGTAAAAAAATAAGTTACGGCACTCAAATGAGTGCCGTGTGAAAGTTATGAAACTCCCAGTGTATTTATCCCGCGAAAGTTCTATTGACAAATTAAATGCATCGAATGTCTAAGGTCGATCATGAACTCGCATGCTCCCTCACAATTTAGTTTGTAATCCACGACGTTAAATTGTTCGAGACATTCAAAATAATCGATCCTTTCAATTGGAACATGGTCAGTGGCATATAGCCAAGAATTGTCTTCTTTGTTTGTCTCGAGACAACTTTTATTGATAAAGCTATTTCTTACTTCATATTTGATGAGTTGGATTATTATATAAGTTAATTATATTCTGTAAATGGATTATAAAAGGGTTTAGAATGGTAAGACTTAAAATAACATGAATGTTAAATGGGTTCATAACTTATTTAAACCTAACCCATCTCAATGATTCTCTCTCGCGCTCGCTTACATCTTACTCTCGCTTTAGTTTGGGTATGAATTTTTCTAAATTAGGTTAGATACAAAAGTATTTTAGCAATATGAGTCGGGTCGGGTCGAGCATGTGTCACTAAATTTTCTTTTTCTTTTTTTGGTCATACATGTCACTAGATTTGAATTGCATAGAAATTGATCAAAGCGGATTAAATATATCAAATTGGGTCGGACCATTTTCGACTCCCCTCCCAAATGCGACCCGTCCGTTTTGACAGGTCAGCTCTTCATCAATGATTCCGATGGCTGATTAATCGCGACATGGATCGGAGAAAAAAAAACTCCCGCAAGCATGCACGCTCAACAATAATCCCAAAGCTAAAGCGACGAGTTACGTAAATCACGGCAACACCACCCCCATCAGTTTCCAGTGCTTGTTTCTACGGCGACTGCGATACCTCAGTATCAAAGCCACGTCTAAAGCAGACAGGAAATCTGCATCCCTCCAAAACTCGGAACACGATCTCTGCAAAAAGGAGGAATCGAAAGGGTTTTGCTCCCCGCATCCTTCCCTCCGTTGCTCGCTCGCTCTCTTCTTTGACCCATTTCCCGATTGGGCTCCCTCGTGCTTCGCCGTCGTTTAAGCAAAAGAACAAAAGCCGGAAGCGCGACTCGTAATTGTCGAAAGGGGGGGGGGGGGGGGAGGAGAAATTACGCAGCCCGCGGAGACGCTCCTCCGTCTTCGAGGCGGCCTTGCGGCCACGGAGGCGCGACAGCGACGCACGAATTCGACAGTGTCGGGCGATCGACCCACATAAAATCGACCCCCCCACCTGCGTCCATCGCCGGCGGTCCCCACGGACCAACCCGAACAACAACAGGAGGGGGCAAAAAATTGGGTCCCCCCCCACCCCCCGGAATTCCCCAAACTGCCCCCGGTCCAGGCCTCAATGACTTTTTCCCGCTCAAACCGAAGCGAAAAAAGGCGACCGCGATCGGACGGATCGTTCGGGTGGGCGACGATTGCCCCAGCCATCACGACCGTCCCTGACCCCACGCCGTAGGCCCCACCGGGCCCCAACCCTTTCGATTTTACTCCCTTTTTTTTTTTTTTTTAAAGGAATCTATCTGTCCTCCATTACCCGCAAATCAATGCCTCCTCAAAGAAAAAAAAAAAAGGAGAAGAAAAAACACACTTGCTTACAAAAAGCAAGTTCGAAATATTTGAAAATCGCGTCGTTCCTAAGATTTTTTTCTCCTACGCTTCCTCCCTTCCCCCCCACATATAAAACCACTGAAGTGGCACTACTCACACCCTCACTCGAACGAGACTCCGCTTTCGCTCATCTCCTTTCTACTTTACCCCCCCCCGAGACCAACCCAAAAACATGCGCATCTCGCGCGATGCCCGGCGACCGGCGGCGCTGCTTCTTCCGGCGGTCCTCGCCCTGCTCCTCCTCCCGGCGCCCTCCGACGCGTGGCGGCCCTGGCCCCACCTGAGGACCAACGCCTCCGACGTCTTCGGCGATTCCAAGAAGTACGAGGGCTCGTCGGAGTTCGTCAAGCTGAAGTACCACATGGGGCCCGTCCTCACCGCCAACATCACCGTCCACACCATCTGGTACGGCGTTTGGGCCCCGGCCCAGAAGAAGGTCATCCGCGAGTTCCTCAGCTCGATCTCCGCGACCGACGTGAAGCGGCCCTCCGTGGCCGGGTGGTGGAGGACGGTCCAGATGTACACGGACCAGACCGGCGACAACATCTCCCGGACCGTCCTGCTCGGCGAGGAGAAGAACGACCGGTTCTATTCCCACGGCAAGTCGCTCACGAGGCTATCGGTGCAGTCGGTGATCAAGAGCGCCGTCACGGCCCGGACCAAGCATCTCCCGATCAACCCCAAGAGCGGGCTGTACCTGGTGCTCACCTCCCCTGACGTGTACGTCCAGGATTTCTGCAACAACGTGTGCGGGTTCCACTACTTCACCTTCCCCTCCATCGTGGGCTACACGCTGCCGTACGCGTGGGTGGGCAACAGCGCGAAGCTGTGCCCGGGCGTGTGCGCCTACCCGTTCGCCGTGCCCGACTACATCCCCGGGCTGAAGCCGCTCAAGACCCCGAACGGCGACGCCGGCGTGGACGGGATGGTGAGCGTGATCGGGCACGAGCTCGCCGAGCTGGCGACGAACCCGCTGGCCAACGCCTGGTACGCGGGTCAGGACCCGAGCTTCCCGGTGGAGATCGCGGACCTGTGCGAGGGGATCTACGGGACCGGGGGCGGCGGGTCCTACACGGGTCAGATGCTGGAGGACGGAGACGGCGCCACGTACAACATGAAAGGGATCCGACGGAGGTTCTTGGTCCAGTGGGTGTGGAACCATGTGGTTAACTACTGCACCGGCCCGAACGCCCTCGATCAGTAATGTCCTCCTCCTCCTCCTCTTCTTTTTGCTTTTGGTCCCTTTTGTTCGTTTGTTTCCTTCTGGGTTTTGGAGGGTTCCTCTTCCTTTCTTTTAAAAATTTGAAAAAAATTCGAAGTGGGTATTTATCCATTTGGTTTGGATTCTTGTGGGGGGAGGGGGTTGCTGGGTCTGGTCGGTTCTTGGTCTGGTCTGGTAATGAATGATTAGCCGTGGTAGTTAAGTCTGTTAAATATGTAATAAGAACCGTATACTGTCCTTGTATACAAAAAGGGAAAGTCTTTTTCTTCTTCGTTCGGACGGTTGTTGTAATGGTTGTGGGTGATTGGGCATTTGAAGAGGGAGACAGTGGAGCGGGTGCAGCAATGAAGAACATTGCACTACAGCTGATGTGGGAAGCACAGCACGGCAAAGCAACGCCCTCCATTCAATTCAATTCAAATTCAATTCAGTTCAATCCCCTTCAGCTTGAATGAATGTTATTGCACGTACCTGGTACCCGCTTCTGCCAGCTCCGAAGGTGGTCTCTGTAAAAAACGTCGTGGTTGGGTTGGGGTGTGTTTAATTAGGCACGTGATATAGCCCTGTGCCACTTTTAATACGTGAAATGGACCTGATGCAAATCCTCCTACAATCCCCCTCTTTTGAGATGTCCAAGCCTTGCGTTTCCCATCTCTTTGCCAACGGCTCTCCAAACTCGTGTGACAAGAGCATCTAAATTTTCTGGATCTATGGTTCTTATAACGAGACTTACATATGAGTTTCGGCCTTGAAATGAGTCACGTTTGGCCGTTATCATAACGGACCCTTTGTTTAGTCGCGTATCCATGTAATATCATCAGCAAACCTCGACATTGGATGATCTTAACAAATTGGGTTTCGGCCGCGAGCTTACGGAACATGACTTGTTCTCTTAAATTGAGCTGAAGGTGTTGCGGATATCTTTCCTCCGTTGTGCCGATATATTTATAAAGTTGCAAAAGCCCTAATGTCATGTAGAAGCGGCAGGCAATGCCAATGGACCGTGACTTTTGCAGTCCCGTGGCCATTTTTATCAGAATTCCGTACTAGACCGATCAGTTCGTCACGAGTTTGGCCAAAAACTGAAAAAGGGCTTACGTCACAGGAAATGTCGCGTGCTGAAAAATGGGCGCCCGGCCACGCCTTAGCTCTGTCAATTATCGATAGACGGAGTCGGTAGTTTTTCTTAGGCAGTAATCGAAGTAGAACAAATCTTGATTAAAGACAGAATCGGATCAAAGAGAAGAAAGGTTGCGTTGACAAGTGAAATTTACGTGGCACGTTAGAACCTACACCAATCTCTCATGCGAAATTGGTACTAATCATCTACGCAGATGTATGAAATTAGCTCTTTCTAAATCTATGCTAATGTGATATCCACAGAAGAAAGGAAAAGAAGGGGGGAAAGAGGAAAGGACGAAGGAGGCTGGTGGGGGGGAGGGGGACGCTACAGGGAGGCTGAATTTTGCAAAACCTTGGGCAGTACGTTCGATTGAAAAATCTGAGAGGATGGACCCATTTGTCAGTACGTCCTTTCCCTTTTCTTCCCTCGGGTCACTTTTTTAGGAAATGCAGCCACGGAAGGACGTGTGATGGCCTCCTTTTGCTTTCCCAAAAACGAAAAAAAAAAAATCAAAGTTCGAAAAAATCCCCCACTCCATGAAATTGTGCTTGCCGAGTGCTCTTACTCGAGCGCAAGAAGAAATGAAAAAAGGAGAAACGAAAAATATGATCATTTATCTTGTGAAGAGAAGATACAGAAAACGAAAACAGCAAACTATTATGGGAACTCGTTTTCACTATTAGATGGAAGTTCTTAAATACGTAATTGAAATATCAAGGGACCTTCGAAGTTTAGGCAAGCATTATTAGTCTAATCCGAATGTTAACTGCAATCTCGCATCGCATCAATACGCAGTCATAATGCGTCTTATATCGTGTTAGCTTCCCTCCGTCGCATTGCTTTAAGTTTTTGAACTGGACATTTTAATTCCAAGAAAAAATTGAAAATATGGCGATATTGCTTGTCGAAATTAGCTCCAACCCCTGTATTTTCAACACCGGCATTGCTTATTGAATTTGGCAGAACTACCTAAGGTGGAAACCCATAGAGTCTTTCATAAAGTGTGGTTCCCTCATATTAAATGAAGACCATTTCGAGGGGAAAGAAGTCCTCGAACGACAGAAACAATATCATGGCTCTTTCTTAAAGCTCCATGAATCTTCAAGCCTAAGCTGCCAACATCGCTGTACCGAAAAATTTCATGCATAAGACCATATGGAGAAAACCGGGGTGAGTGAATTTGGGCATCAAAAGTTGTGCATAAAGCATTGAACTTTTGCTGTTTTAACGTTGCCACTTTTCTATTGTACCGAAGAGGAGAGACAGAGAGAGCATAGAACTATGCCGATTTCATATTGGGAAAGTTGCAAAGCTCATCCAGTCATCACCAGTACCCAAGCTTTGATGCTTTTGGAACCAGATAAGACAATCATAAGCTCCAAAGTTATCTCTCATGCGTGTGTTTCACTTTAGCTTTGCACCAACAAGCATCGAATATCAGAAATAGCATTATGCCGCCTATTGCAAAACAGGGAAGAAGCTCTCCAAGACCTGTTTGTCATAATAAACAAGCGGGTCCAAGAGTGGCTTGTTCCCCAGTATTGTACACGAAGGAAGGAATCCCGCGCCTCAACATTCCCTTAAAGATTGCATAAAGAGAACCCGGTGGTCAGCATCTTCTCGCGAGTTTAATACCAAATTCGAGCAAGACGACACTTAAATTTGACCTTCCAAAGACAATCATCCCTAATGGCGTGGCAGGTGGGATCCCGCTAATCAGGAGTAGGAGGAGTCTTTTCCTTATAATAATTAGCTGTCTTTAGATTATATTAGTTTATCTGCTCTAACGATAGCATAATGTTTACAGTTGGCACCAGCTGAAAATCAGCAGCGGCGCCTGAATATTCGTCTTTTGACCTAGGAAAGCCCCTCCTGTGACTAAACGAATGGCTCGCTTTTTTCCCTCACTGACCCAACATCATTGCCTTGTTAAATCACCTTTTCAGTTCTTTAATCCCACATATGGAAGTGTGTAGGCTTCCCCTTTATATTATTTGTTCAGGCCGAAGGAAACTTCGGCTGGCTTTAGACCGGCAGTCGTAGTCTACTTGTCGGTTTTTCCCGGAATATTGGCGTCGTTCATTTAGCAGCAGTAGCTCTCAGATGTGCTGAGGAAGGTTTGATAATTTGGCTCCAAGTGCTGTCGTTGGTTTGGTATCTTTCGAAGACAGCTAGGATGGGGTGAGGGAGCTATCTCGCTTCTTCTGCTGTATGGAGATTCTCTATGGCATAAGGGCAAATCTCATTCTTCCAGATTTTCGCACGTTTTTTATCGGTCCGGTTACCCCATTCGTGCGACCATTGCGAACAATGTCTCGATTCCGATAGAGACAGAACAGACATGACTGTACCCCGTATAGTGCAGGTATGTCCAAGCAATAAAACGAAATAGCCACTGACTAAGCATAAGATGACTAAACATAAGATGCCGCATTCAGACCCAAAAAAAAAAAAAAAACATAAGATGCCGCATCATCCCCTATAAAGTGGATATAAGTGGGTTCGTATGAGCACCGCCTCGAATGAAAGCTCGGCAAAGGATGTTATAATGTCCTACTACAAATATCAGTGTTACCGATACTGTACCTTTTTAAATGCATTCGAAAAGTGAGTACTGCTAGCACAGGAGCTTCACGCCTTATTGATGCTCGGACTTAAATATGGTCTTTAGACATTTCGAAGCTCTCTGGCTGATATAACTATATGACTGTATAAGTTAGGCATTGTTCGCTAATTTGAGTTCTCAACAATTTCAGCCCCTTGGATTATCTTTTTAGAAAAAGGCATTTAAAATGGGCATCAACAATGGCACGATTAAGTAACAATTACAAGGCTTAGTAACTGGAACATGCTGGACAAAGGGATGATCTGTGCAAAGACACGGGCAGCTGGGTACACCCAATTAATTTGTTTATGCATCGTTCGTTAAGGGTACTTCTATCAGACTGAACAGGTTATACAGTTAACAAAGAGTGTCAACAAAATAACTAGGTGACCCATCTTGCTCGCCAATAATACCCAAATGCTCATGACCCAAGAAGCAGAAGAGTCACTTCAATAAACCCGCATCTTAGATGAGTCCAGCTCCGAAATCTAATTTATGAGAGGCAAATGGACTAGGCCTACCACTCCAAGATTGAGGATATGCACGAGCTGCCTTCCACATTAAAATGAGAGCCACGGACCTTGATTGAGCTAGAGTGAGTTCACGCATCATCAAATAGCATGAATCACAAACACTTAAAACGATGATATGGCTAGGCTAGTGATCAAAATCACTTTATGCAGTACAGTATCCACCGAATGAAATTGCTATCGCGTTGCCCAAAAACTATCTTTGCTCACAAGACTCGTATCCAACATTTTAGAGGGAGGAATTCCAAATAAAATAAGGTGATGCATAGTCATAACTATCTACCGTCAGTCGTTTGTACAACCTGGAAGTATCAATTGGAACTCATTCTTTGGAATCAAGATTTTCATTCTGTAGGTACTTAGAAACGCCATATACAACAGTTCCAGCAACAAACAGGCCAACCGTCGGGGTGAAAGATGGATACAGATACTTCACGAAAAATTTATCCCACTCATCTGGCAAGAAGCCTGTAGAGTCGAGAGAGAAACAAAAGGTTAGATTCATGAACTGCATTTTAATGCTTCAGATCAATATCTTGGTAAGACTGGGAAAGTTGCATGTATCAACTAGAGAGGAAAAGGTTGACCGCTTTTTACATGCAAAAGTCACCCAAGAGCAGCACATTCTTAACTAACCACTTCGCTGAAACACATATTCACGCGAAAATTCTAAGAAAGAAAAGACACCAAAAAGGTGAAACAAGAAATAGGGCAAAGGCGAAGGCAACGTGAAAGGGGCTTTAATGAGTAGCTTGGACTGTCACCGAGTTTCTTCCTTCAGATCTATATCAATGCAAATCCGAAAATCCACTAGTTCCCAAATGCATGGAACAAGCTCACGGGTTAATGAATGAAAAGAACAAAAATATAGAAAAAGAGAAGCTCCAAGAAATGTCCTACTAAAACCTTCCAACCAAGATTATGGCACAGCATACCAAATAAGTCGATGGAAGCATATGATTCAGACCAAGCGCACCAACAGCAATCACTACAAACACCTCATATTCATGAACTTTTAAAGAATTATCAGCATGAACATGATAAATTGCTTCTTTCCTGTCATTCCAACAAAAGCATAATAGTTGAAAAGAAAGATATCCAGAGAAATTTGGAGGATAAACGTGGTCACAGACACTGGCTACTTAAACAGTAGAAAGGGGGTGACACTAAGCTGATGCTAATCAAATCATGATGCCTGGATATTTATCACACACTAATTTGAAAAATGTCTAGTAAGAAGTGCCCTTAAGACAGTAATTAAGGAAAAAAATCTGAAAGTAACAGTCAAGACAACTTGAAAATTGAAATTTGAAGCATTACAAGAAAATCATCCAACTCAGATAGAAAAAGCGACACTTCCAAAAGTGCATTTAATAAGTTTAAACAAGTTCCCTAAGAGCATTCTTTATCATTTTCGAATTGATTAAGCCAATGGAGCCAGTACATGCAGTACACCGGAGCATGTTTGCCGTTGTCCAGCTTCAGCAACACAGGCAAAATAGCATGCGATCGTGCTCATGTCTTGTGTTAATTTTCGCATTTATTGAATAGGCCAAAGCAGATGTAGAGGGGGAAATAATAGGTTATAATCCATGTGTTGCACTTTCGACTCTCTTGTCGGCCATTGAGAGCGGTAGAGCCCTTGAAGAGGACTGCTTCTGGCATATTCACCATGAACTAAGAGATCATTGATTAGCCTTAGCTAGCAGATTCTTAGCACTCAATATTGATAGATAACAATCACTCACTTGCTCACCATCTCTTTCTTTTTCATCAGCTCAACATCTCAGTCAATGTGTTCACTCCTTTCATTCATCTTTGAGGTATTCATTGTATGAAAGTAAATGCTGTATGGCATATGGGTCTGGGGACACTTGATAAATATCCCTAATTTTTCTCATTCATTGAATAAAAGCAAATGCTGTATTCCATTTCCCAAACATTCTCTACACCCCCTTATCAAATGTAAAATCTTTAAGAAGGTCTTCACTTATATAGCGACTCTACTTATTCAATGGGAAACAGAATGTAGCTTTTGAGCACGAATCTAAGGTCAGTTTATGCCAATTGGACTTTATCCAGAAGTGTGCGTTGATACACAAGGCCAGCATGCTTCTTGCTTTGGTGCATCCACTCTAATTTCAACTATATGCCTCTCTCTAACAGGACATCTCACCCAAACTCAAGGTCAATCTACTCGATCAAGTACAAATTAAACGACCGATTGAGCAATTACGAAGAAATTACCCGAAGCCGCGAGAGCAATGCCCTCGACGAGGATGATTCCACCAAGAACTAACCAAGCAAGAAGGAACGCACTCTCGTTCCTCCTCTGCTCCTCCGCTTTTCCCTCGTCCTCCTTCGAAACGAACGAAGGCTTTTCGACCGGCGTCCGCCTGATGATCGACGCTCTCTCTCTCTTCCCTCTCAGTTTTTTCTTGCCAGCAACCGCGGCGGAGCTCGGTTTGCTCGAAGACGAAGGGCTCGAGCCGAATCCCAGCCTCGGCGACGCGGACTTCTGGGGCGGGGCTGCGGTGGGGGACGGCTCGTCGGTCCCGGCGGTCGAGTTCTCGTCGCTCGACGGGCTTTGACATTTGACGGCGAAGCTTCTTCTCGCGGCGGCGGGAGAGAGGCGGAGACGATGATGGAGTTCGCCGGCGAAGCAAGGCGGGGAGTGCAGAGTCATCGCCATTTCTGTTACGGTTTTTCAGTTGGTTTGGGAGTTTTGTTGGGGTGGCTAAGGTTGCAGATAATTACACTGGGCTCCCTCCTAAAGTCCGATAATGACACTAGCCCCACAATTGTGTTGATTTATTTTGATTTTCGTCCATTAATTTGGCGAATTTGTTTAAACTTCCTGATCCTGTTGGCTGTTGACACGTGGGTTGAGCCCATTTGGATATCCCATCAGGCTAATTTTGGTTATTTTTCAAAGGATAAACTGCGGTAACTTATATTAAATAAAAGCCCGATTTTTAATATCTAAAAGCTCGATTTTTAATATCTAAAAGCTCAATAAAAAAAGCACTATTAGCCCTCGAAATTCTATGGTGTGCGCGTTGAGGTTCCAAACAATTTTTTGGCAAATTAAGATCTTGAATTAAAGTATTTCTCATCCTTGATATCAAACTATATACATAAACGATGGCCTGACAATTCATATTTAAATTTGATCGGATCCATAATAATATTAATTCAAATATTATCCTGAATTCAGGATAAATGGATCACAGAATTTTGCTAAAATGGGAATGAGAATTCATAGGGTTGATTCGCTGCATCCGACTTAATTGATTGGATTTGACTATCTGAATGAATTAATTGAAACATGACGTCAATTATCGTGGGCCAAAATTAAAAACTCGAGCTGTTTTTTTTCCCTCGAAAGGAGAAAAATCAAAGGGCCCGAAAGCGAAACGCGATTGGCCGGTCACTCGAGGTCCGGTGACGGGCCCGTCGCTCGAAACCCCCCACCCGGCGCCGCGCGCGCTTCAGTACGGGTTCGCGGGAAGCACGTTACGAAATGGAATCCTTCAAACTGAATAACCGTCGTGTCATCCTCTCAACGCCCCCATTTCTCGAGACCACTTCCTCTCTCTCTTTCCAGATCAAAGATGTCTCGAAGCATCTCCTCCAAGCTCTCCCTCTCTTCTCCTTCTTCTTCTTCTGCAGCATCGTCGTCACTCCCTCCCACTAATAACCTATGATCAATGAAGATCGCGGCCCCGCCGATCCTCCCCGCCTCCCATGTCGTCGACTCTAGAAAGCCAGGAGCCTCCGGCGACGCCGCCGTCGGCGTCCACCCCGCCGTCCGCCGGGGCCAAGCTGAGGAAGATCCCTCCGATCCCCGTCCGCCGCAGGGCGTCCGAGGCCGCCGACGATAGCGGCGGCTGCGGGGACGATCGCGACGGCGAGCCTGATTCGTCAATGCCTGCGCCTCGCGTGCCTAATTCGTCAATAATGCCTGCGCTTCTCCCGTCGTTGCTAGGGTTGAATCAGATCAAGACGAGATCTCCTCCGCCGTCGAACCTCAGGTTCTCGTCGACGTCCGTGGGCAACGAAGGGCGCAAGGAGAAGGGATTCAAAGCGGTTGACGCGAGGCCCAAGAGACCGGTTCTTCCACATCTTAGGACATCTTCCGAGGGCGAAGGTGAGTGCCGAGTAGTTATCGGTGTTTAGATTAGGCTTTGCGGATGGAGGTGTTTGCTGCGATGTTTGTCTATCGGCATTTTTAATGCGATTTTACTCTCGATTGTTCTGTTCGGTCATTGTTCTGATTGACTTGGAGGAAGTTTGTGTCTGTTCCTCATTTGCCTGAGTTGAAGAGTTGCTGTTGTAGGGAAAAAGGTGCTATGGAATCAATCGAAATCGTTTGACAAGCGACCATCTCTTAATCCTGCTTTGGAGGTAAAGAGTCCTCTTAATGATTTGTTTCTCTTTCTTGTTTTATGCCTGTCCTTGGAGAGTAACACGAACTCAACTTTGTCGCGATTTGCTTCGCTGCTTCCGTTAGGCTCATCATGCAGCTTTTGCTAAAGAAATACAGTCTCCTCGTTTCCAAGCCATACTGCGGCTTACAAGCGGCCGTAGGAAGAAGGCACCGCATATCAAGAGCTTCTCTCATGAGCTTAATTCAAAAGGGGTTAAGCCATTCCCTGTTTGGAAGCCTCGTGCATTCGCACACATGGAGGTACCGACACCAGCTTTTGGGTATTCTGTTCTCTTTAGTCCTTCACTTCCCTAAGCATTTCCCGGTCATTACTTCTATAGCCTTTACTTGCCTTGATAGCAGACTTTTTACATATTTATATGATTTATTCCTTATGCTGTCTGCAGGAGATCATGGTTGCAATCCGTGCTAAGTTTGACAAAATGAAGGAAGAGGTTAATTCTGATCTAGGTATTTTTGCTGGAGATTTGGTGGGTATACTCGAAAAGTTTTCAGGAACTCATCCTGAATGGAAAGAGAGTTTGGAGGATTTGTTGGTTATAGCAAGCAGGTGTGCGAAGATGTCGCCCAATGAATTTTGGATTAAGTGCGAAGCCATCGTCCAGAACCTAGATGACCGGCGTCAAGAATTGCCAATGGGGGTCCTTAAGCAAGTCCATACCCGCCTTCTTTTTATCCTCACTCGATGCACAAGGCTCGTGCAGTTTCAGAAGGAAAGTGGCTATGAAGAAGACCACATTTTGGGTCTTCATCAGCTTAGTGATCTTGGAGTCTATCCAGAGCAAGTTTTGGAAGCTTCACAGAATGACTTCAGCGGCCCATTAAGCGCTAAGGAAGGGAAAGGAAAGCAGATGAAGAAGTCACGTGGTCGGGAACAAGGTGTTTTAACTTCAGCACATGTTGAACTAGAAAACAATTTAAGTAACGGGGGTGATGGCATTGAAGTCAGCACCGCTAAAAGCATCGCTTCATCGACTAGTAGCTACAGAATGTCTTCTTGGAAGAAACTTCCTTCTGCTGCTGAGAAAAATCATAAAGGCTCTGATGCTGCTGAAACTCCTTCCAAAGATAAATCTGATCGGTTTGAAGGTAAAAATGAACCGAGAATTGACGGTGATTGTCATATTGACAATCTGGAAGCTCTAGTTGGCCTTCCCGAAAGTTCAGAGGGATTCATCGGAATGAAAAAAGTTTCTTGGGGATTGACATATGAGAATCTGATGATCTGTCGTATTTGTGAGGTAGAAATTCCTACGGTACACGTAGAAGAGCACTCTCGTATATGTACAATAGCTGATAGGTGTGATTTGAAGGGCTTAACTGTAAATGAAAGACTCCAAAGAGTTGCAGAGACACTCGAGAAGATATTAGAATCTCTGACACCTAGAAGCACACCTAGAAGTGCAGTCTCTCCACGAGGAAGTCCCCATGCTGCCAGAGCAGATACATTATGCATGCATGAGGAGCTAGATCAGTTGTCACCCCAAAAGAATGACCTGTCTTCCCGCTACTCTCAAGACATGCTCGAGTGTGTCCCTGACTCTCTTAATGCTTCAGTCATGGATAGTTTGAAAGCTTCACGTGACATGTCCTGTGAAGCTCATTCTTTGATGGTTTCTGGTCTTGGTTCGAAGACTTCCTCAGGGGGAAGCTTGACACCACGCTCGCCATTATTAGCAACATTGACAAGCCAAATTGAAATGCTGCTGAATGGAGGAAAAATCTTGTCAGAACATGAGAATTCTCAGCAGGTATGCAACTATAGACACTTATTTCAGAGTCGAAGCCTCTTTAGCTCTTCATATCTCCTGCTTTATGAAGGAGTTATATCAATAACTTTGCTGGCCACAGCAATGACCCATGAACACCGAGTCACGCCAATTATTCCGCTCTTATGTTCCTTAATCAATAGTTGCACTAGTCTTTCCAGACCAGGTGATTCCCTTCTACTAAATTTGTGTAAACCCAATTCTATATTTCTTTATTTGGGAGATTATTTGACAGATAAACAAGCTTCTGGATATTGCTCGTTCTGTTGCAAATGTGAACACCCTTGAGTACAGTACACTGGAGTATATGCTTGAGCGTCTAGAGGACTTGAAGTACGTCATCCAGGACCGAAAGGTTGATGCTCTTGTTTTGGAGACATTTGGTAGACGGATAGAGAAGTTACTTCAGTGAGTATACACTTAATGTTTCCTTTTGGGTTTCCAGTAATAGCAAAGTTGTGAATTGGTTCAGAAAGTTTGACTGTAACCATCTTGACACAAGCAAAAAGTGTTGTTTTTCTTCTTTTTTAATGCACTCTGAAACCGACTTTAATGTCAGCTACTGTCCTCTAACCTGCGCAGGGAAAAATACGTACATCTTTGTGGACAAATAGAAGATGAAAAAGTGGATAATTGTATGGATGATGAAGAGAGCTCGTTGGAAGATGATCCCGTTCGCAGCCTGCGTGCAAGCCCCATTGGTACAAGTTGTAAGGATAGGACATCCATAGAAGATTTTGAGATTATAAAACCCATTAGCAGAGGTGCATTTGGACGAGTTTTCCTTGCTCGGAAAAGAGCAACTGGTGATTTATTTGCCATAAAGGTCAGGATATATCATCCTTTTGGCAATTTGAAGAGGATATCTATGCATATGTTGCATATATGCCTGTTGAACTGGGCAGATACATCATAAATTTTGTGACAAATAGAATATTGGAGATACCATGCATCATGTGCTGCTGAACTTCTTGTTGTTTCTATGATTTTTGTGAGTCACTTGTTACCGTCTCCTGTGTACTTGGAGTCAAAGAGATTAATCATTTAATGTTATGCGCTCTCTTGCTGTATTCCTTTATCTTGATAGACAGAGAGTGTTCGCCCAAATAATCAGCTTGCTAGTGCATGAAATTGGCTTAATTTTCAATGCATTCCCCCCTGCAATCATTGAGAATGACATCAATCACTAGACATATTCCAAGAAAAACCTTATTTTAATCCACCATAGACATCCTTAAATAAGTTCAGTCCACTAAAGCACCTAAATTTATTATCTTCTTGGTTCATTCGGTACATTCACCACCCTAGTAGATGTAAGAGGTACCTGATAATGACTGAAAGAAAAAAGAAGATACCTGAAATGCACATATGTCTAGTGTTTGCATTTACTTATTTGATTCTCAAAAAGCACTCAATTTGTTAAATGGCTAAAAAGGACAATTAAATTCAGAGACGCCTTTAAACATGTCTATTCTGACAGGTTCTTAAAAAGGCTGACATGATTC